GGGACAAGCTCACGGCTATGCCTTATATGCAAACATTATTAATGATTTCGAGGGATTGAAGGTGCAAGTCAGCGGGTTCGAGAGTCACGGATGTGGCCTTCAGGGCCTTTTGCGCCCTAAAATACTCTTTTAGAATTAAAAAATACAAGACTAAGGTAAAAATTATAAAATATAATAATTAAATGTAAAATGTTAAACATATGCATAAAAAAAGGTTAAATAAGATATGATTGCTATTATTATAAGACTTGAATAATAATAAAAAAAATAAAAATTTATGTAAAAACAAATAATGCAATTCACTATTTATTAAAAAAACAAAAAAAAAATAAATAAAAGAGCAAGCATATGTATGGCACATTCCAAAAATTCCGGCACACCCGAGTGTCATTATTATATTGCCATTTATGTAAATTTTTATGGTATATTTAAAAAAAAAACTTGTAATTTTCAATATGGGGGCTGTTTATTTATTGTTTCCTTTTTTTTGTATAATTATATTTTTGCAATTTTTATGTGCATTTTTCTAGGTAACTTTGCATATATAGGATCTAAGATGTTATTTATGAATTTTAAAGGTCAGTGTCTAGGTTTATCGAAGAATTCTTTCTAAAAAATAACAATATGAATTATATTACTGATAAATTGTTCCTACTTGCCTTTTTTGATCGGAAAAATGTTTTTTTTTTTTTAAATTCCATAAGATATTCAATTAAAATTTTGTATTTCATTTTTCTAACTTCCTGTGTTTTTCATTGTTGTTCAAATTTCGATATAGGTAAGCTTAAATTTTGTAATGTAAACTATTGTTTTGTAAAGTAAGCTTAAGTTAAAAATATGCAGAAAAATTCTTAATGAATTGCTGTTCTGTACTACGCTGGCTTTACTTATTTTGTAATAAATCGCTAGGTTTCAGCACTGTCACCTACATACTGGGAACATTTCTTAACATGGGAGTTATGAAAAAAATATTGTTATACCCTGCACTTCGTGAAGGGTATATTAACTTTGGTATGGGGTTTGTAACTACTTGAAGGAGTCATCATATGTCCATACCGCAGATGACTCTTCTTGCTCAGCGTAAAATTCTACGTTGATTTAGACATGTCCGTCCGTCCGTCCGATCGCACTATAGCTCAAAAACGAATAATGCAATCGACACCAAACTGTGTTGTTTCATAAGTTGTTTCTTTTGTGCCAAGGACAAACCCTATTGTAATTGAACTAATTCGGACAACGTGTTTGGGTAGCTGCCATACAACTCAAAGAGTTTATTTTAAATATTTCAAAAACTAATAAAGGTATCAATATAAAATTTTGTATACATGTGTCCAATTATGTTCTACATATGCTCTGAAAATTTTAATGGGATAGCTGCACCGGTTCGGGTGGCTGCCATACAACTCCAAAGCAATTTTTTTATATTCGGGAAAATAATAAAGTCAGATTCATGAAACTGGGCAGTTGTGTGTCCAATCATAGATCAGACATATCCGTGAAGCTTTTGTAGAATGGTTTCACAGGTTTGAGTAATTGCTATGCAACAACGAAAGGTGCAGGGTATAATTATACAACGTTCTTACTTGTTTTTATTTTATTTATGTTAGGTACCTTAACACAAAAATTGTTTATTTGGGCAAAAAAGTTAATGGTCTATAGTCTTTATTAATATAATACCTTTTAGTACGTGATCTAAGACTTGACACAAAATAACCTTTCATCTCTCTATTTAATTAATTAAAAACATTTTAAATTTTCTTTTATATTGTGATATCGTATATGACATGAATGTGAAATTTAAAATTATAAGTTATAGTTTTGAAATATTTTATAATAAATTGTGTTTGTTAATATTTGACTTAATATAATTATTTTATATATTTTAATAATAGTAATTAAACACAAGTTATTAACACTAATTTATTTATACTGGTGGAAAAAAAACTAATTATTTATTCTAAAATATAGTGTTTATTGCGTGAATACATTTACATTTTAAATGTGTATATGCCACCTATATATATATTACAATATGTCGGCATACATAACATTCAATATTATAATCTATACATATTAATCGTCATGTTGCAATTTAATTTACTTAATGTTTTTGAAAATTTCTACAAGATTTAATTTGGGTTTTGGTTTTGAAAAGAACATATGTTGCGTATCAATCAAGAATTTCCTGATTGTTTGAAATACACACATATCCTTTAGTTTAATTGTATATAAAGCAATATTAATTAGTGTTAATTATATATAATTAGTATTTAAAAATGACGAAAAGATTCTAAATAATTTTAAATTTCTATAAATAGTAATATGAAAGAGAATATCCTGTTTTAAATTCAAAAATAATGTTATTAATAACTATTGTGATTATAATTAATTCTTTAGCTATAATTAACCAGATTTATATAAGAACATAATTTAGTCCTATTCTGAAACTTGAACCTTTTTTTTATATTTCTTTAAATACATGAAATTCACATATGAGGAAATGCGAATTACAACTGACATATTCTGGTCTTAAGAATTACATTGCTATACTATATCTTAGGGGTATTTTTATCACACACAATATATAAAATGAAATCGGTAATTAACAATAATAATTAAAAGGCAAAAGTTTAATTGTACTTAAATGCAAATTAACAATTATCAACAATTTCCATTTTTAATTAAAGAAGGTAAGAACTCAGCTTAATGTTTTAGCTAAATAGTTATACTATGGTATGGTAACACTCTTTTCATATTTTTCTATGATTTGGATTTGTGCAAATACTTGCATATTAAAAATTATAATTCTACCGTTGATCCAACAATTGAATAATTTAATTTAGAATTTATCATCGACTGAAAGTTCAGCAGAATTTGTATAGTCAAAGCTGATACTGTTAAATTAGTCGGACAATACGAAACAATTGAGTTTATTTTTTTTTTTCTGTTCCTTTTAAAGGAGGAACTAAAATGTATATGATTATTAATTTTTTTCACGCTATGTAATGACATTTTGATAAAATATACACACTAATAATATTTTCATTAATTTATTTCAAAGGCGGAATGTTGTACTTTGAATCTAATAATTAATTTATTCATTTGGTATGTATAAGTGCAGGTCTGTATAATTACTTCTGTTACTTTTTAGCAAGAAATGCAAACAAAATGAAAAAAAAAACAATAATTATGAAAAATTAGAATTGTAATATTCGATTGAAAACCATTAATGTAACACAATTTTTATTTGTTTGATTCAGTTACACCCCTACAAAATATTTTCTATATTATTTTTATGCTTTTTTAACCATAAAATATGAAAACAATATGTCCCTCAACAAAGAAATAATTTTAATTTGTCACTCACCATGTTTTCATTTTATATACACCTTTACGGACACAAACATACAGTGTGAAATAGAGCAAAAATAGCATTAAATTCAGTATTTTTCCAATATGGGTTTTATAGGAGAACAAGGATATTTCAACAAAGTGTATAAAGTTTTATAAGAAAAGTTTTATAAGAAAAGGACTTCACCCTGAGATGGGAAATGTTATAATATTGTATTAATGCAGAATTCAGCTTATAAATTTCAATTGCTGAATTTTGTAACGATACAGTATTGATACAATTCCGATATCAGGGTCAATAATGAATTCCGTTTGTTCTGTAATTGAATTGAAACCGTCTCGTAAACCTCTGAATTTCGCCTTTTCACATATTATACAGTATTAGGGATTGCGACAGATGTGTGTAGTTGCACTCTCTTTAGCATTCATTTAGCATTTTTTCTTTAGGTTCCTTTATGATTAAAGTGTAAAAAACATTGCTTATATTTTCTTAAAATTAAATTAATTGAATTATTTCTCCACTGTATATTACAAAAATTATTATTATTTTTTCATTTTCATTTTATATTTTTCAATTTTTATTTTTAAAATTAATTACATCTTGTTTCTTATTAAATTGTAATTCAAACTAGATAACCTTGCATTTCCGTTAAAATTTATTAAAAAAAAAAAAAGCGATAAAACCATAACAAGAAAAAAATGTGCAAAAGTGCAATTTAATTCGTTCATTAAATTGCATTATTACACACACAATATCCCATATATAATGCATTAAATGTATAATATCTGCTCTATATATATATGTATGTACATAATACGTTCTTATTATAAGGTAAATTGAAATTATTTTAACACCTGGCCATTTTCTTAATAGCACTCTGTTATTATTAAAATTGAAATTTTCTAGAATCTGCAGAAAAAAATTCTCCTTAATTTTGTTTTTCTTCTTTTTTACTCATTTTTCTTTTTTGCTATAAGAAAGCAAGTTAAATTTAACTGAATTAAAATTCTTTAAGTTATAACAGTTACACGTAAATGCAAGTATAACAGAGTGCAGTGGTGTAGTAAGAAGAAAATTTAAAAGCTTTCATAAGTAAGTCTTTATTTTTTTAGCGATATACTTTTGTGTATATATATGTACATATAACGGTTAAAGAAAGAGTAAAATTAAATTTAAAGTAAAAGAAAACAAAAAAAAATATATATATATATATGTTTGTAATAGAACAGTTAATTAAAATTGCAAAGTAGGGTTAATTAATGGAATAGCTGTGTGCTAAGAAGTGTGCTAAACATAGGGTAGATGGTTGCGAAAGCTCATAATATAGAAAAAAGTGTATTGTGAATGCAATTTTAAGCTTGTGAAATTTTCATATTTGCAGCTTATACAAATTATTAATATATTCTATACTTTATATATATAGTTATGTAGTACAATAGAAAAATATAATTGCATAGTAAATAGTAAATTTTCATAATTGATCACATATATTTTTTTCTTGCTCTCTATATACTTACTAGCTAATTGTTAATTCAAATAACTTTCACACTAATTATAATATTTGTTATATATTAATATTATTTGATTAACTGTTATTTAATTTATATACCTACAATAATAATAATAATAATAATAATATGTTAATAATTATTATACGCCAAAATAAATTGCATTCTAGTATAAATAACACTGCAATTCTTTAACTTGACATCACAGTTTACTTAGACTTCTGAAGTAAAGTCAGATCTGAAGAAAACTTCTAATTTTTCAAATAATCTAAAAATAAAAAAACAAAAAATGAAAGTGAGTAAGAAGAAACATTATAAAAATAAACAAAAAAGGATAACTTTTAACTATAATAAGGATAACAATTTAATTAAATTTGCGTTATAAAAATTGAAAAATATTCAAAATTTAAAATCTATAACAAAAAAGTATTTAAAAACATAAAATTTCATTTGAATTTTTTTTGTGTTCATAGTTCTTCTGTGCAATTGTTGTATTAGCTTTGGCTGTTGGTACTCAAGCATCAGTTATTCCATGGGGTGCATGGGATGATGGTCAATGGCATGGTGATATTTGGGGAGATCATGGACATTGGGATGGTGCATGGGCTCATCCAGCTGTACTTACACCAGGAATTGCTTTAGCACAAGGTGGTCATGGTGCTGCTGTAGTACATGCACCAGCTATTGCTGTACATGCACCAGCAGTTGCTGTACATGGTGCTAGTAGTTATGTAGCTAAAACTCGTGGTGCTGTACATACTGCTCCTTTAGCCGGTCATATTGCATCAGTATCATCTGTTAATGTTGCTCCAGCTCCAGGAACTCATTAAATTTACAATTGAGTTTAATATTTTCAGTTTGATATAGCTAATACATTTAATACCACACAAAGTAAAAATTAACAAAAAAAAAAAATACTTTTAAAATTAAAAACCTTTTTTTTTTTGGAGTACATACACGAACCAATCATTATTACATACATATGTACATATATTTCGACATAAATCTTTGTAAATATGAATTGTAAATAATTATTTTTTTTGTTTAAAAAAATTGTATAATAAAATTTAAATAAATTGCATATTTATTAAGTTTACAAAAAAAAAAAGTTATTTAGTATTTTATTTTTACATTAAGTTTTAAAATTTTATGAGAATTCAAGAGAGCAGTCTTTAGTTTTCAGTTTTACTGAAAGAATGAAATTTACATAATATGCTTATATACCTTAACTAAAGTAAAAACCAGCAGGACGATATTGAAAATCCTGAAATAATATTCTTACATCCCTAAAAATTTAAACAAATTTAAAACAATGGTATCTCGAGCAATCATAGGTAAACATAATTCAGTTTACAATTTTTGGAATTTACTGATATAACAAATTCCTGCATTGTTCGTATAGCAGAAGTAAAAAAAAAATATTTAATTAAAATCTAATTTTCTAATTAAAAAATTCAAATTAAAATGTAAAAATTACAAAATTTTGAAAAAAAAAAAAAAATAATTATTGTAACGAAACTAAATTTTAAAAATAAAAAAAAATTGTAATTCACAACTTCAAGTCAAGGTGATCACGCTCCATATTTACCTTTTATACCAAAAATTAATTCAGTTGGAAATTTTATACAATGTTATAGCAAGTGTTTGGCTATACCAAAACAATTTAATAATATTTTCGCTATATAATTAAATTGTGGGTAATTTGTTTATTTATCTCTTGTTATTAAATATTAAAAGTAATTTTAGACTATTATGAAAAGCTTGTTAACGATTAATTGCAGTTCTATTGAAAATTATTTTGTGTATGTAAGTACAGAATTGCTTTATTCCTAAAAAAAATAAGATTTATATTTAAAACTCTTTAACATATGTAAGAATTTTTGAAGTTACCTATAATTATTAGTAATATTATTCCTAGATCAACCCACACCTAGCTACTAAAAAACCGTTATGGGATCGATGCCTATTTCTGCAAGTAGTACTACACTCCTTGATTAATAATAGGTATTTATGCATGCTCTCGTCAATTTCCCTTATGTTTGTTATGTCTTTTATAACACTTGAAGTTCCTTCCGTTGTGTGTAATCTCTGTTATGTATATATAATTTGAAATTCCTTTCATATATTTCTTTACCCAAATATTTCTTGAACTTTTGTTTCACAGAATTTCACATCCTGCACAATCCAATTTCACATCACAAACTTTCTTAGCACATCCTGCATTCAAAATAATAAATATGAACATTTTGGTACGAAAATGTTTGTGTCACACAAGAAAGTAGTTGTAAACTGTAAGAAATAAAAAATCCTGAATAAATTTTGGATAAAAAAATTGTATACGATAATTTTGACTTTTTTTTGACAATCAAAAAAAACTTTGGGCAGGGTGCATTTTATCTTAAATGGTGTTAAATGGCGTTTATCTTATGGGGTACTTATATTTTTCTTGATTATTTAAACAAATTCATTTTATCTTTTATATTTTTAAATTAACATTTTTTGAACTATTGTAGGACACGATATGAAAAACAACAACACGTTTGTTCCAATTGTTTGAAAAATGACTTTTGGAATTTTTTTTTTTTATTTTTTTCGGTTGACTTTAATAACCTTGGTGCTACTGAAAAAAATTAAAAAAAAAAAAATTTTATTTTTGGTACAAATAAACCAATATGGTAAATTTTTTTTCAATTTTTGTTGTTGCTCTTCTTATAATTATTGTTGTTATTATGGCTAGATAAGCTTTCAGGTGAGTTTAAAAATAGCATTGTTATCGTGTTTGTGTATGTAACTTATGCTTGTTACCAAAATGTGTGATTGGAATTTTTTTTTTTAAGAATTTCCTAAGGTAAAATAGGCATTTTTGCAATAAAATTGAGCTGAAAACTTTAATAGCTTTTAACGATGTGATTAAAAAATCAAGTGAATGACATTTAAAAAAAAAACCAACAAAATAATGCTACAGTTACACCACCCTTTCATAATTAAATAAAGATCACAAAATTAACTTAATTTTTGGCTAGTTTAATTCTTGAATTTGAGTTTTATTGATTTTGGTATAAATAAGCGTAAAATATTTGATATTAGTATAGTCACTCAAAGGTCTTCGAATTAATAACACTAAAAAAACAAAAATTTTAAAATTCAACATGAAGGTATTTCAGTTTACATTTACAAAACAGTCAATTTTATTGCCGAATATTAATTTTATATTTACATTTTTTGAATAGTTCACACTTATTGTAGTCATGTTAGCTATGGCTTTTGCTGTTGATGCTTCAGCTATTGGTTGGTCGGCTCATCATCATCCAGAATTGAGTGTATGGGGTAATGGATTGTGGGGTGGACATCATAATGATTGGCATGGTGATGATTGGCATTCTGGTCATGCACATCATGGTGATTGGCATCATGGTGGTTGGGATGATGGACATTGGTCACATGGACATGCTCATACACACGGTATTAGTTTAGCACAAGGTGGTGGTTGGGATCATCATCATCATGGACCAGTTCATGCACATCATGATCATCATCATCATGGACATGATGGACATTATGTTGCCAAAACTCGTGGAGCTGTACACACAGCCCCATTACCAGGACATATTGCATCAGTAAAATCAATCAATGTTGCTGCACCACCTGCTGGTCATTAATTATAATTGAAAAAATATTTTTATGAATCGATCCAAAAAAAAATTTTTCTTTTAATAAAAATTAATTTATTGACAAAAATTTACTTCTGTTTGTTTGTATTAATATGTTTAGTTATCTTCCATATTTTAAAAGTTTAAAAGCTAATGTTATTCCTGCTCCCACTTCGAAATTTCTCAAGAGAAAATAAAGAAATTTTTACAATTTACCTGTGACTTTTGATTTGAGTTCGAAGGTTTGACGATCCTATCTTTGACGTTGTAGAGAATCCGCCTGTTCCGGAAGCTTTACAAGGATTGCAGTGTATATAAAAGACAACGCATACCAATTCATGAGGCGTAGAAAGAAGAAATGTGCTTATTATTCCATAATTGCGCGACCTAAAAGCTTAAATTTGATTCCAAATATAATTTTGCTCTTAAAAAAAAGGAAGCAATATGCTTCTTATTCATTCATATGAAAATTTCATCGTATAATCATTTTTCTTTACGGAGAATTGAGAAAATTCGTCTTAAAATGAATATTTTTTTAGTGGTTTGTTGTTGATGAAAATTTTTGAAAGAGTTAATGAACTGCACGTATTCACAAATTAAACTTGAAATTAAAATTATTAAATAAGAAAAACCTGAAAGAAAACTAATTAAAAGTAAAAAAAATCCAAAAAGATAAAATTTTTTAAATTTTATCTTGATTACATAAGTGAATCTACTCAAGTGTATCAGAAGTCATTGTTTTGTTTTGAAAAAATCAATATTAAGGTCACTTTGACAGGAAAATGGGTAATTAACCTTGAAAAATTTACATGCAGTCTTTATCAAAGGGTTTTTATAAGTAAAATGAAAATTTATGGTTTAGTAAAAACAGTTAAGTGTCCACAAAATGAATCAACTCAAAAATTCGCTTCAGTGCACTTGAATTGCGTTTAATTCAGAATATTTTTAATGTATTAAATTATTTTTAAACTCGTATGAACGAAGGTTCGTATTTTTCACATGTATTCATTCTTAATAAGCTTCGAGTTCTAAATCAATATAAATTTGTATGTTTGGCAGTCCATTCGCCTGCCCGATGTTCATCGTAATGAACTGCTTCGGTATACTTGCGATGCAATTAAAAAAAAATTGTGTATAACTATTGAGTTGTAATATGAAGCTCAATGTTGTATCAAAAAGTTTTTGTAGTTGAGCAAATCTTACAATAATTGTACAAACATTTTTTTATTATTTTCCGATACACTCAATCAAAATCAATATTTTTTTCAAAATTAAAAATCAAATTTATCTAACAAATATAAAAATTCTGGATTTAAAAATAAATTCTATTTATTTATAATAGCAATAAAATTTTTAGGATACTTGAATTAAAGAGGCGCCATCCCATAAATTTCATAATTTTCTTTAATCCTTGTATAGAATTTCAAATTCTTGACCTTCTTAATATTACAGTTACAACAATTATAGCAATTAATGTTATAAGTTATAAATATTTTCATTACCATTGTTTGCTTGTTTAACCAACTTTGCCGCAATATTCTACAAGTTAAATCTTAGCGGAAAATTTTTATATTGGCATTTAAATTATAATTGTCTTATCTGAATCTTAAATTAAAAATATTTTCTATATTTCTTGGTTTTTTTTTTATTTTTGCTGCTTGGTCATAAAAATGAAATATTTATTAACTTCAATTTGATTAAGTTATAAAAAAATGTTAAGTAAAATTTGCGATCGTATTTCATATTTAATTTAATCAATATCGATTAAGAATTGAGAGAAAGAAAAAAAACAATAAATTTCTTTAATAAATTATGAATTTTATTTTATTTTCTATATTTGCACAGATAGCATTTGTGGAATTTCTATAATTTTCAAGCTAATTGCATATAATTTTATCAAAAGTTGTAGAATTTGCTCTATATACATATAAATAAATAATTATTTAACAATAATTATTAAATGACGTTCTTAATGACCTGCCGGAGGTGCAGCAACATTAATTGATTTTACTGATGCAATGTGTCCTGGCAATGGGGCAGTATGTACAGCTCCAAGTGTTTTGGCAACATAATGTCCATGATGATGATGATGATGATGGTCATGATGTGCATGAACTGGTCCATGATGATGATGATCCCAACCACCACCTTGTGCTAAACTAATACCGTGTGTATGAGCATGTCCATGTGACCAATGTCCATCATCCCAACCACCGTGTTGCCAAGCATCACCATGCCAATCATTATGATGACCCCATCCATTACCCCATACGCTCACTTCTGGATGATGATGAACTGACCAATCAATAGGTGATGCTTGAATTGCAAAAGCAAAACCTAACAAAGCTAAAGCGATTGTGAACTACAATAAAATTTTTGTAATAGCAACAAATTAGTACTCTTAATTTTCATTTTTTTTTTTAATTGTTCATACCTTCATGTTTTAATTTTAAAAATTAAAAAAAATTTTTGGTTTTGAATGATTGAACGATTTAAATGAAACTCTGATAAATTTGATGAATTCTTTTGCTATTTATACAAAGAACTGACATTTTGCTTGGAGTACAAAAACTTTACACTACCATTAGTTTACAAAAATTTACAAAAACAAAAATTTACCAATTCTTGTTCAATATGAAAATTATTAAATTTTTGTGCTGTCTGTCTTTTTTACTCTTTATTTTCAACTACCCACAAAAGATAAAAAAAAAAAACAAAAAACTCAAAAATAAAGCATAGCAAAAGAAATAGAAGTAGGAATTAATTTTTTGCCGAAATTTTTCAATTAAAAGTTGAACTAATTAAAAATTTTTTGAATTTATTAACTAGGTGATTAAAATTTTTAATAATAGTATTAAAAATCTACAAAAAATCGATAAGAATTCATTTGAAAAGTAAATATGATTGGTGTTTCATAAGTTTTGAAATTCCATGAGCACTCATTTGAATAATGAGTAAAATTTAGTGATTGCTATACTGGCTCTTGTGTACTAGGTATTATTTAGAAGGTTAAATTTCTTGTATTTTTCTTCCATTCGAAATATGCACAAAAAAGTCACACATAGTAACTCAAAATCCTAAATTTATTTTCTTGTTAGAGAAAAGCACACTAGCCTTTTCACTTTTTCTAGTTTTCTTTTGAATCAGTTATTAAAACTGTTAAAAAATTTTTAATCACATCGTTCGAAAAAATTTTTCAATGAATTTTTTGATATAAATAAGTTGAAAATTTTTGATTTAATTATAGTTCGTTCACTTCCTTCAAACAACTCAAATCAAAGTTTAACAAATTAAAATTAAAAACATGAAGGTAGGACGTTTTAAGGGCTAGAATATTTAGAAAATTATTTAAGTTATATTTTTTACAGTTCACAATTGTTGTAGTCATGTTAGCTATAGCTTTTGCTGTTGATGCTTCAGCTATTGGATGGTCAGTTCATCATCATCCACAATTGAGCGTATGGGGTGGACATCATAACGATTGGCATGGTGATGATTGGCATTCTGGTCATGCACATCATGGTGATTGGCATCATGGTGGTTGGGATGATGGACATTGGTCACATGGACATGCTCATACACACGGTATTAGTTTAGCACAAGGTGGTGGTTGGGATCATCATCATGGACCAGTTCATGCACATCATGATAATCATCATCACGATCATCATCATCATCATGGACATTATGTTGCCAAAACACTTGGTGCTGTACATACTGCCCCATTACCAGGACATGTTGATTCCGTAAAATCAATTAATGTTGCTTCAGCCCCAGGAACTCATTAAATTTCCTTAACATAATTCATAATTTCCTTAATATAATTTCATAATTATTTTTATAAATTGTGCAAATTGTGTTGTATATATGTACACGATTTTATATCATAAGTTTGAAGAAAGGAGAACAAATAAAAAAAATATTTATTTATTTAAAGAAATTTGCTACTTTAGTTATTATTCCTCTTTGAAGAGTTTTGAAAAATAAAACATCGAGCTGGAAATTTTCGAATTTAAAAATACTTGTAATTTTTAAGTTCTGCTCAAGAATTGTAATAAAAATAAAGTATAAAGGGCATTATATATTTGTGATCTGGTTTGATAATAAATAAGTCATAACATATTAGATCACACTCGCTTTAGTAAATAGGATGCACATGCACATAAATCTGATCAATGCAATTCACAAATTAGATATTGAAGTTCAAAAACTTCTGTCAATAACTACAAGGCATCACAACATCCTTGCAAAATCTTTTCCGTTTCTGCACTACAAGAAGTGCAATGTTACAAAAAGCAATGAACAATGAATAAATATTTCACCATACTCCCATATGAAAGAAACGAAACAGTCTAATTTTTCAGCTAAAATAAAAAATTTGTGAAGTTTAAAATTGTATAGTTAAGATTTTACTATCCTCACTCAGCGTTCTCCCATTCAGTGATCCGCTCCAGTTGATCCACCGACCAGATGACTCTTTATGTCGAGATTTGCTGCTCAAATCCTGATTATCCCTAATTTTTCTAACATGGTTATTCCAACCCTGCTTAGAATACTGAATACCCACCTTAAGCACCGTCTCAAAGGTTTTGTACACATTTAGAAGAGCATCCTTTTGTTTCGACTGCATATCGTAATATTTAAACAACTAATACTAGCAATCTCATCATGAATACTCAATCAATTAACATCAGGAATGGATTTCTCTTTTTTTTATTGGTTCCGCATCATTCCCTTCATGGTGTTCAGTTGATCTTATAAATCTTGTATAACTTTTAAGGGAGACGCGTTGAAATTTAAGTATAAGGAATCCACTCTCCTTGCAAAAATTGTGTTGTTACCATGTAGGGCAGTTATTGACGGTTTCAAGACCTTTGGCCACTGCGTGTTAATTTTTTTGACTTTCTCTTCAACAGCAATTGTAAGCACGTCCTTCAGATTGTTCAATTTGTCTTTTATCTGGCGAAGAATTTGCAAGACATGATAACAGCCTATTGACGTTATCAAAAGACTTTGCTATTTTAACGAAGCTACTTTAATTTTGAAATAACTACAAACAATTTATCGTGTAGTATTCAAAGTTGCAGTTCCACATACTGGTAATTCACGCATCTGAAATCCGTGCATGTGTTGCTTCAAGAAAAGACAGTACCAGTCCTTTTCAGCCTCGGCGCCCATGAACATCTCCAGGTCTACACCCCATGAATTTGTCTATAGGGAGTCTACACATCTCACCATTCAAGATTTATTATTATAAATGGTACAAGATTTCATACTGCATTTATAACTCATAGTAGAATGCACAACGTAATTGAGTTCCAATAAATTAAAAAGTAGGTAAAAATGTATACTATAACTTAAGCAGAAAAATTTTTTTAAGGTCTATTTTATATTCAATTTTTTTTATTACGCAATATGCTAGTGTTTCAGTTTAATTTAAATTATTCGATTAAAGGTGTGACCGTAAACAAATTTTGCTGACCAAACAATTTGTAGCAAAAAATAGGTATTCGCCTAATTGTAAAATAAACCCTAAGAAACGAAAAAATAAATAAATAAACCAAGTGTTCCAAAAATTTTGAGTTCCACAGGATAATCGAGCCGCTAACGGTTAAAGAAAATTATTTGCAGTAACTGCCCAAGGACTGGGTTGCAGGAAAAATCCGCGTACTGCTATTTATTAAGTTAAGGTCGAAGAAATTTACTTTGTCACTTTTATTTATAATAAAAATGCCCAAATCGGAAAAAAACATAAACTTTCGTTTTCCAATTTAAGGGGTTGGAGGGTTAAAATTCCAAGTTTAATATTTTTTTTTTGTTATTTGTGTATTAAAATAAGCTAACGTGCCAAATTTCAGCTTTCTGGTATAGCAAATGAAAAAGTCTAAAACATAACAAATATGAAACTTTAAATGTTTAGGAGTTCCCATTAGCATCATACTCGGGGAGTTGTGGTTGCGTAAGGTAATACAAACACGAGTAAAAATAAATAAACAAAAAATATATTTTTTAGTGACTTCAACGACAGTTTCGCTAACCATTCGTGATTAAATTTCAATTATATTCCATATCATATATGTCTGGCATTCACAAGGCCACTTTAAAAGCAGTTTGCCAACAAATTCACTTTCAAAATTTCCTTTTCGAAAGCCAAAACATCTCACAAGAGCACTTAAAAATCTTTTCAGCTATTCTCTTTAGACTTTGCAGTTTTTTTGAACCGATTTCCAAAACTACTGCTGCGCAAAAATAAAGGTCTAATGAATGCTTCTTCAATGGTATTCTGCAACTTATTTCGGGAGCTTTTTTTCTCGGCTCCGACAAAAATAGCAAATGAAAAATGTAAACAACAATGTCCCACACAGCAATATTTGCTAAATTTTGAACAGAAGGAAACTAAGAACTAAAGAACTATTTCTGAAAAATATTTCATTGTTTCAGTATTAAAGGGTTCACCTTTTTTTGATAATTTGTATTTCAATTACTCAAATCCACTCAATGCGAAACATTATTTACTAAATATTAATTTAAAAGAAATTTCATGTTGACCATGAATTTATATTTTCAAATAATGATCGATATAAAAGCAATTGAAACCTGCTTCTGGTTATGATTTTTAGAGTGTTATATCCGCAAGCTTAAATCCACCTTTTATCAATATTTAACCCAAATACCATACGATTAAACTCTTAAATTATTATTTAAATGACAGTTACATATAATTATATCACATAGTGACCAATACACCTACAATACCTAAAAAGAAGTAGAAAAAAATACAAATGAAAATAAATGAATTTATTCAAAAAACAAAAAAAAAACAATAACAATCAATTTTTGGATACGCAAAGTTAAAGCAAAAAAAAACCTGTATGGTAGGCAACTCGTACGAAAATGAAACAATTTTAAAACTATTACTACAATTTTCATGACCAGTAATTATTTGATTAAAGAATTTTTAATCATAATTAGATCGAAAAAATTTTTCAATGAATTTTTCGATATAAATAAGTTGAAAATTTTTGATTTTATTATAGTTCGTTCACTTCCTTCAAACAACTCAAATCAAAGTTTAACAAATTAAAATTAAAAACATGAAGGTAGGACGTTTTAAGGGCTAGAATATTTAGAAAATTATTTAAGTTATATTTTTTACAGTTCACAATTGTTGTAGTCATGTTAGCTATAGCTTTTGCTGTTGATGCTTCAGCTATTGGATGGTCAGTTCATCATCATCCACAATTGAGCGTATGGGGTGGACATCATAACGATTGGCATGGTGATGATTGGCATTCTGGTCATGTACATCACGGTGATTGGCATCATGGTGGTTGGGATGATGGACATTGGTCACATGGACATGCTCATACACACGGTATTAGTTTAGCACAAGGTGGTGGTTGGGATCATCATCATGGACCAGTTCATGCACATCATGATAATCATCATCACGATCATCATCATCATCATGGACATTATGTTGCCAAAACACTTGGTGCTGTACATACTGCCCCATTACCAGGACATGTTGATTCCGTAAAATCAATTAATGTTGCTTCAGCCCCAGGAACTCATTAAATTTCCTTAACATAATTCATAATTTCCTTAATATAATTTCATAATTATTTTTATAAATTGTGCAAATTGTGTTTTATACATGTACACGATTTTATATCATAAGTTTGAAGAAAAGAGAACAAATAAAAAAAAAATATTTATTTATTTAAAGAAATTTGCTACTTTGGTTATTATTCCTCTTTGAAGAGTTTTGAAAAATAAAACATTGAGTTAGAAATTTGCAAATAATGCTTAACCAATAATAAGAAGTACACAAGTGTCCTGGTAACATAAAAGAACTAATTACAATCTAAATGTAACCTGTTGTTTTTTTTCTTAAATGTCCTCGAGTAAAATGTGAAATACAAACTTTGCTAACATTTCCACTTTACAAACCGCAAAGAAATTTTATTTTAGGAATAACAAAAGTGAATTCCGATTTAAACAAATTATTTTTTTCATAAAATATTTGAATAATTTATGAATAGAAAAAAATAATCACATTCTTAATTCAAAATTACACTCACATATAGATCATACTAATCTCAATTAATATTGGCAGTCAATAAGAATCGGCTTCATATCTAACTGATTAATATAGAAAGTTGAAAATTATGACAATTTTAAATAAAAATATTTTCACAGTGTGTCAATTTGATTTATTGAAATATAATATTCATAAAAATAATAATTTACAACCAGTTGGATTAAAGTCAGAGAAATAAATTTAATTTGCAATAAAACAAGAAAAAATTAACCTTGAAACTAGATAAATCATTCTATTTTATTAATCCAAATTATGCAGAATCTGAAGAAACAGGGAGCTTACAACTCACACACACCTTCTGTGGTTTCCAATACATTTAAAGTTGAAAAATGAAATAACATCATTAGACTGCTACTACTTTTCAATCAAAAATTTAAATTTCTTTTAAAAATTGTACAAAGAATTTATACAATAAAAACATCGTACCTTCCGGTGTGCTCTATTAAACTGAAAACGTTCTGAAGGATATTGGAGTTGTTAAAAGAAGTTATATAGCTAATATAGAAATGTCAAGCTATTCTAGAATATTTTATTTTAAACATTAATATAATATGATATTCAAACTTTTTTTTTGCTAAAATACCTTTGTTACAGCTCCTATTAATCAAATTGATAGAATTTCTAATTGAATTCATTGCGAAATTTTTTTTGCTGGAAACTTCCTTTGAGAGCATAGGTCTTCTACAAAGTCTCTCTATCGAACACTGTTATACGCCAATATTTTTATTTCTGCCCAAGTTTTTCCGGTTGCGAGTGGAAATTCTTTTATTATTGAACTCTTTCATGTTAAGAATGGCCTTCCCACACCAATGTTATTCTTCGGCTTCCATGCATGCCCGATTCTTTGAATTTTGTTCTTTTTATGGTAACTTCTACTGGTTCCTGGCTTCTAATCTCCAACATTTCTGTGTTTGCTACTTGTCTGGGCCAATGCGCGTTGCTAATAATTCAAGCAATTATTTAACATTGCTTGCAGTAGCTCCGTGTCGTTTTTTTCTACGAATCAGGTCTCACTACAGTATAGCAGAACAGACTTAACGCATTTATGAGATATGCAAAGCTTTGTTGATAGCCAAGTTGTGCTGATTTCCAGATCCTTGAAAGTCGATATCAAATGCTATTCTTGCCGTCTTAATTCTATTTTTGATGTTTTCATCTGTCTTCCCCCGCCCCCCACTTGTGGTTATGATACTACCAAGGTTATTGAATTGGCTGACATCCTCCATTGGGCTTAAGTTGACTACAAAACTGTCCACGTTATTTGCATTGATTGGCGTTGACTTCGTTTTTCCCTCGCATTAAGAAACTTAACATATACATTCGTGCATTTTGGAATGTTCTCTCAATAACAAAATTTTAGAAATCAAAAATATTACACCATTAACTATAGTATAATATAATTAAATATTATAGTTGGTACCTAACCACCCAAAAATCTAACACTTTTTCAATTTAAAATTTCATATATGTTGTAATGTCAGCCACAGAGAGGAATCTCTGCACCTTTTCTTATATTATTATTTACTGATGAATTATATATCGAACATTTATACTCCAATGACGTCACGTATAACGTGAGTAATTTATTTGCACTTCACCATAGTGGGTCTATGTAATAAATATCAAAATGTGTATGCAAAAACACAAAAAGGAAATTAATTTTTTTTATGACGTCATATAAATAATTTATAATTAAATCTTTCATATTTTAATTTTCCTTCTAATATTTTAAATATATTTTAATTTATATCCGCCAATTTACTTAGTAGTAATACGAGTATGGAAATAAATATAACACTTTACATAAATTTTTGCTGTTTTACAATTTATTGAAACTACAAAGGCTACCGATCGCAATAATGTCAATAACACAGAGCAAGGGTAATATTGATCTATCTACTAATGAATACGTATACATATAATTAAAATCCATTTTATTCTCTGTTATTTGCTTATAGGTAAGCTTGTCTTACATACATAACAGATGGAAATTCATAAATAATTAAAATATTCTAATTGAAATATAAAATTCATGCTTTTTTTTTTTTTCTCTATACATTTAAGGTTATTTAAATTAAATTCATTTATATAAATGCACTTACCAGTATGTATGTACACATATACTTAATAAATATTTGCTTTATATTTTATGTTATAGATTAAAATTCCGAAATTCTAATTAATATAGAGTATTTGCATATATTATATTAATTTATTGACAAATGGCTACAATTAATTTGATTTAACAGTATATTTACATATTTTATACAAATTAGGAAACATTGTTGCCCAATACAAATACAACAACAAAAGAAAGTTCTCAATTAATTTTTATAAATAAGATGTTGTGAGTTTTTAAATAGTATTCTTTTTTTTTTCTTTTTTTCTCCTTACTCCTCTTGGGAGCATAGGGCTTCCACTTGACATCTCCATCTTGTTCTATTTTGGGCTATTTGCTTGACTTGACTCCATGTTAGACCTGCGTTTTCTAGTTCTGATTTTACAGATCTACGCCAGGTGTTTCTGGGGTGTCCAGGTCTTCTTGAACCCTGCGGGTTCCACTCTAAGCTCATTTTAGCGATATTATTGTTGGGTTTTCTTAGAGTGTGCCCAATCCATTTCCACTTTCTTCTTCTTATTTGGCTTCCGATAGGTTCTTCGCCTGTTATTATCCCGAGGTCTTTGTTGCTTATCTGTCTTGGCCAGAATATGCGACATATTATTCTGAGGCATCTATTGATGAATACTTGCAACTTTTGACTGGTAGATTTTGATGTTAGCCAAGTTTCGCTACCATATGTCAGAACCGATTTCACACAAGACCGGAATATTCTGACCTTAGTCGTTCTGGAAATCTGCCTACTTTTCCATATTGGCTGCAGTCTACCGAACGCCGCTCTTGCTTTCTTCAGCCTGTTGTCTATATCTTCTTGGGCTCCGCCCTCAGCTGTTATGAAGCTGCTAACGAACTCTATTTGTTGGTTATTGAGTTCCAGACTGGCTGTGCTAGTAGAGTTTATTTTCATCGCCTTGGTTTTGTCTATGTTTATTTCTAACCCCACAAGTTTGGCAAATTTTTCAAGGTGTTTTAATTTCCTCTGCATGTCGCTGATTTTGTGGGACAGAAGGCAGATGTCATTTGCATAATCTAGATCCTCCAGATGTTGAGTGAAACTCCAGATTATGTCCCTTCTCTGTGAGCAGACAAGTTGCAAGATGTTATCTAGCACGATTGTGAAGAACAGCGGTGAAAGTGGGCAACCTTGTTTGACTCCTGACTGGGTGGTGAAGGATTCGGTTATTTTCCCTCGGTGTAATACTGCGAGCTTGACTTCTTCGTACAGTGCTTGGATGAGGCGGATTATTTTGTCTGGGGTTCCCCTACCTTTTAACGCTTTCCATATTGCATCGCGCTTAATTGTGTCGAAAGCCTTCTTGAAGTCTATGAAGAGCATGTATAATGGTGTTCTGTACTCTATTGATTGTTCGACTATGATTCGAAGTCTATTTGATTGATCGACACAACTCCGATGCGGCCGGAACCCAGCGTGTTCTTCACATATTGTTTCCTCTAGTTTTTCCCTTAAGCGATTCTGGATAATTGTTGCCAAGACTTTGTATGCTATGTTAAGTAGTGTGATGCCTCTCCAATTATCACAGTGAGTCAAGTTGACCTTTTTTGGTAATTTGATGATGAGGCCCTTTCTCCATGACTGCGCAACCCTTTCTTTCCTCCAAGCTTTCGAAATATGTGGTTCTAACAGCTATGCCATAGTTAGTGCGTCTGCCTGAAGTAATTCCGCTGTTATGCCATCACTGCCTGCAGCCCTGTTATGTTTGAGTTGTATGACTGTTTTTATTTCGCTAATATTTGGGGGATCTTCAGAAATTTTTAAGTTTGTTTGTCTTCTGACTGGGTTACTATAATGCACTTCTTCGCTGGCCGTATGTGTTACGTTGCTAATTGTTTCGAAGTGCTGTTTCCATATTTCTATCTGGGCCTCTTCATTTGTCACTAGGTTACCGCTACGGTCTCTGACAAGGCGGGTTGTGTTTTCTTTTTTCCCGGTGAGATTATTAATTATTCGGTGCAAGCCACGCATGTTGTTCTGGTTGGCGTGTTGCTCCGCTTGGAGCGCCATCCTTTCGAGATATCTTCGTTTGTCTCTTCTAGCAGCCTTCTTTACTTGTTTTCCTAAGCTCTGATACTGTGGAGACTTGTTGTTGTTTTCATTGGTCGCTAGTTCCTTAGCATTTCTCCTTTTATTGATGAGGTCCCAAGTCTCGTCAGAGATCCATGTTTTGCGTTGTATTTATTTTCTACCTAGTGTTTCTTCGGCAGTCTCTTGAATCTTAGTCACAATTTCTTCCCACGGGTGTTCTTAGTCAAGTGGTAACTTTTCAAGCAGTCTACTGGTATATCTGCAAGCATTTTGGGTGTTCTGGAGTTTCTGTATATTGAAGCGGTTGTTTCTGTTGTTATAGTGCTTTTTTCTTTCCATTTTCAGCCTGATATCGCCTGTCAGCAGCTCGTGATCACTATCTATGTCTGCTCCTCTTCTATTTCTCACATCTAACATGTATTTTCTCCATCTTTGGCTGATACACATGTGATCGAATTGGTTTCTTGTCTTCCCGTTTGGCGAGGACCACGTTATAAATTGGATTCCAGCTCTCCAAAGTCGATTTAAGTTTTCGGTTGATGATTATACCCACACCACTTTCACCACCCGTGTCTTTTCCACTATGTATTACGGTATTGCCACTTGCTGTAACCGACTCGCCATGACCTTTCCACCTCATTTCACTTATTCACAGGATGTCAATTTTGTAGAGATTCATTTGTTGTTCTAGTTATGCAAGCCTTGATGCTTCACGGAGGGTACGGACGTTCCATTGTGCTACTCTTGTCCTTATTCGTGTTCTAATGTTCGTTACCGTGAGATCATCCCTATTTCCGAGGCTATGTCTAGTTTCGCGTTTAATCTATTTATACTGTCTAATAAATAGTATTCTTATATTAAATAATATATTTTAATATTAATTAAACGCACATACTTACATAATATGTAATTTATTTTTAGGAAGTTTCACCAAAATATTCTGGATTTAAATATTTTAAATGCAAATTCGAAAAATGAGAAGGAAACTATGTATGTACTCGTATGTATGTAAGTATATATTTCGGAAATTCGATTTGAAGTAAATACTAACTGTTAAAGTTTGTACAATTATATTAAAATTATTTACAATTATTCTAAATGTTTACAATAATCTAAAAATCTAAATAATATGATTGAAATTAATTTTTATTCAGCAGTATTCAAGATAAAGAATATTTTTAATTTGTATTTGTACCTCCCCTCAAATATGCTGTTCTGGTAGTCGAGTTTGTAGATGTGATAAAAAATATTTTCAGGTTGGTTGTATAAATAGATGACGTAATGTCACAAAAAAATTTAAAATTGAAGCAAGTGAAATTTTTTTTTGTTATCTGCAAAAAATTTATTTTGTTAAAGAAAAACAAAGAAAGTTTCAAAGTAATATTTAACGATTTTCTGAATCTGTTACAACTTCCCACAATGTTTTTTAAATTTCCAAAATATTTCTAAATTTCGAAAAAAAAGTTTTAAACTTTTACTTAAGAGACTTGGAACAAACTGGCTAATGCTTGCTTCAGTATCCCGAAAACCACCTGTGGTAAAAAATAACTATTACGTCGCATGAAAAATTACACAGAAAATGCAAACGGGATGATTTTGACATCTGTGGTTACGATAAGATTAGTACCTATTTTTATTATCACGTCTACTACTTCAAAATGAGAATAGTATAACTTCATGCGATATTTGTATGCGATACCACTACCGGAATATTGATGTATGAACAGGGCGAAATCTTATGCAGCTTAGAACTCCATACGGATTTGAATTTTACTTTAATTCACATGTTTAACTTATACTTGAGAGTCTACTTTTCATGGAGAGTCAAGCATCGGTTTGCGGAACATGGAGGATCAATAAATATTAAATTTATTCTCACTTCATAGGTATACATTTCGACCATTAAAATTCACGCATTTAAATTAAAAAAAAATTAAATTTATTTACGTACATTTAAAATTTATATATGTGTGTATGTATAAGTGCATTTAAAATATTTTGATAATCAAACTACTAACTCTGACATACTACTATTATTAAAAAAAGTTTACATATTTAAAATTTTAAACTTTTAAACTCTCTAGGCGACAATTAAATTTAAAAAACAAGAAAAAAACCTTAAAATTTTCATTTCCTCACCTAAGAATTTTTATTGCGCATAATGTAAACGAATGAAATAGAAAATTTTGTTATTATATAATGAATGTATGTAAGTAAATATTTGACAATGATTACATTAAAGCATTACATAAGTATGGGTTTTCAAATAAAATTCATGTATGTATGTTTGGATGTACGTAACAAATTGTATCAACCCAATCAGCAAAAAAAAAAATATATACGAGTATTTTAAGATTTAAGCGCGAGTAAAAGAAAAACAAAAAAAATTACAACGAATACACGTACTTTTTTTTCTATACCATTTTATTTTAGTTACAATTGTTATAAATAAAAAAAAAAAGAAAATGGTGGGATCATAATGCTGTGCGGTTTTAACATACATATATGTATGTATGTACATTCATGTGTTATACATACATATTTACATAAACCTAAACAGTATTGTGCATTTATTTGCAATCAAATTTTTTTTTTGATTGCAATTTATAGAACAAAAATTATTTTTAATTTAATTTATTTTTATTGTTTTTTTCTTAACTTTTTTTAGTATAAATATCTGAAACAATTCTACGAATTAATCAGAGTTTTACAAGCTAACTTTGAATTAACTAGTCTACTTCTTTTTCTTTTAAAGAAAATTTTTTAATAAATTCAATTTCTAAACATGAAGGTGATTTTTTGTTTTGTTTCTAATTCTATATAACAAAATTATTGCTTTAATTTTATAATTGAAACTTACTAAAAAAATGAAAATTTCAGTTCACAATTGCTGTAGTCATGTTAGCCTTAGCGCTTGGTGCACAAGGATCAGCTATTCCATGGGCAGCACATGGTTGGGGTGCTTGGGATGATGGTTGGCATGGTGGACCATATGATGGACATTGGGGTGGTCCATGGGGACATCATGCAGCTGTAATTACACCTGGTATTGCATTATCACAAGGACCACATGGACATTGGGCTGGACATCATGGTCATGCTTCAGTTGCAGTACATGCACCAGTACATGGTCATGGTCATGATGGACACTATGTTGCTAAAACACTTGGTGCTGTTCATACAGCTCCATTAGCCGGTCATGTTGCATCAGTATCATCAGTTAATGTTGCACCAGCACCAGGAACTCATCATTAAATTCACAATATATATAGATATAAAAGGAATAAACATGAATAATATATAAAAATGAAATGGATTAACTGATCACCGAGTACCTTCAAATATAAAGAATTGTTTTTCATTAAGATTTTCTCATCTGTACATATACTTATATATTGTATAAATTATGGATATATTTTTATTTTTTCTTTTAATTAAAGAAATTTTTAAAATATTCCATAATAAGTACCATTTTTACCTCTTAAGTAGTTATTTTTATTTAATTATGAAATGAAATTGAATCAAAAGAATATATATATTCTATTTAAAAAAGCAAAAATTTTATGCCAGTGTTTTCATTTTACTTTATGAGATTATAATTATTATTTTGATGAAAATAGGTCAATGAACTCCTAAAGGTTGCACATAAATGAGGAGAAATTGCAATTACAATATAAATAAATTGAGTGAATGCTTAATATATCAAAAAATTCTTGAAGGTGTTCTACAAATACAAAAATATTAATAATTAGAAAATTAAAATTTTTCCCGAATTTTGAAATTTTCTTAGAAATTGTTATTCTTGATATTGGCAATGGTGAGTAAAATTTCAGCTTATAAAATTAATTTTAGTTTCGCTATTAACAGGTAGCCATTTAAACAATTGAGAACTGATTATAAATCTGAAATAATGTAAGCAAAAACAAAATAATGGCAATTATTTGTAATTTGGAAGCATTTTTGTAAAGGTATGCGCAAATTATATACTATAATTTCTGTTAAAATTATAAAAAAAAGTAACAAATAACATATACTTGCTTTGACTATTGAATAACATTCACATTACTCGTATAATGAGCAAATTTAAGAATAAAAATTAAATCTCGTGAAAACCAAAACCAATTACAAGTACATAGTTCATAAATTAAATGAATTGCAGCACAATTAAAATCAGGTTAAGTGTTTATATAAAATTGATTGTTTGTAAAACGTTGCGATTAATTTTATTTTGCATAAAATAATTGAATGGTGGTCATAATTTCTTATTACTCGTAGCTTCAATTTAATACCTAAATTGAAGTATTGCTTGTAATGCAAGTATGAAATATGCTTTGAACATTGTTTAAAAATGAAATAATAATTTGCTATTTATATAGAAGAACTCAATTTATAAGGACATGTATATTCTTATACAACATACTATTTGCAAGCACTTTTGCAATTTGCATCACCATATTAGATGCACCGCTGCTCTTGCATATATTAGAAGAGCATTTCCAAGATTTCAAATAAAAATTCATATACATATGTCCCATTACTTCATTTGTGTCATACACCCGTATTCATGTACGTGACTCTTATGCAATTGTGAATAACAAACATGCTTATAAACTTTATCTGAACTTTAATAAATCATATACTTCAATTTCATATTCTTACAAGAGGTGTGCTACTATGTGTTTTTCACTACAGTTACTAAAGGCGCAAGGTTCAATGTGATTTTAATGAATTGGGTATGAAATTTTATCTGAAAAGAATTTGTTAATTGAAGATGTATGATAGTTTTCTTACTTAGTCTCAATAAATTTTGTATTTTTCAATTAATTCGAAATTAATAATTTTATTATGATTAATGCTAGGAACTGCTAATTTTGAACTTCAAATAGCTCCACAAAAAGTGATTTGAAAGCATTCCGTTTGGTTTTGTAATGCGGCTATAATAAACAAACTGTAAATTTCTTGAACAGAAGTTCATGGAAAACGAATGTTGTATTAAAATTCAGTAATAAAATTATTAATAAATTATTGTTATTGTAGCAAATAAAGTATAAAATATAACAAAAATTTGTTAATTACAAAATTATTAAAAAGGTCATGTTAAAAATATTTTTGCAATAAAACATTTGACATTTATGGGTATTGATTTTGAAAAGTTGATAAATTTTTCATGTTTGTTGTGTTCATTCCTTTTGTTTTTGCGATGCAATGAGTTTTTCGCGTTTATATGTATGTATGTATGTAGTTTAACTGTACTAGCAAATTACGTACTGTCAAAAGTTTTAAATTCAGGAATTTGACCATGTGTACTACTTTATTTAAATCATATATTTTAATTAACGTATACACATAAAACTGTTGAATACTTTTAATATATACATAAATAATTTACAATCTCATATACAAAATAGGAAATAAATTTATTTTGAACTATAAAATATTGCACTTGTCTATGACTTTGTTTTTTTCATACAGAAATACCATTGAAAAAATTTTTGCAAAAAAAAAATTTTTTATTAAAATCCCATAATTAAACTCCATTAAATTCCATTAATAAAAAAGGTCTGTCATTCATTTTATATTTTCTGTATATATACTTTAAAAATACACTTTATAAAATATGAAAAAAATTTTCGCTGAATTTAAGGAAAATAATAAGAAAAAGCACTTTAAATTTATTATTCTTCAATAAAAAATATTTTGTAGGTTGGAACTTAATTATAACCCTTATTAAATTGAAAGTATACCAATATTATTTGACATAATATGTAATTTATCTACTCATAAATTAAGCTAATATTTATTGCCTATTATTTAAAATTGATATAATTTTGCAAAAAAAAAAAATTGCAAAAAGAAAATATGAGCTTGTTTGTTTAAAACACTCAAACAATTGTTAATTTGTTACAACGCTTCTCGTTCATAGTTTAAAAATTTCAAATATTCTTACCCTATGTATAAACGTGGTGGTAAAGCTTAAAATTTTTTTTTCCGATCACTTCTTCTGTTTCTCTCATAATTAATTGGTTGAAGCAAATTCACGACTAACTTTGGAAACTTTTAAAATATTTCAATTTTATGTTGCTCAAGAACATTTTCTTTCTCTTGCTCTTCCAATACCGCACGCCATGTAAAAATGAGGACAATACAATGGACAGTTGTTTGTGATGTCATAAGACTATAAAAATTATATGAAAGTAGTGCTGCTACATATTGAAAGAAAAATTACAAGAAGAATCGTAATTTTATGTTATAGTTTTAGATATGGTCTGGGATATAGACCCAACACATGTTATTAAACAGTATCGAAATCTGAGTCGATTTAACCATATCTGTCCATTCGTCCGTCACGACGATAATTAGAAAACCAATTGAGCTAAATTCACCAAATTTCCATAAATGATTTATCATAGTAAATGCCAGAACCCTATTTAAATTGGATATGATCGAGGTATACATAATTTTGCTTCAACTAAGTATAGAGTTATAGCTGATGTACTCCTCTTGAAACCACTTCAAGTTTTTCCCATCTTGTTCCGGTTCACTTTAATTTTCCCTTCCTCAAATATTTTTTTATAGATTTACAGTTCATACTGCTTTTTTTTTTAATTGGTCAGTTAACGTTTTCCTTTTTGATTGAGTGTTTCTCAACTTTTTTTTGAGAAGTCACATTTATAGCATTATTATTTATCACTTGCACAGCATAAGGTTGATATTGTCAATAAAAATTGTAACTTATATAAACAAGATTCTAAATGTTTTACATATACCTTTCATGATATTTTAATCACAATCTCCTCACAATTCACAATCGGTTAATGAAATGTAATGAACGATTTCTCACAATCGATTAATGAAATGTAATCCAAAAAATTCTAATCTGCTCTAATCAACTCACAATTTAAAATATTAAAAAAAATTTTCCAAAGTCTCCAAAAATTTCTTTTAATTTTAATTATTTATAAAAAAAATATTTAATATCAAAAATGAATTTTATTTAGCACTCTAATAAATTTTTTTGGAAAATAATATTTTTTTTAAATTCTTATTAAACCTAGCATTAAAATCAAAAATAAAATTAAAGACATTAATGAACACACTGATGAATTATTTTCGATTACCAAATTACCTTAATTAATCGTTTATTAAACCAATCCCATTTATAATTTTATAAAAAAAGAATTAAAAATTTAATACGATTATTTATTTTGAATTTTATTTTCGGCATTCTTTCTTTTTTCATTTTCCTTTTTTAATATTTTTATACAAATCCCTATTACTAAAATATTTTTTTATTTAAAACCATATAGCTACAAAATTTTTAAATGAAAAAATTTTTATTTTAAATAATTTTTATTACTTAATTTTAATTTCGATACAAATAAAATATATAGAAAATAATCGCTACATGAATAAAAAAACATTAAAGAAAAATGTAAAGACAATAAAGCGATTAAGTAATTCTTTTGTGTATTAAAACTAATTTCCAGAGATTAAGAAAAAAAAATAATAAAAGGAAAAACTAAATTTTTTGAATTCAAGCTCTAAACGGGGTTTTCAACTGTTTTGTGTATAGTGAGAGAATATTAAAATATTTGATTCAATTAGATTTTAAAATTAAAAAAGAAAAACTTGTAAAAATATAAATCCTTGCCAATACCAGCTATTGAAAAATACTATAATAAGAATTCCTGGAATTAATTTGCATTGGTTTGTGTGTTTTGAATAAAATGAAGAAAAAAACCTGCTAAAATAAAGTTTTTGCCGGTTTTTTTGTTTCTATTTAACTACTCAGACAACTTTGTCTTTTACTCTCGAATTCTATATTAAAAATAAATTTAATTTTTTTTTTGTAACTCCAATAGACCATATCACAAGGTGCTTTACAATATTGTAAGTTCTTTTATTATAAAATTATACTAAAATATTTAAAAGATGCAGAAAATTTGAAATTAATTACAACCATTTCTAGGGTAGTTGTTTGAATTTATTAAATAGTGCTTCTAAAATGAAAATTTATTGTATGTGAGTTGATGATGTGAACAAATTTTGTTGATGAAGTTATCGTTCGATTTCTTTTCGATTATTTCTACTAATTTTCTAGTTTATCATAAATTAGCGAATGAAGTCCAAAATTGTTTGATTTTGTTCTGTTAAAAACATCTTCCCCCTAAAATTTAAAAAAAAAAATTAATATAATTAGTAAAAAAGTTGAAATTTAGCGTTTATTTACTTACAAGAGTATGTTCCCCTTGTTTTACTTCCCTCTGTACAAATTTTATACATTTATACATCTTAGCATAAATTTGTATACATTGTTTTTGAAATTATTCACATTTATTTTTATCTTTAGTTTAACAAGAACGCAGCTACGGGATAATCCGTAAGAGTTTGTTAATGTATTTCAAAATTGTCATTTGTCAGATTGTGATACTATGACTGTCATTGAATTCGAATGACATTTAGTGAGAAGAATTTTTTTTCGTATATTGCGTATCTCGATTTTTCTAAAACGATTAAATACGTTTCAGTCACCATCAATATTAGTTCTTCAATTTAGAAAAAATTTGAAAATACAATTGACAAAAAAGGAAAATACTGAATTGAAACTGCCTCAAAAAGGGAACTTAAAAAAGAGAAGCACACGCAATTCAGGCTATCAAATGTTTAAATCACTTGCAAATCTCTATATTACCCGACGTAAGAATTGATATTACAAACATATGATCTAAAAAATAATCTACTTCTACAAAATTGTATATCTACACGAAAACTTTTCAAATATGACCATTATAATATTATTGAAATGAGAAAAAATTAGCAAAAGATTTTAATCGAAAGATTGATATGGGTTTCAGTTCCAGGAATTTTTCGATATAAATTTGCTGTAATTTACCTAATACACATATACATATATATAAATGTAGTAGATTTTTTTGTGTGTTTTAATTTTATTTTAATATTTCAGAAACAATAAAAATAACAAAAAAAAGTATCCACTATATTAGAAGGCGTTTATTATTATGTAGTTTATTTAGTACCATAATAGGTGCAGCCAAATATCATAATAGTTATTTTTCATTTTCAAATTAACTTTTTTTTCTATGTTTTTCTATTCTTGTTACTTTAGTATTTTATCAAAATGTTGTTATAATTTTTCTTAACTTTAAAATAATCGCGAATATGTATGCTTTACTTTTGTTTATAGAAAACCCCATTTTGGATAACAATACTGAATGTGTGCTGAATGCTACTATAAAAAAAATAAGAAAAAAATAAAAAATCGAAGAGAAAAAAACGCACCAATTTTTGTATTGCACTTTGCATCACATACTTCGATAACAAAAACAGAATAAGAAAAACGAAAACAGAAAGAGAAAAGCTTTATGAATTTTAGCTTAAAGAAAAGCTTTATATAAAAGAAAAAAACAGAAAAACAGGAGAATAAACCTCTCTTTTCGTCACTTTTGCCCCCTTTCGAGCAGACACGGAATGATGGAAAATGAGCGATTTGTTGTGTTTATTTGTTTATAGTATTTTTTCTGCTCTTAAATAGAAGTTACTCAAGTTCAAGAAATTTGTTTTGTATATTTTTTTTTCACTTGTTGTTTTTCTTTTTACAATAATATTTATGACGTATTGGTATCTAGATTACTTCCAATATTTTTATGCATATTTTGTATGCAGGTATGTACTTAAGTAAAATACAAAAATAGACATCTCATTTACATGTGTATGTACGTATGTATGTGCATATATAAAATAGACTATGTTAATTTTTCACGAAAAATAACACAAAATCTTAAGAAAAACAAAAGAAAAAATTAAAAAAAAATGAGAAAAATTCATATAGCAAATTTGATTTTATGATTACATACTTACAATTGTATATGTAATTAATATATACGAAAGTACATTGGTGTATTTACGATATTGGTTTTATATTATGAAATTGAATTTTTACTCAATATACGTACATGTGAATATACACAAATAATTGGGAAATGAAAAAAACAATAATAATTTTTAGTATAAATATGTCGGTTAAACTCTATTAAAAATCAGAGTTTATTAAACGTTCTCAAGAACTACTAGTCAACGTTTTAATAAAAATTTTTTATTTTTTAAATTCAAACATGAAGGTATTAGATTATTTCTGTAAAATTATTTTATATACAAATATCAAATATAAATATGAATTTTTATATTAACATACATAAATACCAACTTTCAGTTCGCAATTGTCGTAGTCATGTTAGCTTTAGCACTTGGTGCACAAGGATCAGCTATTCCGTGGGCAGCACATGGTTGGGGTGCTTGGGATGATGGTTGGCATGGTGGACCATATGATGGACATTGGGGTGGTCCATGGGGACATCATGCAGCTGTAATTACACCTGGAATTGCATTATCACAAGGACCACATGGACATTGGGCCGGACATCATGGACATGCTTCAGTTGCAGTACATGCACCAGTACATGGTCATGGTCATGATGGACACTATGTTGCTAAAACACTTGGTGCTGTTCATACAGCTCCATTAGCCGGTCATGTTGCATCAGTATCATCAGTTAATGTTGCACCAGCACCAGGAACTCATCATTAAATCAAACTTTTTTCTTTATTTCGTATATTTACGGCTAGTATATATTGTCACAACTTCATGTTATCTTTTTCTTGCAAAAACTTAACTATATATAAATAACAATATAACAGCAGCAACCTCAATACACGAAAATAAAAAAAAAAAACAAACAAACACATTAATAATAAAATGTCCTCTATCGCTTTTTTTTATTGAAATGTTAATTATTATGTTATCACATATTTTATTTTCATAATTATTATAATATTGTCATATTATTATTTATAAATAAAAAATAAGTTCAGAAATGTTACTCATAAAATTTAGGATCATGAATGTATTTTAAAAAATATATAAAAAAATTCTAATGGAAGAAATACGAATACATTTTTGTTTTTTGTTTAAAATTTTATTACATGTTTTCAAAATCAAAAGGATAATGGTATTTTGCAAGAGATGTGTGCAAGTGATATAGATCTTTTGAATTCAGTGAGGTTCAAACCAAATTCTTGTCCATATTTTAATGAAAAATAGTATTAAAATGTACAAATAAAAATCTTATATTAAAATTCCAGAATGAAATAAGTGACTGCTCTTATTTTGGCAGACTAACAATATAGAATAATACAGACCGTAAAAGATTTTAAATAATGCAGAATTTCTTGTTACTTCAAAAAAAACTCTATGAAAATCTCTTAAATAACAAAATGTTTTTTTTTGAAAAATCACCTAAACTAATTATTTTTCACCAATTTTTTTTCAATTTCAAATGTAAATTTAATTTTCAATTGTAAATTTTCTACATAATTTGAAAATAATATTTTTTTTCATTTTACTTTATAACCATCGTATAATCGCATAAATAATATTATTAACGAAGCAAATCAAAAATATCAAAAAAAAAACATTAGAAATCGATTGAAATAATCGATAATTGTAAAAAAGTATGGGGGAACAAAAATCTAAAAAAATTTCTAATTGTGGTAATTTTCTATGGCAATTTGTATTTAAAATACATAAGTATTTATGTATTTACATTGGTAAAAATTATGTTAAACACACAAAATTACAATTTAATTACAATCTTCATACAAATTCGTTCATTGTTTTTTTTTAGATATTTATTGTGAATGCATTCGATTTTAAAATCGAAATTCGTTTCTTACTTTTAGAGCAAAAAATAAATATTTAGTAAATGATCCATTATTATCGTTATAATGTTAAAATATTACTGTTATTACAAAAAAGAAATAATAAATTAAAGCATACAACGTAAAATAATTGATATTAAATGCTAATTTGAATAAATTTAAAGTTATCTTTAATAATAATAAATTTAATTTAAAGTCAATAGTGAAAAATTATAAAATTTTCATAATTTTTCTTAATTGTAATTTAATTTTGGTACAGCATTAATTTAGTTTTCATTATCTCAAGTTCGACGTTTCTAGAGTGCTTAAACTCGCAATATGTACAATCAAATCGCACTATGTCAATTAATATCTTTCCATTAAAAGTGTATCAAATCTTCTAGCGAGAACATTTTGCGAATAATTTCTACAAATAATAAAAAGTAATTGTCATGGCACTTTATTTTGAATCTATTCGACTGGGCTTAAAATCATCTTCCAACCACATAGAATTTTCAATCATCTTCCATCCACATAGAATTTTTTGAATATTATAACGTATTCTGATTGCATTCTTGGCACAAATTTTAAACTTTATTTTGAAATCATTGATTTTATTAAACCTTAACTGCACATTAAAATACAAAAGGAAGTTCCATATAATATGCTTTAAACAAAATCCTACAATTTAAAAACAAAAGTATTAATTTAATATATGAATATTTATGCATTTATCATTATGTATGTATGTATATAATACGAGCATATGTTTGAATAAGAAATCCAGATCAATGTCATCAACGTCAAAAAGGAAAAAAAAATATTTATGTGAAAAAAAAATCAACTATTTTTGCTTCATTTTCTATGCAGAGGCAGTAATTATCACTCACTGCATGTCAAAAAGCTTTTAAATGTCATAAAAAAAATTTTATTTTTCGTTTTTGATTTGTGAACAAATTATTTAAGTTATTTACACAATTAATACGCCTATGGTCAGCTTAATATTAGATACAGTCTGTTTCATAGATAATCACTGTTTCTTATCAAAGATTTGTTAGAAATAAAATGCTCATATAAATTAATATTAAATTTATAACTGCGGATATGTTAATAAAGCTCTACAAATTACTTTTTATTTGTAACTCTACAAATTAGTTTTTCAGTACTTATATTTATAAATTTACCATTCCGTTTGTAATGCTAAATAGTAACGATCTAACATATTATCATGTAACTGAGCTTTTTTGTATTTGCGAATATATGTATGTATTGTTGCTCAGCAAGAAATTCTAGATCAATGTTACCACGTCCTTTCGTCGGTCCGTACCAGTAATAACTCAAAAACTAATTGACTTGAGTCAATCAAAATTCACATATGATTCATTATTGTAAATGATAGAAGCGTAAATGATAGAAGGTTTGGATAGCTGCAATGCAAATTGAAAAGTTACCACAATATCGAAAAATGAAATCACATTCCTTAAATATTTCCAAACACTGCTTGGTACCAACTGATAAACATGTTTTAAAAATATCGCGTTTTAAAAATTTATTGATATTGTTGACAATTTCTATAGCGTTAATCCAGCTAAAATCAACTTTTACTTTATTCTACTTTTATTATAGCAAATTCTATTATTATGTACATATCATAATTAGACATTTATAATCTTATAAACTATGTAATTTGTTATTATTACTGATAAGTTTTCAAGAATTTATCTTATTTGCAATCAGATGATTTAATTAAGAAGTTGAAATTGAATGTAAAATTATAAGTTTTTCTTGTTGTATTATGAATGTGGTATTTTATAACCTTCTACTCTAAGTTTTAAAATAATATACTTAACTTACTGTAATAGCTATTTTAATAAAGACTTTCTTTTTTCTTTAACTGTTTGAATATTTTCGATTTGAAAGCGTTTAAGATTAATATATTCCTGCATAACCACTCATATAGTTTCCTCTTATTATCATTAAGAAAAGTTTCACTTTCGAATGACATATTAATAATTTTTACTAATAATTGTAGCAATAATTCTTTACAATCCAAGAGCATTTTAATATTAAAGCCATTAAAATCATTTTTACTGTTCATTTCTATTATATTTTTTTTTTAATTTTTTCTGATTTGCAGAAATTTTTTTATTATTTTTCTCCTTCTTTAATTATAAATCTTTATATTTTTTAATTCAACTTTATATGTTCCATCCTTGTTAAGTACATATTTTTTCATTTTAGCAATTGATGGAGAATTGTTTGAGGATGAAAGTTTTAGAGTTGCAGTTTTGTAAAGCAAATATGTGATAATTTAAGTCTGTAATTAATTGATAATATTCAGACCGAGATCTGCGAAAAAATATAAGGAGTTGGAACGTTTCGAATAGATTTTCTAAACCGTAGTCGTGTCTAACACTTAAATTTCGTTATGTTATGAACATACCTATATGATTTTTATAACATACATACCTATGTAGCTGTATAACACGTAACGGTTTAACCAAGTATAACTATAAACTATTCGATTCCATCAAAAATGAAACTAAAACGTATAACAGTTGTGCATTTAAAGAGAAAAAGATTAGTACTCGTAACAGCATGAAATAAAATGCCACAAAGTTATCATATACAAAAACCAACAAATTTAAAAAAACAAGTGACATCTGGCGAATATTAGCAAAAACCTTTAAATATTTTGCAGCCGTTTTTTGGAATCAGAAAAAGCTTTCAACAAATCGAATTTTTATAAATTTTAGTATATATAACAAAATTTATTATATTCTATTATCTTATATTATTAATGTTTACTATTATCTGATAAATGCGAGTCATTTCCATAAATATTTTGATCTGATTTTAAAATACAATTTACTAAATATGATTTGTATCACTTGTTTCGAAATTATCATGTACTAATTCATTGCATATATCTGAATTTCCTAAATAATGTTCATAATTTTGATGTTCTATTGGATCAGCTGGAAACCAATCGGTTGGACGGCAAAGTTTTCTAATTCTATCTAAAATACCACCAGTTGCAGCGTACACTTTATAAATCATATATCCAGGTATGCATATTAAGGGTAATAATTTTAGGAAAATAAATATGAAAAATATCGATATATAATTTGAAAAAAAAAATCCTTGAAACACATGGTATAACTAAAAATAATATAAACTATTTGAATATGAAAAACTGTGGCTATGTTTTTCGTCTTTTTACCAATGATACTATGGTTAGGAATGGTGTCACAAATCTCATCATCCAAATTTTCCAGCTTTTCAGTGTTATTTCCGTCATGAATTTTACATCCCGTTGAAAACGTAGTCGGCCGTATATCCATAAAACAACAAATAATTCCATTAACACTATCAGTAATTTGTTTGCTCCAGATATTGAATACAATGAAAATACTGAAGCGAATACATCCTAAAATTGTTGAAAAAAAAATTATTAAAAAATTCTTAAAAAGTTAGAAAATGAACTCTTTTTTCACTTACACTTGAACAAAATGCTAATGAAATTAATGCTAAAAACCCGATAAGACCTCCTAAAAAAATCCTTTTATAAATTCTAGTATATTCATATTCGTCAAATATCGCGGTTAAAATTGTAAGAATTTGAATTGCCTAAAAAGAGTAATATATATATTCTTTCGAAATTTTCTTAATAAAATATTTTTTTACCCCTTCAGAAAACTGAGTCAAAAATATAACTAAAAAGAATAGAATTGTCCAAAAATTTGGCCAACTAAAATGCGAGAAATATCCAGCATAACACACGAACGTAAATAACATAGGATCACCCCGACCAAAATACATGTAAGTAAAAAGATAATATTGACGTAGAAATTTATCCACTGATTTATAAATGATAGCTGATATTATAAAAACAATCATTTGAATAAAACAAGCCACTAGTGATAATTTTCCAATATCCTCCTTGAAATTATTATAACTGGCAATAGTAAGCACATTACCCCAACCAGCACCAAATGCAGCCAAAAAAAATGTTGGTGATGCTATTAATGTTTCAATATTGTTAAATGAAGCAAATTTAAAGTGGAATAGATGGTTTAAAGCTTCCCAAGTTTCTTTCACACAAAGTACACGAATTGTAATCAAAATGAAGCATAAAAATGATGTTAACGTTATAAAACGGAAAATTTTACCAAGCTAAAATTAAAAATAAATACGATATTAGTGATCGCACCCAGTGTATGTGAAATGAGAAATATAGGAAAACTCACCATTTCAACTCCTTTAATATGCACAAGTCCAATCAATATCCAAACAAAGACTGCACACAACATTATAGGCCATAAATATATATTTTGAGTGTCATATCCAAATAAATAACTTAAAAATATAAATGAAAAAAATTAATTAGTTGCTTCAAATTATAATGTCTAAAATTGGTAGTTTAATTATTATAGTTCTAAAAAAATGATGAATTCAAAAATGTGCTTAACAACGTCAAATCTTACATAAATAGTATAAAATCATTATTAACATATACCTACTCAATGTAATCATGGATTGGTAGGGAATGATTTGTGTTGTAATGAAGGAAAATGGAGCTTTCATTAGCCCTTTTTGGCACATCATCAATCTATAACAAACCAAAAACAAAAATATAAATTTCAATATTTATATAAATTTCAAATTCCAAATTTTGTAAGATATGGTGCTATAATGAAATCAAGAAATAAACAAATAGAGAATGAATCAATGAATATTCGCTTTGTCAACTCTATTCTTGATAGCATAAAAAAATTCGTCTGTGCTGTTATACTTTTATATTGTTAAACTTCTTGAATTTGAGATAGTTATAATAGTAATAAGATCAACTCTGTAATTCTCTTAGACAATTGGAAAGAAATATATGAGCCTTTGCTGAGCAAAGGTCCTGAGCCATTGCTAAAATAAGTCTGTAAAACATGTCGTGGTTTATTATATAAGTCGTAGTTTATTATATATTTAACAAAGTTGGTCAAATCTATGTTTTGCAAACAATCTAGCGATGCATTACATTATTCATGTACGAATGTATTTCAAAAATTGCATACATTTAAGATGAACAATTTATGCAGTAAATACATAAAATAAAATTAAATTAAAAAAAGGTGTTAACAAAATGCTCAATTTTAAGGGATAATTGCGTGAGTTAAGAAAATATATTATATGGTATGAAATTTACCTTAGCTTTCTGTGTTTATATAATTTTGAAGAAGCTTGCGGTTTCGGAAATATAGGGTGCCAAAAATTCAAATTTTACAAATTTCGAGAGGCGAATTTCGAATTTTACAAGCTTGGGGCAGGGTAGAGGTGGGAAAAAGCTTTCTTCTAAAGAAATGAACTTATTATTCGTGTCTAAAGGCTGTTAAAATTTCACGCTTTTATAACCTGTGGTTTAGAAGAAAAACGACATCAAAAATTTGTAAAAAACGTATTTTAGATAACTAATAAGCACTTTTTTCAAAAATTTTTTGAAAAGTACTTAGAAATGATAATTATATGTATATTAAAATTGTAATATATTTAAAAATGAAAATGTCCCTTAATAAAACTTATAGAGCTCTTTAATGCCACTGATATTTGTAACAAAGAGCATTGGGTTGCAATATTTCGCCCAAGAAAAATTTAATAAACAAATCGCCCTTTTTTCCCCAATATTTTCGTTTGTTATTTTTGCTTATTTGATTCGTAGTTATTGTAACTTATAAACTGAAATGGTTGCCAAAATGTTGATAAATTTTTCATGGAATTTATCACGGAATTAAAGAACACAAATAACTACATAATTTCTTTCTTTAGTTCTGAATTTTATCACATTATTTAGTGCGCTTACGTGAGAGATTTCAACATTAAAAAAAAATCTGATGTGATCAGCACATAACCGACCGCAATGTGTAAAAATGTTTTAGAAAATAATAAGAATATCTGTTAAATACTTGTTTCCAATTTTTAGGACATTAGTAAGCTTATAGTTAACATACCTGGAAAAATGTAAGTTTGTCTCTTAGTAGAGTTTCGCTTTGTGCTACCCGAATTCCCTGAAATGCTCGCCAGTTATTTTCGGTAGCAACCAGAACTCAAATATCAAATTTCAAGAAATTCCATCAATTCGTTCCGTAGATATGGTGTAAAAATGTAAAATCGGCCCGCAAATCAGTTTTCGAACCCTGATCTTTCCAAAAAATTTATATATTCATTGTTTTAATACGATGAATTCCAATATTAAATTTCAATGAAATCGGTTCATTATTTTTCTTTATATACGCAAAAATGTATATTTGGCCCGTAGTAAACGTCTAGTTGCTGTCGCCTGATTTCTTCCAAAAGTTAGAAGGTCTCGCGGACGGTCGAGCTGAGCTTATATATGAAATTTTAAGTAAATCGGTTGAATATTTTCTTCAAAATGTTCAAAAATGTAAAACAGGCCCGCTAAAAAGTACAGTTCCCGAGGCCTGATATATCCCAAAAGTTGATCAATCCGTGCCATGGTGGAAATAAACTTACATATAAAATTTCATCAAAATCGGTTCAGCCGAACTTGAGATACACGCTTGCACACACAGACCGACAGACCGACAGGTTGCTAAAAATAGTTTATTTACACTTCGCTACTATGGAGAAGTGCACTCCCACCGAAAACTCGATGTGCAAAATTTGTTGCCATCACATAACCTACCTATTGTATACACAATACGGTCGGTAATATATGCTTTCTTACTTCTTACGATGTTATTTTCTTTACGATAAAATGGGTATATCACCCACATACGTGTATATGTGTATATATAATAAGAATAAAATAATGTTGAATTTGATATTTTGTTACGGAATAATTAAATTTTCGATATTCTCAAGCGATAAAGTTTAAAATTAAATAAATAAGCATTGTGTAAGAACTTTTAATTATTAAATACTTACCGTTTTACAATTTATTGAATTAAATTCATTATTACAATGTGACCAAGGCAAAACAGATTGCATAGATTCAATTATAATGTACAATGGAAATGCTGCAGTAGTCACAAAATAACAAGAAGTCATTATATTTAAATATAACGATATATAACCTATAACTGTGATATATTTTAAAAAAAATGAAAATTATAATTTGATTATTTTTTTCAAATATTCATTAAATTTCTAAATAAAGTTTTTATTAAAATTTCTTTATTTTAAATTTTTTACCTTTAAATAACGGTGATATGCGAAATGCTGATATTATTCCACTGCTAGAAAATTGACCCAGAAACATTTGTGTATAATATAAAGGCAATAAAAAGGTTATCATTCCTAACATATAGGCAAAGGTAAATATTACTGAAAAATAGTAAAAAAAAAAATTAGTTAGAAAATGAAAGAATATGAATTTCCCAAATTGAAAGACTAATATTTTTTCCTGCCGTACGTAAAATTTATTTTTTGACTAGTAGAGGGGGACTTCGCCTGGCCACCCATGCGAACCCATACATCATACCAACAAGGAGGCCTATCGACAAACCTCGAATATTTCACTCGACAACAATCTATATAATACAATCAACCTTCTTAACGAATCTCAAGACTCGCGCTAAATACTCCGCCGACAAATCCTCTTGGCCATCATAAAGAAAAGCCCGCAGGATGTGCTTCCTCTTTCACATTAGCGACACGTAAGCACGAAGAACCTTACGCCCCTGACAAACATCCGTTGTAGTGACTTAGTGAAATATGAATAAATGAATCAACGATTTTAGAAAACTCTTATTCAAAAATTATACAGCTTCTTATTTTCACCGACGAAAACCGTATACAACATACAAACATATATACCCTACATATACAGAAAAATATAAAAATTGCATTTTTTAGTACACTTTAATTTCGATACCAAAAAATTCAGATCAAAAATTATGTAATAATTTAATCTATACTTTTTATTAAGTAAATATGTACATATATTGATAAATTGGTTATTCTACATCTTTCATTTTCCTTTTACCCGAATCTTTTTCAAGTGAAAAATGGACTCGCTCACAAGAAAACCCGACTGCAAGCAACCGTTCAGTTTTATGTGTGCCTAATGGACGAATATATTTTAGTTATTATTCTAGAAAAAAAGACTCATGTTTGAAACTACTAGATTTCAAAGCAATTTGATTTTGCCCTTCATTCTTCTAGAAAAATTATTGATGAAAATATAATTACGATTTTTCCATGCAGAAACCCAAATATGCAACTAATATTAAAATTATATTGTTAACTTCACGGTCAGTTTTTACAATGAATTTAAAAAACGAGGGTGGTAATTAGATAAAAAAATTTTTTCCTTCTTTTGTTTCTTAAAATTTGTTCTCATTAAAATTATTTAAAATAAACTCTTATATAACTAAAATAAATTTATAGTTTTTCGTTATCATTTTTTACTTGATAGCATTTTCAGTAAATACAGTCGGAACCGTATTTAAAAAACAACATGTAAAATTAAAATTTCTGTTAGCAAAACAAAGTTCAAGAAAAACTCTTTCATAAACACAAATGAATTTGTCGCATTTATTGCAAACGAATTTGTTTTTTTATAAGCGAAAAACATTTGTAACGCAAGATTTTTTTTTAATTTCATCTAAAACTCAATTCTGACATTAGAATGGCCACATTTATTAACACTTGTACATCTCTTTGAAATTTTTGACACATACATGACCAGAAAACTTGCTCACAAGCAAAATTTGTGCTTAACGTATAACAGAACTCGCTTTTATTGAACAAAAGCCGTGCAATTTTCAATGTTCTTATAAGCAAGCCCAACTGATTTTTAATTCTTGCTATAATTTACATATATCTTACCATAATATTTAACTTACTTAGATTTGATCTTAAGGTAATGTATAATAAAGTAAAATGCCGAAAACCAAAGCAATTACTCAATGCAACAGCATAAAAATCCCAACTTTTCTCCCATTTGCCACGTCCAACATCATGTTTAAATGGTTTATTGCCAGTATCATATGAGGTGACATTAGCAGGAATTGAATTTTTATTATTATTGTTTGTCATTCTTTTTAATTTAAATTCATAAATTTTTTTAATTGCTGGTATAACTTTTATTTTAAGAAGAATTTTATAATCAAATTCAGTTTCAATTTCGTTTATTCTTTTTAATTTCACTTATAATTATTGAGAATTTTTGTTGTGGTTTTTCTTATTATTATTTTTATTTATAAGGTTTGTTATTTATTTTCTTAATTTTAATATTGTCATTATAATCTAATAAAATTATACATAAATAACTAAACCTGTCTACTTTCTCACTTATTCTATTAATAACTGATTTGAAATATTAAAAAATCATTGCTAAAAACTCAAAAAAAAAAAATAAAAAAAAAAAAAAACAAATTAAAAAATTATTTTGATTAAAGTGCTTCCTCTCTCGCTTATCACTTTCAATTTTATTTCTCTTTTCAAAAGAAATTAAATATTGTTGTGTGTGAATATTCTTGCTAGCAAAAATTCTGAATATTTCGTTATATAATGTGAATTATTATTTCTGTCACATTTTTCACAAAGCAAATAATGAAGAGAGAAATGAATGAAAAACCAAAACTAATTTTCACGAAAGAAAATTGAGTAAATGATAAACTGTATCATTCATTTTTTTTCAATGATGAAACAGCTTTTTTTGTGTAAACAAAATTACAATGACAACAATATTTGACAGTTCATTTTTTAATGATAACACCAAATAAGAATTATAGGCTCACTAAAGTGTTTAATAAAAATAATGATGATAGGTCTCAATCTCTTTGAATTTAACTACCAAAATTTATTCAACTTTTGTTTTTATATATACACATATATGTACATATATATACATATACACATATATGTACATATATGTGTATATAAAAAATAGACTGTTCAACTTTTGAAGTTAGCAATTGTTGGATTTAAATTTCCTATTAACTTAAAGCTTTTGCATTGAGAATTTACAAATTCAATTTAGTACTATCTTTGCTAGAAGGGAGTTTTAATAATATCTAGGGTTTTCTATCAGAACATAGGATCTACATTTTTGGCAAAAAAAGTTATGATTGCAGATTTATTGCAGTATACTAATGCTTGAAAAACATTATAACTAACCAATTGTTTCAAAATTTTTTTTGACAAAATTAGATTCCAACAATTATTCACTTCTCGAAATCATAATATTTTGATGAGTTGAAAATAAAGCGTCTGCACATATCCATTTATACATTTTATGTTTAAAGGATTATGTTGATTATTTTTATATGAGTGAAACGCTCATTTAAAACTAGATAAGTGAACTTCATTCAGAGCTAAATAGTGTTTCACTCGAAACTGCGAAAATGTAAATATAATGTTCTGACAGAAAACCCTTGATATTTAATATTAGCACGAAAGCTATTGTTGTAATTTAAAATGTCAATTTTTTTCCTTTTGTTTTCATGCAATTAATTATATTTCAAATAATTTAAATATGTAGTTTTTTTTTGCTAATAACAAGCTTTTAATACTCAGATTTTTTTTCTGATTCGCTCAAAACTATACTTGAATTGTTTTTAATTATGACAGTTAGCGAAAAAATTAGCGAGTGTTCAATTTGAATACACACATACATATATATAAAAAAATTTATTCCATCAAAAATAATTTAGAAGTTATTTTAGTAATTATTCAGCCTAAAATAAAAAAAAGAAACTTAAACATAATGGAAAAGTAAGAAAAAATTGATTGTTTGCTAATATTGTAATAGTAAATATTATTATTTAGACGTCATTGTTTATGTCACGACATTTCCCGCTGGGCAATATGTTCTCATCTTCTTCAACTTTATAAAAGAAATTTACCTTCAAAGCCGTTTTTACTATATTTCTTTTTTCTTTTTGTTTAAATACTGGAATCTCTACATAACGAACACTCTATATACCAAATAACTCTGTTAAGCGAACTTCAATTTGTTTAAACGTGTAGTAATTGTTTTTGTTTTAAAATCCCTATATACATATGTATTAGGAAATCCACTTTTTTACTAACCAAATTTATGGGATTTTAAGTCCTAACTTTATTTTTACATCCGTCCAACCAAATAATATATTAAATTACTACAGTATTTGCTTAATGTTTCTTACGTTAGTTTTCAGAAAAATAATTATAAATTATTTAAGCGTAAATAAGGATTTATTGTATATACATATAATTTAATACATTTTTAGTAAAATATTCAAAGGTATTCACTTATCAGCCTCTTCTACTATTAACGAACCATTAACATCAGAATCGCTAAAATAAATATTATAAATTCGATGCTCAGGTAAATCAACAGGATACCAGTCATTTGGTTGACAAAGTTTTTTAATTCTATTTAAAATATTGCCAGTAGATGAATAAATTTTGTATATAAAATAACAGAATATAAAAAGTGTAAATGCTACTACTTTAATTATTATAAAAGTTGAATAATCGGTTATAATAAAATATCTCGAAAAATATGTTAAATGATACAAATATCTTCCCTGTAAATCAAATTGAAAATTTTAAAATTGTATTTGATTTTTTTATAGAAAAGAAAATGAGAAACTTACTAATGCGAAAATAATTAATATTGGTGTTAAAAATCGCATCATCCATATTTTCCAATTCTCAAATATTTTTCCTGTCATAAATTTAACATCTCTTTGAAATCTTAATCTTCCGTATATCCACAAAACAATTATCAATTCGAATAAAATTATTATTAATCTTTCTGAACAACCCGTTATGTATAATGCAGTCAATGAAGAAAAACCTTTCTAAAATTATATAAAAAAATATTTTGTTAAAAAAAACCGTGATGTTTTCCAATAAAGAACAAAGTATATCAAATAAGTATATTTTAAATCTCTAAATTATGAATTAGCAATAATAAATTTTAGTTTTACTAATCATACTGCAGCTTTGGGCATTAAAATTAAGTTAAAACTATTTTTTTATTTACATTTGAGCAGAAAAGCATTGAAATTATTCCAAAAATTCCAATAAAAGTGCCTTGAATTGTTCTTTTATAAATTCTCGTGCTTTCATATTCATCAAAAATTGCTGTTAAAATCGTAAATACCTGAATTACCTAAAAAAGAAAGAAAAACAATTTATAACCAATAATCGATCATTGTGGATGAAAAACACATACTCCATCTGACAATTGAGCTAAAAATATTGACATGAAAAATAAAAATGTCCATAAATGTGGCCAATTAAAATGTGAAAAATATAAAGCAAAAGTAATGACTACAAAAGCAATTGGATCATGAAAATTAAAGAATAAGTAGAAGTAGCGATAACGCTTGTATAAGTATCTGTCGGCTGCTTCATATTGAAAAATCGTTAATAAAAATATAATCATTTGCAATGAGCATGCTACAATAGAAAGTTTCCCGATATTCTCTTTAAAATTATTATAACTGGCAATTGTAAGAATGTTGCCCCAACCAGCACCAAATGCTGAAATAATTAAAATCGGTGAATTTAAAATATTTTCCATGTAATACTGCTGAGGAAGATGCATTATAAAGTTTTTTAATACTGTCCAACTTTCTTCAACGCATAGCATACGAATTAACGTTAACAAAAAACATGAAAGCATTATTGTTGTTGTAAAACGAAAAATTTTTCCAAACTAGAAATCAAAAAAAAAGAATTATTATTTAATTTCTTTTTATTAATGAAAATTATTTACGGTTTCAACTCCGTTGAAAAGTGTAAACCAAACCAAAATCCAAACTAAACAAGTACAAAGCATAATACGCCATGCGAAATAAGATGATTCTTCTGTAGATGGCTGTGAATGCCAAATATCACTGAAATTAAAGGTCTCGTTCATACAATTTTATAATCACAAATTTTTGAGGAATATGGGTAATTTTTGTAAAAGTTTAATTTTTAAACAAAGAAAAGACACAACTGCAACTGATTTCGTCACTCATCTGTTGGTTCTTCCAATCCAAATAAAGATAATCTAAACGTAAATTCACTAAATATTAATAATTTAAAAGCGCTTAAACAAATGAAATGACAAATTAAACTGAGTCGGTTTAACGCTGACAATTGAAGCCAACCACGCCTGCCAACCAGTATTAAAAATAAGAACACTAAAAACCAAATAGTAAAAGAATCACCCATTATTAATATACAAATGAAGTTTCATGCCTAAAATATTCATCCAATGAAAGAGTTGAATTCCAGTGTTTGGGATAATTTGAACCATTTTCAAATACATATGCAGATTGAGTCTAAAAATTAGATCAATAAATGAAAGAAATGCATTAGTTTTATTAAAATTAAAATATTCAAAATGAATCTTCATTTATTTCATTATGTGAATATAGGAATTTCAAACGTGAATTCAATGAACAAGGAATTTGTAATAAAAACTAAAACCGTACTAACCTTAATGCAGTTTTCTGTATTATATGAATTGTTACAATGGGTCCAAGGTAACTCCGATCTTAAAGAATCAAAAATAACAAATAGCGGCAATGCTGCTGTTATCATGCAATAGCTGCATGTCAATATATTTAGAGTAAATGAAGCATAACCAATCACTAAATAATAAAACTCAAGAAAAGTTAATTAAAAATTTACTCAAAAATATAATTATTCAGTTACCTTTAAATAGGGGAACTATCCGGAAAGCTGAAATAAGTCCACTATTGGAGAATTGTCCCAAAAACATTTGTGTGAAATATGTTGGCAAAACAAATGTTATCATTCCCAAACTGTATAGAGCGAAGAATATAACTATAGGGATTAATTAAAAATATTGTGATAATTACATAATTGTTTTACTAAACTCTATTGTTCGTTTTAAATGAATTTAATCTACTATATTATAATAACAAAAAAAATAAAAAATTATTGAACCTACTTGGATTGCTATTCATTACAAAGTAGTTGAGAATAAAATGTCGAAATCCTAATGAATTACTTAAAATTATTGCATAAAAGTCCCAGGTGGTTGACCATTTTCCACGTCCTCTGTCATGTTTAAATGGTTTATTACCTGTTTCATAGCTGCGCGTATTGATGTTCGACATATTCACATTTAATAATACAAAAAGTTCGTGTTTAGATGTATTTGAAAAATCCAACGTGACTTTATTTTGCTTCAAGAAATTAGTGTGTACGCTTTCAGGATTTAAATATACTTTATTTCAGAGTAAAAATTATTCAAGTTTTCTTCTAAAATCCCGAGAACGATTTGAATTTTTTTTTAATTTCAAAATTTAAACGATATGACACCAATTAATAATTTAACTACCCAGTTAGTAAATTCCTTCAACTTTTGAAGTTAAAAATAACGGAAAGACATTCAAATAACAAAGTATAAATCAGTGTATACATGCACCCACAAATAATTGCAACATAAAATTGCACAGAACAATATCATTTCTAAAATGTTTTAATTGAAAACATTTTATAAATTTACTTGTCGTTTCAACGATACTTTCATATAAATAAATTATTCTATAACAGTAACAATTCTGTTCTGTATACTTAGGCCTTATTTGAGAAAATCGTGTTTCAAATTAAAATTCTTTAAAATATTTTATGCCCAAGCTAAAAACCACGTTGTACTAGTTTTTTAATATGATGACTTCAGTAAAACCAAACTACTTGCTATCAACTATTAAATTTTTGTTTACTGGGATTTATGCTGAAAATAATGTAGAAAAATATGACGTATATTACATAAGTATTGTAGATGTACATACATATGTATGTGTGTAAATATAAGTTCAGATACGACAGAAGTATTGATATAGAATTACTCAAAAAGGAATTCTGATAAGAATGGAGATTGAAATGTTGTTTCTTTCTAGTTTGGGATACTCTTCTGATTAATGTATAACTCTGGCGCTGGATCCGCTATGTCCTCCCATGTAAAAGTAGATAAAACCTTCACATATGTTGCCTTCATCTTCACAGGTTTGTCTTGATAGGAGCGATAACCAATGAAAGTATAGGAGAGATATAGTGAATTATTTGTGCTATATGTCTGCTAATTGCCCGTACGTCCGCCAGGCTACTGAATCACTGCGATCAATTGGAAAAAGGTGAAGAAGCTATAGTATACCGTTACAGTAAAATCTAAGCTTTGCAATTCAGAAGTTTGTGAACACCACTTGAAGAACCTGATAAAGTCGACCTAATAATTTGGAGATTTGAAGTAGTTCTAGCGGTTATTAATGAAAGTTACTTGGGATTGCCAGAGAACAATATGCGATTTTTATGTAAATTGTGTGCTAAACGATTGAGCCATTGAACAATGGATTCTATTTATTTTCAAACACAAAAAACAAAAAAAAAACATCTTGTGTGTATAAAATCTGGGGCGTATGTGCATATATACATATAATATGTGAACAGATTTTTTTTAAGGTTATCAAATATCGCACACTATGCGTTGCATTATGAGGTACCTTTGTACTATATAAGTTTTATATTTTAATATAACATATTTACAATAAACAATAAAAACTATATAATTTTCATCAGCTTTTAACTGGAAACGATTGGAAAGAACAGCTACCTAGTTAAGAAAAAATGTGTTTCTCAGTGTTCTATTGAATTTATTTCTATTTTTCTTGACTAAAACGGTCAAAAAAAAAAAATAGAAATAAGAGGTAGTAAAGATTTTGTCAAGAGCTTTTAAGATATAAGAGCGTTTAGGCAGTCATGGAATCTCTCTTAGTAAAATCAATTTTTTCGCAATAATTAAAAAAATGTAAAAATCTTTACTTAACTATAATATTCCATGTAAAATATTTACAAATTAAAAATAAGTATTTCCATCATCATGAACTAGTTCATTTGACATATCGGAATTTCCTAAATAAGTTTCATAATTTTGATGCTCAACTGGATCAGCTGGATACCAATCATTTGGACGGCAAAGAAATCTGATTCTATTTAAAATACTTCCACTAGATTTATATATTTTACATATTACGTAAACTGGTATACAAAGTATTGGTATTATTTTTATCATAAGAAATGTTACTGTGACTCCAACACCGTTAAGAATTGAAAAGAAGAATGATTGAACTAAATACATCATCTAAAAAATCCATAAAATATTATTGAAATTAAATATATTAAAATTCATTAAAATAAATCATTATATTTTACACTTACAAATGATGCTATTGCGAAAATTGGTGTTAAAATTCTCATTGTCCATATAATCCAAGTTTGAAATTCTTTTCCAGTCATAAATTTTACATCACGTTGAAAACGTAATCTACCATAAACCCATAGTATGATAAATAATTCTATCAGTATAATAATAGCCTTATATGCACCGGCTAATAAATAAAGACCAATAACTGAAGAAATTCCTTCCTATTAAAGAAAAAAAATATCACATTATTGACGATGTAGTAACAAAATCTGACTTTAAGATTTAATTAAGTTTTTACATTTTACACATAATTTTTAAATCGTTTATAGTTTCCAAGTTAATTGTATGTAGATAGCTTTAATACCAGAAACACACAATGTATTGTAAACAACTTTATGTTTACTGTAAGATAAACAGCTGGTTTTTGTTTATTTTTCTTTTCCTACATTTTTATTAAAAGTTTTTACTTATTCTTTTAACTACTCTTATTCTCATTAATTTTACGTAAATTTTCTTTCTCTATTAGAAAACTACTTTACTGAGAAAATTAAATACGCTGATATTACAAAAAATAGAGACCTGGACATTCATACCTTGGTTTAACATTTTTGCTGAATTCATTCATACCTTGCTTTCACATTTGATATTTTTGATATCTAAAATTCAAGTTTGAAATAATTTTATTTTTAAGATTTAAAAAGTTGTTAAAAACTTTCGAAAAGTGACCGCTATATGAAAGCAACTTTGGTTCTCTAACTCCCTTGTTTATATTTATTGTCCAAGCATGTATTTTTGTTACGACAACTTTAAATGAGCTCAAGATCAAGAATCATAAATCAAGGTTATGTATTATGAGAGTAAATTCGATGTAGAGAGGAATTATATTATATAAATATTATTGGTTTCGAAAAATTCTTTTCTTTCTTTGACAGTTTGAAAAATATTCTTTCTTTAAATTTAATTAATTTATGCAAAATAATAAATAAAAGAAATAAAACCAGTTAATTAATTATACTTCATTTGAGTATTAAAATTTTTACAGTGAATAATCAATAATGATTGATTATGATGTTTTTTCTGAATGTCACAGTTTTCAGAATCGTTTCAAAAAAAATTTTTATTACAGTTTATATACCGCACTCATACACATTTTTGGATACATACAAATTTATTTTTAAACTTGAAATTTGATTGAGATTTCATACTACTTGCATTTGAATTGAAATGCATACTACTTGTATAATTTTTTGAAGGATTAAGTACAGAATATACTCAAATTTTTAGATGCGCGGTTTGTTTTGGCGTTTACTAAAAATTTTGGATCAGTTGACATTGTAAAAACTTTTCAGTTTACAATTTGGATCATAAAATTTTGTAAATTTTGTGTTTTACTTGCAATTTGAATGCCACAGTAATGCAATAGCAATAAACACTGGGTTGTTATTGAATTCGAATATTGTGTATACAGTAGATTCGCAATTATATTAAATGCATGCATATTGTGAATAATGAATTATGTAAACACAAAATCACTTGCATTGATTTATATATGTAATATGCACTATGTATTATAGTGCATATTATAGTGCATACATATAGTCAATATTATTTGAAAATCCATCAAATTAGCACTTCAATTACTCTTTAGTCTACTTAATAGCTGTTTAACTTATGTTAACAATTCGGTTATCTGAACGCCTTTTGACATTAATTACTTCATATTAGTGCAGATGTACTGTATTTAGACAATAAGCATTTTACGTAATCTACACGAGAGTAACCATATTATAAAACATAGTAAAATATGTATATGTATATATATATATGTATGTACATATTTTGCCATAAATTTTTAATTTTGTAAATTATGACGATTAACATACACTTGAGTATAAAATAAATACATATGTACATTTATACTTATATTTCAAAGAATTAGATTTTGCCTGGTGTTTCCAAATATTCTCTTGACGTTTGTAGGTTTATAACTAAACAGAATTTAATATAATTAAATAAGTACTTTTAAAACTGCGATCCTCTAAATTCAAATTTAATAATTAAAAATTAGGAAAAATGTTAATACTTACAAAAGTACAAAAAATTATTGAACTTAGAGCAAAAAATGCAATTAAAATGCATAAAATAGCTGATTTATAAACTCTAGTATATTCGAATTCATCAAAGATGGCTGTTAAAATTGAAAGAGTTTGAATAGCCTGAAATAAAATTCTTGACAATTTTTTAAACATAAACTTCAAATTTTATAAAAATCTTACCCCTTCTGAAAATTGTGTTAAAAATATTGAAAAGAAAAATGTGATAGTCCAAAAATTTGACCAATTTAAGTGAGAATAATAAAATCCATATGTAATAAATGTATTTGACAACACATCTAATTGGTACGTATTTAATCTTGTATAACTGTGTTTTTCAGAAAAAATTTCCACACTTTCATCATTGATAAGTGCTAAGAGAAATATAATCATTTGTACAACACAAACAATCATTGATGTTTTTCCAATATCTGTTTTGAAATTATTATAACTAGCGATTGTAAGAATATTGCCCCATCCAACACCAAATATTGTCATAGTTAATAATGGTGATAAAAGCATATATATCATGTGCTCAAAGCTATAACCGTTAAAAGAAAATGAATATAATATAGATTCCCAGCTTTCTATAGTAAATAAACTTCGTATTGTTGTTAGCAGAATGCATACTAATGATATGATCGTTACGAAACGAAAAATTTTTCCAAACTAAAATTAGAATAAATTAAGGGTTGCTATAATATTTATATTTTAGATTGTCAACATACCATCTCTGCTCCTTTGGACAGAATTCCTCCAATCAAAAGCCACACGAGAAGTGTGCATAATATTATACGCCATAAGAATGGTCCGTCATAACCATTACTAATTGTTCTGCCTGTAATGTGGCTGCATTGCAAGTAAGCAAATATTATGTTTGTAAATGTTAATAAACGTTTTAATTAAATTTATTGGCAACGAGTTATTCTTACTCAAAATATTCATCAATTGGAAACGTAGTCTCTATATCATTAGTGTCATTAACTTGCAGCTTTGCGATTTCATTAAAAATGAATAAAAATATTTTTAGCAGATTTTTTTATTAGCAGATTTTATAAATTGAAAAATTATAAATTAATTTGACCTACCGAGCACTTATGTGTATTGTAAGAGTTATTGCAATGTGTCCATGGCAATTCCGATTGTATTGAATCAAAAACAATGCTAAGTGGAAACGCAGCACTAACCATTAAATAAGTACATGTCATAATATTTAAAAATAATGAAACATATCCAATTACTATATAAAATATTATTAATGAATAGTAAGAGTTTTTCCAAAACTAAAAAAAAAACTTAAAATTTACCTTTAAAAAGTGGTGCTATCCGAAATGCTGATATTAGGCCACTACTAGAAAATTGACCCAAAAACATTTGCATATAATATAATGGCAAAACTAATATAAATAAGCCTAATAGATAGGACAAGAATATTCCAACTAAATAAATATGAACAAATAAAAGAACACAATTTAATATTTTGAAACAACATCAATAGAGAGTTAAATTGAGAATTAGTTAAATACTTTAAACTTCTTTTAAAATTCAGAATTTTTTAATTCGAAAATTTCTTTAATACCCATATGTAGGTACTGGTAAACGTAAAATTGATAAACTTAGATTGCAATCAATACCTTAATAGAATCAATAAATAAATTCTTTGAAAAGCACGATATGTCTGTGTACCTATACATAATTTTTGAAAAATTGTAAACGCAACTTGTTTTTATAATTACAAAAATGTTATTTATAATAACCGATTCACAATTTTAGAATAAAGCGAGCATATTATATTTTCTATTGGTCTCATATTTCATTTTCACTGAAACAAGCATGAAGTAAAGGTTTGCATTTTCATTTGTCACGTCATTTTGTTCCATTGTCACGTTTGTCATTTGTTCCAAAAAGAAAGTTTTAATTTATTACAATAGAGTTTACAACTAATACCAAGTAGCAACTCAATAACTAGTAGCAAGTCCGTTCGTCCAAGAAAAAATTTGTTTCGAATTGAAATTGAATCGAAAATATTGTATTAGTTCTATGAAGAGATAAAAACTAAAAATAACCCTGTTTAATTTTAATAAATAATAACTACGAGAATAAGTTTAAATTTTAGTTTTAACATTTTTGCAAATAATATTTAAAAACAAATTGCTTTATTGTTGAAATACTCCAAATTTTTGGAAAAACGAGAATAGATATTAACCGTATCAATTGTGTAATACCCGTACGAATAAATCACTTTAAATGTCAAAGATAATTGACTTTGTGTTTTATACAACCTCTTGCTTTTAATATGCCTAGTGCTATTTTATACATACATATATGATATTTATCATATAAACTCATACAATCTAAAAGAATTTTACTGAAAATGATGACCACATCACCAAATATAGATCAAAATCAATTGTTCAAAATTTCAGCTTCATAGTTTCAATAGTTTCTGAGCACTATTATGGCAGTTACCACAAGCACCCAAGAAATTTCAACGACTTTTACCGAACAAAATAGCCCTAATAACATATTCGCTTGTGTGAAGTTTCAATAACATTGTTTCAATAATTTCTGGGATATAACCAAATACATTTTGAAGTTAAGTGGCATCCACCCAAACCAGTACCAGGGTCATATCTATTTTAATTTGGGTTTTGGTATTTACTATGATAAATCACTTGTGGAAATTAGGTGAACTAAGCTCAATTAGTTTTTGTTTTGTCGTTGTGACGGACGGACATGCTTTTTCCAAATGAGAAAATGAATTCAAAATCAGTTTTCCTTTTCCTTATTCTCTCAATTTTAAAATTTCGTCGTTTATTACAATTTTTACAAAAAAAAGTAAACAAACGGATTTTCTTCTTATTTGTTGCCGAAAACACTTATCTTTGTTGTACTTCTTAATTTTTTCCTATATTAATCTAATATCTGGTGCATCGGTACAATTTCTTATTATCATTTTAATCATTTAATCATTTAATCATTTTATCATAAACAATCATATAAACAAATATGTTAGACGTGTGTATGTACATAAAATTAAAAACATGTATGTGTAAATAAATATTGAATATTTAATTGTTAAACAGTATACATACATACATACACACAGAAAATTTATGTATGCTATAGGTATGTACTTTTTTATATTGAAATATTTAAACATAATAAAGATATTATATAAATTACACAAATGTTATTATGTAAAAGTTATTTAATTCAACATTCATTCTTAATAATATTTAAGGAATTGCATATTTTAAAAATTAAACTTACCTACATTACTTTTAGATATTAAAAAAAATAATGTTAAATGACGGAAGCCTAAACAATGACTTAAGGCAACAGCATAAAAATCCCATATTGTATCCCATTTACCACGTCCTACATCATGTTTAAACGGTTGATTTCCTAAATCATATGATCTTACATTTCCAGCAACTGAATTTAAATTAGAATTAATCATAGTTTCTTAAGAAACACCAATATTTTGGCTATTCATTAAAATTATTTAAAATTTATTTTTATAGATATTCTGCGCTTTTTTCTACACATGAAATAAATATTATAAACACTTCTTAATTTATATTAAATTAATTAATTTTTTACACACACTTTAATATAATTTTTTTAATATATACATATGTACATATTATATGTATTTTTCGGTTTTTTATAAAATTATTTTAGTTGTATGAAAATAAATTAAACGAATCATTTTCGCGCTTACTTATAACCGAATATATGCCAAACGAATTTCATGCAAAACTAAACTGAGAATTTTTTTTTTTGATCTTTAAAAATAAATTAAGAAAAAGTTTTCGTATAAGAAAGCACTCTCGCTAAAATTGCTTATTTTTATATTTATTTTTTCATCACAAAACAAAAAAAAAATATTTTATAAACATAAACACTGCGATAATAAAGTTTTTACTCGTAAAACCTTCCCTTGCCTCTTCTTTTGTTTTGAAGAATAAAAACAAATTTAAAATATATTATGAATCATGAATTGACTACATCTTTCAAAGCTCATATTATGTTCTTTATAGTTAAAATGAATCAAAAGAAATTCTTAAAAATTTTTATCTTCATTTCATTTTCGTTCATGATGACCTATTTGAAAAAAATATTGTGGAATAAACTTCATTGTAAAACTTCTAATGAGTGCTTTTTAATGACTTAAAATCTTGCTTTAAAGAAAAACAATTTTTAATTATGATTTCATGTAAATATTGTCCGTGACTGCTTTTGAAATGATTAATTTTGCCATGTCAAAAATTAAACGTTGCATATCGTTCCCAAAAGCTGAGTTCCATGCTGGACATCAGCTACTTACAGGATGTAAATTAGCACTATATGAAGCACTACTACTATACTTATATATGTATAAAGGAATTTCCATTCAAAATCTCTAACTTTACAACTAAACTTTAATCTCCTACTAGCAACTAACTTTACAACTAAAATTGTTAACAAATTACAATTTATACAAAATTCATTTTGAAAAAAATTTAACAAAACCATAGATATTTTAATTTTATTTAAAACTTATACAAAAGAACAAAAACAAACAAAAATAAGAAGTTCAGTTAAAAAATTAAAAAACAATATGGAGCTAATGTTATAGCCCCTTCCCAATCGGTTATTTATAAATCCGCAATTAGCTAGAAAACGATTTTATGAGATCTCCGTTTTCATAAATGATTTTTGCTTTTGCCTGTTTGTGCAATTTTGTGGTCGAATAATACCAAGATTGAACTTTATTGTGACGTACTTAAAGTTTTCGCTTATGGCACCTAATGTTAAAAAAATTTAAAAAAAATTAACAGAAAATAAATTTTTTTGCAGTTATTTAAAATTTTTTTATTAGTTATTAAAATACAAAACATGTAATTAATTAAAACGATACTGTTTCTGTTATTAAATTTGCGTGTACCAATTCATTTGCAATATCAGAATTATCTAAATAATTTTCATAATTTTGATGTTCAATCGGATCAGCCGGATACCAGTCGTTGGGACGACAAAGTTTTTTTATTCTATCAATAACATTACCAGTCGCGGTACAAATTTTATAAATCATATAACCCGGGACATACATCGTTGGTGTTAACTTCAAGATGGCAAATATTAAAATGGCTAAAATATGTCCAAATCTTCGATAATATTGCGACTCAAAAATGTAAACTAACTGAAATTTTAAAATAAATCAATTTCAATAACAAATTTTCAAAAAAAATTCTTACTAATGCAATTGCGATAGCAATAGGTGTTATAAATCTCATTGTCCATACTTTCCAACTTTTAATTGATTTCCCCGTCATAAATTTTACATCACGTTTAAATCGAAGCCTACCATATATCCAAACAATGACAAACAATTCTAATAATATTATAATTAATTTATTGGCATCTGCCATTGAATGTAGCACACTAACTGTGGCAAATCCAGCCTGAAAAAAAATAATTCAGTATGACTAAGTTCAAATTTATGGGAGTACTTTTTAAAAAATGTTATAAATTTTTTAAACACCGAGCACATTGTACGAGAGAAAAAAGTTGATAAAAGAATCGACAAGCCCGTGAAATCGAACTTTGCCCGAACTTCAAGTTATAGAAGTAGATTCAGCGAAAGAAGTAATTCTACTTCGCTTAAATATAGAAAGTTGGTTTGATAATCATTCTTAGAAGCGGACACTCCTTAAATTTATGGAGGCTTATTCGAGTTTTGAAGTGCGAAAAAAAATTTAAAAAACGAAACTGCACACTTTGCTTGGTCGTGAAGTTACCAGGAATAAAAGGGGGTACATTCAAATCTGCACTTCATGAAATGTTTATGGAATGTATGCTGCCTGCTGGATTGCTTATTTTAGTTACAGAAGAATTAGAGTACAGAAACCTCACATATTGTGTGATTTTGAAACAACACCTTACTTGAGGCGCTATCGAATACTTTGTAGCCTAATCATAAATTTCACTACTCTGTGAAGCTATTCAATACTGGAATACGAGAAAAATTAAAATATGTAGCACGCACATTAGGTAAGATGAAAGTTTTAAAAATTATCGAAAGACTAGATTACTAGAACAAAAATTACAATCCTATTCTTCCTCACACCAATATAAGAGGACAAATAAGTGAAAAACTAATTAAAATATTAAAAATAAAACAAATTTTCTTACAGTTGTACAAAAAAACATTGAAATTGAACCGAGAAATGCTATCAAACATCCTAAAATAGCTTTCTTATAGATCCTGGTATATTCATATTCATCAAATATTGCTGTTAATATGGTTAGAATTTGTACAGCCTAAAATTACGAAAAATATTTAAAAAAATTATTTGAAATTAATTTTTAATTAAGTTGTACGAACCCCTTCAGCAAATTGTGATAAAAAAAGGAGTAAGAAAAATAATATTGTCCAAAAATGTGACCAACTGAAATGAGCAAAAAACATAGCATATGATACAAATATATAGGTGAACGCTTGATAATATCCAATAGATATATAAATGAATCCGTAATATTTAGCTATATAATCTTCTACAGACATATAAGTAATCATTGTTATCATAAATACAACCATTTGTGTACAACATACAACTAGTGATAATTTTCCAATATCTTCTTTAAAATTATTATAACTGGCTATTGTTAGAATATTACCCCAACCAGCTCCGAATGCAGTCACAGTTAATATTGGCGATAATAAAAAATAACTAACGTTCGTAAACGAAGACAATTTTAATTCAAAATATTTTTGTATTGCTTCCCAACATTCAACAACAAAAATTATACGTAACGTTGTTAAAAATAAGCATACGAAAGTAATGGCAGTAATATATCGAAAAATTTTTCCAAACTAAAATTTTAAAAAAACCAACATTGGATTTTCATCAAAATTTAAATTACAGAAAAATAAAACATACTAACCATTTCGACTCCATTATACAATACTAAACCAATTAATACCCAAATCAGAAGTGTACATAACATTATGCGCCAAGAAAAATACCAGTTATTATCTACATCATGTCCATTAAACACATATCTGTAAATAATGCATTCTGTACATTAACTGCACATAATTTAAATATGAACTCACTTTAAATATTCATTTATTGGAAAAGTTCTATTATTGCTATATTCATAATAAAAGTCAGAAAAATTCATGCTAGCATTTAAGGATCCTGGTTCAATCTAAAAATTAGTATCATTTTCAGAAACTTTCCTTCAAAACTGTTGATAATTTCAATTTGTTTTTTTTTAATTGTTAATTTTGTTTTACAGCCTTACCGCCTCACATTCTTCTGAATTAAAATGATTACCACAATGTGCCCAAGGCAAATGTGTTTGCATAGACTCAAACACAATGTATAGGGGAAATGCAGTTGCCACCATAAAATAACTGCATGTCATAACATTTAAAAATAATGAAATGTAACCGATACCTAAAACATTTTGAATTATAAGTAAAAAATATTGTAAATTATTTAACTTAATTTTTAAGTTTAAATTTAAACGAGAAAAAAATAGTTCACCGTGCCAATTCTGCAATACCCGTACGAATATTTGTCAAGAGCTATTTCATTAACAAAAAAAATCAATAGATACTAACATTTTTCAGAACGGTTCTATTTGGTTTTACAACCGTATATATTGTTATTTTGTTTCAAAAATAACGCCACAACCAGACCGATATACACTTATTTGAATCATACTGTAACCACAATTTCAAGCCTTCTTTTACCTACATTTGAATAGTGGGGCAATAAACTTTATACCTACTTTTAAATAGTGGAGCAATCCGAAATACTGATATAAGTCCAGTGCTAGAAAATTGGCCCATAAACATTTGCGTAAAATATACCGGTAATGTAAAAACCAACATTCCCATCATATATGCTATGGACATTATTACTAAAAGAAAATATTTGAGAAATTAAAATTTTTAGCTTGGTTTGTTTTTTCCAGAAATAAATTTAATTCTATTCTACGAGAAATTATGCAAGCGAAGGTATTAAATGAAGTCAAGTATACAGTATACATGTATACATATTTACTAATATAAGTTCTAGAAAATATTTATGAGCATATATACATATACATATATGGAACGTTTACATGCAATGGGAACTACGAAAATCATCCAATAAACGACAGAAACAACATCAAAGCTATCAAATGAGATAAGCAATATATTTTTTGTTATGGTACAAACATATTAATAATTTTAATTCTAATTAAATTTTAGTAATGATTTTAAAATTGAATTTTGTTATATGGGTTAATAATGTTATCTACAATAATATTATAAGGAAAAAATTAAATAATATTTATTATAATCATTTAAAATGTTAATGAAATTAAAATGTACAGAAAATACTTGAATACATTATATTATTATTAAGTAAGTAAGTTAAATAATTTGAAATAACTTAATTAAATATTTTATATGTATGTATGTATTTGAATTGAAGAACGAAAATTAAATTTACCTGCTGATGCTGGTTCCAATGCAAAAAATATCAAATAGTGACGGAAACCGCAACAATGGCTTAAAGCAATTGCATAAAAATCCCATGTTTTCTCCCATTTTCCACGTCCAGGATCATGTTTATATGGTTTATTCCCTATATCATATGAAGTGACATTTTCAGGAATTCTATTACCATTATTATTTGTCATATTTTTGTCTTATAATCAAAAATATTTTCAAAATCTTTATAACAATTTTTTTTTATAAATACTCATTAAATTTCCATTTATGTAATTCTAAATATTAACAAAAATCAAAAATAATTATAAAATATTTGGCTTATTTTTGCTACCGTTAATTAAAATAGTTTTCTTCTTATCACAATTTAGTATAATAATTATAAAAAAAAAATTTTATTAAACTTGCACATACATAGTCAAACATCAAAACTAAAATTCAAAGTTAAATCTAGAATCACACTTTTTTCTGTTTCATGTTCTGAAAAAAAGCTTCAATTTGATCCCCCCTCTTTTGAAATATACAGTTAAATGTAAACAAATGCCCAGATAGTAATTTACAAAAAAAATTATTATTGTTATTAAAATCGAAAATCTTTCGCATAATTGTCAATAATTATTGTGAAAAAATATTTCAAAGTAAAAAGACTCAAAAAATGAAGAGGTTATCGAAAATACGAGATGCTCTATCGAATGACCTTTTTTTAAGACCCGGAACCTAACTCAATCAATATTCATTGAAGTTCTCAAATCGAAGTAGCAGAAAAAGTCCCAAACCTTTTCAAAAATGTGCTGCATGGCACATTTTATTATCGGTTAAATTCTTTACCGAGACCTGAGAAATATCTACTTATGTTTGACCTTAATATCAAAACCAATTTCCTTCCGTTCTCAAAAAAGTGCTTCAAAAACAAACTAACCGATAGTGGTTTAATGTACAAGAAATTTTAATTGAAGATAGCTAAATATTAAATTGGAAAATTTTTATGGGTATTTAAAAATTCTAACAGAAAAGGTGAATTCAACCTGAAAACATAAAATATCAGATAAAAATCAACGCAAACGTCAGGTGAATTGATAACATGTTGAAAACAAATGAAACTTTGTAAAGAGCATCCAAATTGCATATCAATTTCAAGAAAAAAAAGGGAGTTCGACTCATTCATTTGAAAGATGATATTTAACATTCAACAGTACCTACCCAACAAAATTTGCTCAGATTTGCCATTTACTCAAAATTTTTGTAAAATGTTTTTGAAAGCTTTAATTAATGTTAACTATTAGAAGGATTACACGTAGATAAAAGAAAATGAACATTATGAAAAAAAGTTTATTAATATAAATTTTTTTTGATTCTCATTTTTAATTGTCTAATTTTTTGTAAAACTCAATACAAATAGATTTGTATACATATGTACGTACAAACAATAACAAAAACACAAAATTAAATTAATTACGTGCACAATCACTACAAAATTTCAATATTAAAAATGAACAGATTCGGTGAGTACATTTGCATGTACTAAATCATTTATATCAGTACTCCCTGTATAATCGGCGTAAGTGCGACGTTCAATTGGATCAACAGGATACCAATCATTAGGAACGCAAAGTTTTCTTATTCTTTCTAAAATTGTTCCTGTTGCTGATGAAACTTTGTATATCATATAACCCGGTACATATAATAATGGTGTTAATTTTAAAAATAGGAAAACAAAAATTACAATTAAACTTAGGCTACTTATAAATCTCACTTGCATAAACGATTCTACAGTTGCATAAAGCTAAAAATAACAAAAATTCAATAAAATAATTTTAGGAAAAATAAATCTCTTACTAATGCAATTAAAATTCCAATTGGCGTTAAAAATCTCATTATCCATATTTTCCAGCTTTTCATCGGCTTTCCAGTCATAAACCTAACATCACGCTGAAAACGCAACCTTCCGTATATCCACAATACAACAAGTAACTCAATTAGTATTATAACTAATTTATTGGCGCCAGCTATCGGATACAAAATTTTTAAAGCACCAAATCCATCCTTAAATAAGTAAAATTTTTAATTTTAATTGCCTTGTGTTTTAATAGTTAATTTTAAAAATTGTTTCACATACTGCTGAACAAAAGAAAATTGATATAAAGCCAAAAAATCCAACTAATCCTCCTAAAACGATATTTTTGTAAATTCTTGTGAATTCGTATTCGTCATAAATTGCAGTCAAAATAGTAAGCATTTGTAGTGCCTAAAATATAAAATTTTAATCAAGATTAATTTTTAAATAAATAATCGAATATCGGGTTCCTACGTACCCCTTCAGCGAATTGTGTTAAAAATATTACTGCAAAAAATAAAATAGTCCAAAATTGTGGCCACCCTAAATGTGAAAAATACAGAGCATATATTACGAACTGGAGCGATATAACATCAAAATGACTATAGTTGAAATACATGTATCCAAAATGTTTTTCTAAATAAGTTTCAATTGATGTAAAACAAATGCATGTTATTAAAAATGTGAATATCTGTATAAAACATGTTATAAATGATAATTTTCCAATATCTTCTTTGAAATTATTATAGCTGGCAATTGTAAGTACATTTCCCCAACCTGCTCCAAATACAGATAAAGCTAAGATTGGTGATGCCACAATATAATGTAAATATCTTGAATAACTTGACGATAAGGTGAAAAACTTTCCAATTGCTTCCCAACTTTCGGGAACACATAAAATTCGTAAAAATGTCAAGAGCATACAAATAAAACTTGCAGCAGTTATAAAACGAAATATTTTGCCAAACTGAAATTTTAATAAGAATTTACGTTAACGTAACGATAAAAAAAAATATTATGTTGTTAAAACGATAAAAAAAATTTATACCGTTTCAATGCCTTTAAAAAGAACCGCACTAATTAAAATCCAAATCAATAGAGTGCACAAAAGAATACGCCAAGAGAGACGAGAACTTTCTTCCATTTCTTCATTGTTTCCGTTTAATATAAAGCTAAAATTAATGTTGCCGGCGGGAAAAAACTATATTAAATATCTGATGAATATAATTCAAAACCGTTGTTTTACCCTTTAATATTTTGTATATTGTTTTCTTACCTTAGAAATTCATGTGTTGGAAGGGTCTTATTATAATATTCATTATAAAAGTCAGTAGAACTCCATGAAGTGTTGACCGATTCTGGTTTTATCTAAAATTCATATTGATAATAAAATTTTTAAAGAAGAGTTATTAAAAAGAAATACTAACCACAACGCATAATTCTGAATTGAAATGATTACTGCAATGTGACCATGGTAAATTTGATTGCATTGATGCAAAAACAATATATAAAGGAAATGCGGCAATTACCATAAAATAACTGCACGACAATAAATTTAAAAATAATGAGATATAACCAACACCTACGAAAAAAATTGTTTAAAACCGTATTCTAAAGCATGCTGTGTGTACATAATATGTAGATAAATTACCTTTGAAAAGAGGAGCAATTCGGAATACAGATATGATTCCGGTACTAGAAAATTGACCCATGAACATTTGCGTAAAATACAATGGTAACATAAAAAAAACCATTCCTAATATATGAGATATAATAATGGGAACTAAAAAGAAAGAAACGAAATTAATTTTTTAGTTATAAAATTTTAATAAAATTGAATAAGTTATTACTCACCGACACCTGCACGATAAAACACCATATGCATTAGGAAATGGCGAAAGCCAAAGCAATGACTTAAAGCTACAGCATAAAAATCCCATCTTGTAGCCCATTTACCACGTGCAAAATCATGTTTATACGGTTTATTACCCGTATCATAAGATGTGACATTATGAGAAATTCTAATGACATTGTTTGTCATGTTTTTTTTTAAACTTATTGTTGAATATAACGTTAATTATGACAGAGTCCTGCTACTTTATTTAAAGTAGTTTTCAATTTTTAATTTTAATTATAAAATTTTATTCTATAATAAAAAAATTATTTTAGCCATATAATTTTTGTCAAATTCACTTATAAAAAAATATTTAAATTTTCGGTAATTTGTTCTTTGTAGATTATTTACAAACGATGTTTAAAATTTAACTAAATGGTTATTACTCAAAATACAATATAATTGCGATATTTATTTACATAAATTAAATATGTACGTGAGTATGTATGTTGATTTATCAGTAAATACAAAGAGAAAGAACTATAATTTTTTCAAAGTCAAAGCTTTATTATTATTTTTAATAGTTAAAAAGATTAGCTCCCAATAAGCATAAATCAAAGCATAAAAACTTTAATTTGCGAGTTTTTTTATAATGTACCTATAAGAGTATTTTCAAAGCCTAAACCTGTTTACAACTATTATCCTCATGACGTTACAATTAGGTGAAGATGACACATTAAAAAACCATACATAAGTATGTAATGCAGTGAAATCTTTATATAACGAACACTTCCATTTAGTTTGCAAAAGAAAAATTACAAAAACTCATTATTTTACAAAATCTTTTAAAAACAAAAATTCCTTTATACCTCTTGTAAACCAATATATGAATATATGCATATGTTTGTACATATTAAGATTGGAAACGAAAATATATTAAAAATTTTTAAGAAAATTTTTATTTTAGACAATTTCAAAATTTATATTTCAAGCTATTTGGTACATTTTAATAATTATTGTTTTTTTCTAATTAATTAAATTTTCAATGAGAAAAGTTTTCGCCACATTAAAAAAATTATTGTTCTGTACTATACATATGTATGTATTGTAAGCTTATCATTATATTGTGTTTTTGGTTCAATCTCTATTAAAATAAAAGTATAGAGATAACCAGTATTCTCACTTCTCATGAAAATAAATTCAATTTGAGATTTAAATTTTAAAATGCTTTTATTTTCTCTTCTTTCTAAGCTGAAAATTAAAAATAAAATTTTGCAAACTTTTGGATTTTTTTCGTGTTTAACGATCGCGCTTTCTTACAAATTAAAGATTAACGGCTTCAATGGTTTTTTTGCACATTTTCCGATTATTTGACGGCATTGATTTGATGTGACGGCAATAAAATTTAAATTCAAAATAAATTTTAATGATTTATATCCTTAGGGTATTCCTTTTGGTTTAAATGTCTTTTGGAGCTAAGGCTGCAGGACAGTATAGAGTCTTCTCAGTGGCCCAGTCATGGATATCTCCTGAGCGGAACGGGTTTTTGATCTTATCAATACAATGAAAATGAATATATGTAGATATAGTTTATTCATCATAGCCGAGGTTCATCATAAGCCGACCATGTCCAAATGCAGGACGGCAAGCAAAATGTAACCAAAATACACCCTTAGGAAATCAGTTGGACTACTGGCAATATCTCGGGGTGACATTGCCTGCACTGACCGTGGGGAGAGCATTCGTCTTAGTCATGTGGGACAGAGCAAGCATAACGGGGCTGAGAGAGATATGAAGATTAGCTCCGGAGATTCAGATAAACTTCTCTTGGCTTAGATAGGCCGCCTGTAGTCGTACGTTCAAAGATGGTGATCACGGGATAATAATAGCAAAATGGCACATTTGTGTTATCTGGGGCTCGGTGAACTTGCTGCACCAGCCACGTCAACCAGCCAAGAAACTTCTTGATTCATGAATTACATTCTATTTAGATTTTATTTATTTTCCTTATTGAATAATCCAAATATTGAACACTAATTTCACTATATTCTTTAAAATTATTCTTTCTAATTTCACTATATTCTTTAAAATTATTCTTTCTAATTTCACTGTCAGGATTTACTTGTTTAACATAGGTAATAACGGATAAGAGATGGAGGGCCAGTTTTGATATTGTCGAGTGGGAGAAGAGAGGATCATGCATAGATGCGGGTGCTTTATCCGATTTTGTTAACTAACTTGGGTAAAACACCGGTATCTTTGCATCTTCTTATAATTGCTTTACTTACATCAAGTATTTCGTTTGAAATGGGCTACGTACTAAGCGATGTCCATATGCCATATTATTCCACGGTTGATCGTATCAACACTGACTAGAATATTTTACGTTATTAAATCCCATTTTAACGGCTATTCTATAGGATGGTTCGTAATGAGGGCTGTCATTTGGCTCCGAACGGATTCGATTTGAAAATTTATGTCCCTGACTCCTTTTGCATTTTAGCTCCAATGTCGCTTTTACTTTAGTCAAAACCCAAAAAAATGTTGATAATTTTCACAAAATTTTTAAATTCCCTTGAAAAATATAATTCCTTAATAAACAAGAAAAGTTTTTGTGCAATACAAATTCGCTGTCAAAACCGTGGGTAACGAAATTTTGTACATTTAACTTTTTTTTGCTAATTTAAAAGACGCCACCTATATTTTAGTAGCCAAATTAATCAATTAGTCAGTTATAGTATCAAATGACCAAACTTGTGGACACACAAAAAATATAAGCAGCAAATCTGCTTGCACAGAATTTTTTTGAGTCAATCAAATATATTATATCGTTCAATATATGTACAAATGAATATAATTTCATTTTAGTCTTTTTCAGAAATTAAAAATGTATAATTGAAATTTTTATGACGTTTTTTGTCTGATCACTATTACTAGAGTTTCAACTTTAAAAAATGTCTGCATACAGTATATACATATGTACATACATATATGAAGTTTCATATAAAAAATTTTATTTTAAGTTTAAGTTTTTTTGTGATATTTTTTCAATGTGAATTTATTAACTTTTTGTTTGTAATTGTGGTTCAAAGTTTTGCATTTGTTTTTATGAATTTTTTTTGTATTCTTATGTTAATAAATTGTTTTTGTATGAAATATAAAAATTGACTCCACTTTCTTAAAAACACCTCTTTTTTTTTGAATATTTTCGCTTCTCATTCAATAAATCAAACGACAGCCCTATTCATAATATGTAAGATCAAGCGTGCCTTCCTTTAAAGGCTGCCAGTATTTCTCTAAGATCCATTTACAGTTTAAAGTATTTAAACGGACGTGCTTTAAATTATTATGCTTTACTATGATCTTTTGTTTTTCTCTTTACACACCTAAGTGACGAAAAGGACTGTTGTATGACACTATAGCACATAGTTCAGTTTCGTTAGTCATTCCGTGAAATTAAGTGGTCTTAAAATCTTAAATTCTGTTCATTAATGGATGCATTATGTTTGCTGTTTTAATTTTATTAATTCCTCTTAAATACCATCAGTATCCCTTGCTTTATTGTTTTTGTGAGTGTTATTATATACAACCTTTCCTTCTTTTTAATCAAAAATGTGCAAGGAAAAATGTTATTGTGCCGTATAGTTAAAGTGGAAAATGACTAAATTATGTTCATACATACATAAGTATGTAAATAAAAAATACACGCGCGTACATACCGCTAAGGATTTAATAGTCTCTTGTGGTTAAATTATCAAATTGATAATGGGAGCAAAAATTGCAAATTGAAAAACAATTATAAATAAATTTCAAATAAAATATTTTCGTATAAGTAACTTGCAATCAAATTTCCTTTCCGTTTTTGGGTAAACGATAAATACGCAATATAATATCATCACATTTTAAAATTTCTTAAAGTTTCTGATAGAGAAAATGTTAATATTTGATATACATAAGTATGTATTTGCAAAATTCTTGAACAAAAATAAAGAATATGAAAAAATTGGTAATGCTCTTGAAGTTTACGTCACATAACCAAACGAACAAGGTCTCTCGATAAAACTTTATTGTTTTTATTATGTTTTTTTTGCGAACAAAATAATATGTGTGTATGACCAAAATTCAGTGTCAGTGAAATTTAAGACAAAATTTCAAGTACACATGAATACAAACATGAATGCAAATTATATGTACATTTTTATCAATTTTTGACATACAATTTCTGCCCACAATTCGTTTTGGATTTTATATATGAAAATAGGCACACATATTCTATATGGACTTATGTAGACATATTATAAACATACATATACATATTATACTCGCTTATCAACTATTATAAAACTTTTGCGTATGCTTTCATTTTAATTGAGGTTTTTTTAATTGAAGAATTCTTTTTTTCTCGTTAGATGATAATAAATTATTTTAATAACGAATAATTATTGTTTAAGTTGCTTATACCTCAAATGATATTGTAGTCTAAGTCAAAAATATTGCCATCAAAATGGTAATGAAAATTCAGTGTCTACTTTTTGTGTGTATATGAGATTTTCTATTAAACTAATAACTGCTAAAGTATGTCTGTATGAATGTACATTCTAAAATTGCAACGAGATGAGCATGGTAGACGATTGCCACTGCAGATTTTGTGAAGCAGTAGAGGAGACTTCAGTACACCTTCTGGAGGATTATAGAGCTTTGTTCCGCAAGAGAAGAGAAACGTTGAGTTATTATACACTCACTGGAACGGAGATTGGGTCTCGAGGGAATTTTTCAGGGTACCGGGTCGCTGGAACTATGGGGTCGCGGTGATTTCGCTACACCCGCGCTACGCAGCCTACAAAGACAAATTCAAGAAAAGTGAGAGATTCGAAGTAAGTAAAATTAAAAACAAAATGCGAAGAGTATAAGTGATAATCAAAGAGTATATTCGAATGATGTAAAATAGACAATGAAACTAAGAACTAAGAGTTTGTAATCTATATTGGAGGAAAATTCATATGAAACGGATGACACAACGACAGTGGATAATTTCAATTTTATTATAAAAGAAAGAAGAAATTAAGGGAAGCATGCAGATATACAAATCCACAAAGGCAACTTTTTACACACCGCAGATGACACAACGCATATTTTCTAATTATTTAAATTAATATCTTGACGGGTTTTATAACTGTATGATAATTATTATCATTTTGGGTTTGACAGCACTAAAAAATAAAATAAATAAATTCATAATTAGGTTAATATAAAAGATTATAGACTCAATTACCTGATGACATTCGTGTCACATAACAATATATCAACCAAAACACATAGGTTCCGGAAATATTTTGATCCTTATTGTAGATCTACATATAAATAACCACATTTAATTCTAGTTATATATACACTCCACTATAGCTCATACAATTAAAGCTTTATGTACACAGGCTGAAATAAGCATTGTATTTAGAAGCCGTGACATATTTACATTTTGTATGTATGTATGTATGTATGTATAATATTATATAATATTGCAAATTTTATTTTTTTTTTTGGGTGTTATAAAACTAAAAATATTGTTTTGAATAAAAGTTTATTCAAAAATGTAAAATGTACTAAAATTTACTTGTATAGTATATAAAGGAAAAAATCTCTTTTAAAAGTGACTAAATTAAATTCCAACTAAAATTATATTTTCTATTTTCTATCACTTTTGTGAGCCTCTTAATTTAAATCTGTGAATATAATCTGTGATAGATGTAAGTATATACATACTTTATACACTAATGTACATAAATTTTTAAATATAATATGTATAGTATTATGCACATGATATTTATGTACGTACGAGTATATGTACATAATGTAAGTAATGTGTATGCATTTATACTAAAATATAAGTATATTAGACGAAAGTGAACATATATGAACGCCTCTTAAAACTGATTAAAATTTCAAAACACACTATGTAAATGTATGTATGTATGTATATATTAAATGTATATTTAAATAGTATTTATATTAAATTTGATAGCTTATTTTAGAAAAGATTTTTTTTTAAGCTTTCAATTTATTATGATGATGATAGTTAAACGTAGTCTGTGAACCTAATCACAATGTTTCTTATAAAATTAAAATTGTCTTAATATTTATATTATATATATACTGCCAATTATATTTTAGTAACTAAATTTTGAATATTTATGTAGATTATTTTATGATTTAGTAGGTATAAAAAATTGAATAATTTTATATAAAAAGAAAAAATATTGAAAAATTTAAAAAAAATGAAAAAAAATGTAATAAAGAAATAAACGATTTAATTAAAAAATATATACAAATGAATTCAGAAAATATATTATTAATCTTGAATTTGAAAAAAAGTGTTTAAAATAGAAAAGCCATCTATATGTAAAATTGCATAGTTATAAATATGTCATAGTGCGTTTTATATTCTCATTTAATATAACAAAAATAATTTATAATACTTTGACAGTGCAATACAAAACATTTTATTTATTATAATCAAATATAGTATAGATTATAGTTATTAAACAAATTGTTTTGTAAATTAAATCAATATATACATACATATATATAAATAGTATTATACAGATTATTTTAAATTTTATATACTATTTAATCATATAGGGCGAAGAAAAATAAATCCTGGAAAACAACAAAATATAAAAAACAATTATATGTATTAGATAAAATGGCAACAATATTGACATCTTATGATACTGGAAGTAAACCATTTAAACCAGATATTTCACGTGGAAAATGGTCTTCTTTAACTGATTTTTATACAGCAACCTTAACCCATTCATTTGGCATTAAAACATTTTCAATAATACCTTTATATGCGGTATCAACAAGTGGTAGTAAGTAAACATAGTTTATCCGTAATTGTATAATACAAATCGAGCAATATAACTTTAACAATAAGAAAAAGTTAACTTTTAGAACAGTTTAATAATTTCTTTACATAAATATTTAAAAACGAGAAAAAATAGAGATGACCTGGTCAACTCTGTGATACCCGTACGAATTTGTTATCCTATGTGCGAATAAATAAGCCATAACTGATTATGGGACAGACAATGTCTTTAAGTTGCCATATTACCATATTAATTTAGGCAAAATTTCAGTAGTGTTTTTCAAAATAGTGTGTGTGCCAAACTACTATTGAAGTTGTACTGCAGCTACCAGAAAGAGCCAAGAAATTTTAACGAATTTTATCAAGCACATCGGCCCTACTAATATATTCTCTTGTATGAAATATCAATATTACAGCTTTTATAGTTTCTGAGATACAGCCAAATAACTTTTGAAATTGTACAACACCTACCAGAAAGAGCCAAGAAATTTCAACGACTTTTAACAAACACATTGGCCCTACTAATATATTCACTTGCGTGAAATTTCAATACCATAGCTTTTATAGTTTCTGAAATGTAGTCAAATAAATTTTGAAGTTGTATGGCAGCTACCCGAACCGGTACCCCGATCATGTCCAATTTAAATAGAGTTCTGGCACTTACTATAATAAATCACTTGGTGAACTTAGCTCAATTAGTTTTTGAGTTATAGTTGGGACGGACGGACGGACAGACAAAGCTAAATCAACTCAAAACTCGACGCTGATCAAAAACATACACTTGAGTCTGTATCTAAGACCGTTATTTCTTAGGGTTCAAACGGTAAGGCAAATTTAGTATACCCTTCGAATGTACGTTCGTACGGGTATAAATATATAATTACATTATAACCTTAATTTGAACTTCATACATTCACGGTAATAACAGTAATAAGTTCTAAATGTAACATTTAAAGTTTCATTTCAAGTTAATTTAAGTATGTGTTTTTCTCTTTTTCAGCTTTAATAAAGAAGAGAACTGTAAGAAAATACTATTCATAATATTTTGGAGAGATTCTTTAAAACTCTTACAATTAATAGTTTTTACAGTTAGATAAATCAAAAATTTAATAACGACTAAAATAAAATATGGTGATAATGAAAAATTTGCCTCCACTAATAAAAAAAATTGTATTTTTTTAAAAAAGAAGAATTTGAATAAAAAAATAAGATTTTATACTTGTCATAAAATAACAAGTGACAAAATTTTATACGTGAGCTTTGTAAAACGGTTTCTATAATGCAGTATTAAAAAAGTTGAAAAAAAAACAGTTATTTTGATTACCTTTATTTTAAAGTTAGCGTTAGAATTAGGCAGGTTTACAAAGTTTTATACACAGTAATTAAAGATTCCTCTAGAGGGCATAAAAAGCATTCCTCTTTGTGCCATTTTTTTTAACAACGACAAAAATGTTATGACCTCGTCAAAATAATTCAGCAAGCGGGTTACTTACCTAAAAATAATTTTAATAATTGTGCATTTTAATTCTATAACATTGTCGTAATTATTATTATATCGTTTCAGTTCTATTTATTATACCATTCATGGTCGGATTACTTATTTTGAGTATACCACTCTATTTTATGCAATCATTTATGGGACAATTTTCTTCAAGCGGCTATATATCTGTTTACCGTATTGCTCCATTATTCAAAGGAATTGGTTTTTCTATTTTGATTATGAATTTGGCAACAATTTGTTACAGTATCTGTTTAACATCTTATACCTTAACATATTTTTTGGCTTCTTTCAATCCGGAATTACCGTGGATGACATGTAATAACGGATGGAATACACATAATTGTACTGTGGTATAGTTAAAATAGAATTTTTAAAAAATATTTTTATATTTTTAAAGAAATTTTTTTTGGAAATATTCTATCAAATTAAATCAGTTTTTCTTTTTTGGTTTTCTTTAAATATTTTGTGTTTTAGGTTCAAAAATTTGATGAAAATCATACTTTAGCTTATAGTGAAAGATGGTCAACAATAGAGTATTTTGTGTGAGTTATAAAAAATAAAAATTAAATTATTGTTTACATTAAATTGAAGAATATAAAACCTCGCGGGATTATTCCGAGAAATACAATTGTACATATTTACTCCTGTAGATGGTTTTATATTATTGCATGTAAAACAATCGTCCAATCCCTATAGCATTTAAACTTATGAATTAGTTTATATTTCTGTCATGTATCGTTGAAAGGTACAAGCATAAATATTTTATCAATATATTATTAATCGCAATACTTATCCAAATTCAAAGTTAATGCTTCTAAAGAAAAAATTTGTTATTTTTCAGTCATGCTGTAAGACAAGTGCCACCTGAAGATGAAGATGAAGTCGTTATTGTTTCATGGAGATTACTTCTTTGCACCATTATTATATGGGTTATGACAACAGCAATCACTATTCAAGGAGTTGAATTTGTAATCATTGTTTTATTCTTATGCTAAAATTATATTAATTAAATTTTCACTTTTAATTTCTTACAGATTGGGAAACTCTTACGATATTTTTGTTACATAATTCTTGTATGCCTTGTTATATTTTTCTTAAGAATAATATTTCTAGAGCGTGGTCTTCATTTCATTTATCATTTTTTTATACCAAAATTAGAACATTTTAATTATTTTGAATATTTTATGTTTGGTATAATTCTACCAATTAGTTTGTATGGTACTGGAGGTGGTACAGTTCTAACTCTATCAAGTTATAATAATTTTCATGCGGATATCAAATTATATTCTTGGATTAATGCAATTGTATTATTGAATATTGCAATTATTGTTGGAATATGTTCATCTATAGTAGAAGATTATTTAGAAGAACATTATAATTTTCGTTTTTTTTATTATGAGATAACCGATTTTCAATTACCATTTGTGGGAATGCCATTTTTTATTGGTAAATTAGAAATTCCTAATTTTTGGGCACTTGTTTTTTATTTAATGCTGCTGTTAGGAGAATTTTCTACTTGTGTAAGTTTTATATAAAATTAAATGAAAATTTGAAATTTATTTGTTCTATATTTTAAATTAAATTTGAGGTGGTACAAATGCTCTCAATCACCACAGCAATATTTGATGAATTTGAACTTTTACGAACGTATAAGAAGGGGATTACGATAGCGATATCCTGCTGTTTATTTATATTTTCTGTATGCTTTACAACAAATGTACGTAGTTAACTTCAAATTGTTTCTATAAAGATATTGTGCTTACTGCATTAACAAATTGTAGTAAAAAGTTTTGTCATGTCTAATTTTTTAAGCAAAATGTAAAAATTTAGCAATTGATATTTTTAGGAAGGCACAAAAATAGTTCAAAATTTATTTAATGCATCTTCAATAACATTATGTGTTGTCTGTTTCCTGGACATCATGATAGTTGTATGGTTTTATGGCCGTGAAAAGTTTCAAAGGGATGTTCTATTTCTAATGCAAGGCAAAATGTATCAGACATGGGAATTTATGATATTGCGATTCGTAACACCTGTACTAATTCTGTTTGTTACTGTAAGTTTTAATTTTATTTTCAAGAAATAATTAATTTAAGTAAATAATTTTATATATTTTTAGTTAATAAATATTGCGATATATCTATCAGAATTATATTATGTTCAAAATAAGTATTGGGATATTATTTTGATAACAATATTAGTTAAAGCGTTACCAACAATTTTAATATTTAGTTGGATTTTATATAAAATGAAAATTTCAACTGGAAATATTTTAGTAAGATTGAAACGAATATGTGTACCAACAGATTGGTATCCAATTGATCCGGGAGATAAAAGAAGATATGATGATGTTATTGGAGCATGTTCAGAAAATATTAGAGATCTTGTTACAAATATTGATATTGTAGATGATGATGATGGATATGATTAACAATGATTAAAGTAAAAACAAAAATGAAACAAAGTGATTTTTCACAATAATTTAAATTTAATTAAAATTTGTTAAAAAAACTTATTTTACTATTATTGTTTAAAAACATGCACATTCTCAGTTGTCTACAATATATATCTGTAATACAACTAAATAATATTAGTAATTACAGATTTCTGAGAGGAAAATATAAAAATTCGGCTGGGCTTTGAGGCAATACATTGTCTATAGATATGCAGATAAACCAACTGCAAGTAATTGTTTATATGACTAGAAACGTATATTATACATATGACATTGAGGCATGTGAATATATGGAACAGTATAACAATTTTTATTGTTTGCTGCAAAGAAAACTGTGTATATTTAATATGGATTATGGAATCCGTGCAAAAAATTTTTATTATGTATTCATGATTTCCATTAAAAACAAAATACTAATGCCAAAAAATTACCTTTATCACATTCGAAATGCACCCATATATGCTCATATAAAATTGTGATATGATAATAGAAGAATCTGTTCAATGATAAGAAGAAAAAAATCAAAAAAAAACCCTTATATAATGAAGAATAAAAGTGTTATACAAAATTATTGCTGAACAGCTAGCACGCTTTAAATATTTTCCCTCTATGATTTTTTGTTATTCATTTACTTACTCTTATTTTTTGCTTAATTCTCCTGCAATAATTTTCTTCTCTTATCAATTTTCAAAGTATGTATATATTTTGATACATAAGCCAATGCAACAGCTACAATTAAAATTTTAAAACAATTTTGTAATTGCCAATAAATATTTTATAAATTAATATTAGTAGAGTGTTTCTGTTTGATTGTGGTTTTTGTGGATCGTTTTTGGTTATTCCCAAATTTTTCTATCATCGTTAAAATCATTTGTATTTATTATTTTACCTAACTTTCAGGTAAAATAATAAATACAAATTGTATTTTGTGTAGTATAACATATTGAAAATTGGTAAGTAAATAATTTGTGCACCCTTTAAAAATAATCTGTATAGTACTACGGCAGATAATAGGACAGAATTTAAAATTTAAGATTAATCATAGTAAAAACAAGCGCTAAAAATTTTTAAAGTTAACTTATAATCTCACTGATTTTTCAATTTAGTATGAATCTTCTTATCAACTCGGATGGATTGTTGTTATTGAATTAAAGTTTTATATATTAAAAAGACCGGGATTTTGCTTTAAATTAATTCTTTTTCTCTTTTTTTAATTCAATTAATAAATGTAATATAAAATATATATAGCTTTTTATAAACATGTACGTATACTAACGTGTATATTGTAGCTAATATTATGTAATGTATAGCAGCTGTGCTATAAAATATACAAAAAAAATATTAATCTATTTTTATACAAAAATAGTATTTCATAATTAAATTAATAATTGAAAATAACAATAAATATATACATATGTGTGTACATATATGTACATATGAGTGTAGATAATTTAACAAAAGTGCAATTCAAATAATGTCAAACAACTATGTAAGAGGAAATGTTAGCTCTTATGAAATTGGGAAAAAACCTTACAGTCCAGATGTGGAAAGGGGAAAATGGTTATCAAAATGGGATTTTTTATTTGCTAGCTTGGGACATGCTTTCGAAACAAGAAATTTTCAAATATATCCTTTTTTCATGATAACACATGGTGGATGTAAGTATGTTGAGTATTAGAAATTGTTTGAGAAAATCTATACCTTAATGATTGCACACACGTTATAAAACGTATTCTCATATGTTGCTCTATACTAGAATTAATGCCAAACATATATTCATATTGTATGTTCATATTATTATGGCAATAATCGAATAAATCAAACAGTACATTAAAAACTTAAATTTGAGTTTTATTTTATGTTTTATTTTCAGTTCTTGGTTTCTTTCCGTATATGCTGTCACTTTTATTATTCTCAATTCCAATATTTTTTGTACAGTCGTTTCTGGGGCAGTTTTCAAGCACTGGTTCTTTAAGTGTTTTTCGAGTTTCACCACTTTTTAAAGGTAGAATCATTTAATATTAAGTCAAAGTTTATTAGTAACCTATTTATATTTTAATAAGGGCTGGGATATAGTATATTATTAGTGAATTTAATAACATCAAGTTATTATACAATGATAACATCGATTCCACTTATATATATAATAAGTTCCTTTCATCCAACAATACCATGGATGTCATGCGAAAATACAGTTCATAATTGTACCACTGTAAGTTACTCACCCTTTTATAATCTTTAATCTTTTCAAAATAAATTTAAATCCTTGATTTCTTAATAAAGTATCCATATTTTTTAGAACTATCATTTTGAAGACGATAATGAAGTATGGAATCCTTTTAAATTTTTATGGCAACCTACCGAAAACAAATTGTTACCAGCTAAATCTTATTTGTAAATTTATATTTAAAACTTTTTTATTTTTTAAATGAATTTTTTTCTTCTTATTTAAAGCAAATATTTTAAATTTTATTTCAGTTCGTGGGTAACTCATGCGAGTAAAGATTTCACATTTTCAATATCATGGCAAATTGCTTTAGCTAATGTATTTGTGTGGATTCTTATTGGTGTCATTGTTGTCAAAGGAATAGAATTTGTAAATTTTTTCGATTAATTTTTAATTTAAATCAATTCTTTTTTTTCATATTTTCAATTTCCTTAATTTTAGATTGGAAAAGTTATACGTTATGCAGTAGTAACACTCTTAATATTTTTAACAATAATTTTCATGCGTTTATTATTTACCGATGGCGTTTGGACTGGTATTTTATTATTTTTTACACCAAAATTTCCAGATTTAATTATGTGGATGATTGGACCAATGGTAGCACTAACAACATTTGGCTCCGGCTGGGGTATAACATTAACTTTGGCCAGTTATAATCATTTTCATGAAGATATCGAAAAATATTCAATAATTATTAATTTTGGCCATATGATATTGTTAATGATTGGTGGAATAATTTCATCTATTATAAATTCTTCTATAACCGCCGAAAAAAGTTTATTATTACATTTATTTAGAAATAATCCAATTGGTTATGTGTATATAGTTAACGCATATTTTTTTGGTACCTTAGAACTGCCAAATTTTTGGTGTTTTCTTTTTTTTGCAATGGTGTTTTGTTGTGAATTTGTAACTTGTATTTTACAAGTTCTTACAATTACTACAGCTATTTTTGATGAATTCGAACCAATAAGAATATATAAAAAAGAGTTTACATTTGCATTAGTAGGATTATTGGCACTAGGATCTGCAATTTTTTGTTTGAGCGTAAGTTTCTATTATAAAAATTAAAATTTTTTAAATTAATTTATTATCTGAAAATTTATGTGTTATAGGTGGGATTGCATTTAGCTGCTTCACTAATGAGTTCAGCTGGTATTTTTACATATTTCATTTGTTTTACGGAATTAATGATTGTATCATGGATTTATGGAAAAGATAAATTTTTCAAAGACATTGAATTTTTATTGATGAAACCATATGCAAAATGGAAATTTATTGTTTTACGATATGTAACACCTACAATTCTTTTATACACACTTGTAAATTAAATTAGAAATTTAATTTAAAAAAAATTGCAATACTTATAGAATTTTCATTTTAGGCTTTAATAATTATGTTCATTTGGTTTACTGTTAAATTTAAAGAAGATGAGCCGTTATTATATCTACCAAACTTAATTATAAGTGTTATAACAATTATAATGTTTCTAATATATTTGGGATATAAAATAAAAGATGGTAGTGGTAATAATATATTAGAGAAATTTCAGTTTTTAAGTCGATCAATCGATTGGTATCCAGTTGATCCTGATGTTCGTAGTCAATATGAATTGAATGTTAATAAAAATGTTGAAATTGGTCATAGACTTTTATCCGATAGTCAACACAATTTACAAGAAAATGATTTTGAAGATAATAATGTTGCAGCTAATATTAATAATTAATAAATTTAATTTTTTTTTAATTAACTATGATCTTTAAAAAAAATTTTAATTTTAACTTATTAAAATATGTATTTATATACATATATATACATTATTATATGTACCTAACTAAATCAAGCTATTTACACATCAAATCAAAAAAACAGAACTAAACAACAAAATAATAGTTAGTATTAAATAAAGTTAACAAAATAATTTTAAAAAAAATTTCAAAATAATTCTATATATCACAATACACTGTTAGAATATTTCCCAGCACAAAATTGTTGATATGAAAATTTCATTTCATCTTTGGCTGGCGTCCAATCAAAAGGTTTCAAGTTTCGGTATAGTTTATCTTTAAATGATCCATCTTCTGACCATAGCAAGTAAATAATATAAATTGGAATGCATATGACTGATGATGCAAATGTACACCATCCAATTATTATAGCCCATTCCGGATATGGAATATTATTATAAGAAACATTTCGATTAAAAATAATTGTCGTTCCAAGTAAAAACTAAAAGTAAATTTATTAAAACTTTTTTTAATTCAAATTATCAAAATTTTTGAAAAATAAAATAAATTGTAAATTTACGATTAGTAGTAATGGTGTTGTATATTTCCAACTGCAAAGCCAAATTTTTGATGGATATTTGTGTAACATAAAGCTTATATCGTTTGCAAATTTTTCTATTCCATAAAAATATGAAACCATTATTACTTCAATAATGCATATTAAAATTACTGAAATCGAAGCCGAATACCAATCAATTAATTGTAATATAAAGATTCCACCCTAGAAATACAATATAGAATTATAATTTTTTATTTTATTTAATAAAAATAGTAAATGAATAATAAACTTACGTTTGTAATCATTAACAATGACAATAAGAAGAACACAATACATGATATAAGAGTAACTTTCTTTTTATGATCTCTTAGAAAATGAATTTCATCGATTAATGTTGCAATAACAGCTTCAAGTTGTAAAAGCTATATAAAAATTAGTTTCAAAATAATAATCATGGATATTATCATTGCTAAAAATAAAACTAATTTGATTTTAGAACCTGACTTCCGATTCCAATTAAAAATATCATTAAAAAAAATAATGCAGCCCATAAATGTGGTAATGGTAACATTGAAACAGCTTGAGGGTATGTTATAAAAGCTAAACCAGCACCAGATGTTGCAACTTTTTCCACTGGGATACCAGTCTTATCTAAATACATAAATACATAGATGTACGTTATTTGAAATTTTTAATATCATATTAATGAACTTTAAACTATTTTATAGAAACTTAAATAGTTCACCTGATAAAAAACCTAAAACAGAAAACACAACAAATCCAGCAAATATACTTGTTGAACTATTTATAATTGGAATTATAATACCATCTATTTGTGCATTATTACGAAATTTATTATAACTTGCTGTATTAACAATTCCACCCCATCCGGGTCCCAAAGAATAGAAAATTTGTAATGCAGCATCAGCCCACACTTTTAAATCTAGAAGCTTATTCCAATCTGGTTCTATATAAAATTTTATTCCTTTCCAAGCTCCCGGTAATGTAACCCCACGTATCAGTAAAATAGTTAAAATAACATATGGGAATAATGCTGTAAAATACACAACTTTTCCAATCTAAAATAAATGTAAATAGTCATTATTAGTTTAATATTAATTATTTTTTTAAGAAAAAAACTAACACTTTTAACACTACACGATATACAAATGTAGGTTAAAATCCAAACAAAAAGCAAACTGAAAAATAAAGGCCAAACAATGCCTCCAATATCATCGATTCCATTTGATGCTTGTAATATTTGGATACTGTATAAGCAATAAAGAAGGATAAAAAAATTTATTTGATTAAAAGATATAAACCAATTAAAGGCAAATTAGAAAAACAGTTTTCCAATTTTGGAAACGCAAATTGCTAATGTTGCTATTTACATACATACATACATATGTTTGAAATTGAATCTGAAGAGAACAATTAAATGTCATTTAAAACTTACTGAAAAAATTCATCAGATGGCGTTTTAAAACTGTTTACTAAATTGTTGACATCGCTGGCATTTTGGAAATGCTAAAAAAAAGTTATAATTGTAAAGATGAATACAAATTTTAAATTTAATTATTTCAAAGTTCAAGTTTTCCTATATGTACATTTGTCAAAGATAGACAATTTTTCGTATTCCAGTCATTTGAACAATCATTCCATGGTATTATTGGATTAAGAATTTTTGTCATATATAAAACTGGATAGCTAATAATGACCGAAAAATAGCATATTATATACAAATTTACAACAATTATTGCATAACCAGCTCCTTAAATTCAAACAATTATTAAATAGAAAAATTATAGCATATCAAGTATCGAAACCTACCTTTAAATATCGGACACAGTCGAAACATTCCTAAAACACCCGTACTCGAAAATTGACCAATAATTATTTCCATATAAAATAATGGTAATCCACAAACGAACAACATTATTAAGTAAGGAATAAGAAAAGCTCCTACAAAAAAAAATTCAATTTAATTAATAAAATAGATTTATATCTAAAGTAAATTAAAAGCAGATAAGTAAACTGTGGTGTAGGTATTTAATATTGGTTTTGCAATTTTGCAACTAATTAAAATCATGAGGTCAATTATACATTTTTACGAAACCAATAAAAGTATTATTATCGTATTATCATAGTACAACCATTGTGTATATAGTTTATAGTGCTATACAGAAGACAATTTTTGTGATTACAGAACAAGCTACTTTTTTGAGGGACACTACTAAGTATTTAGTTTTTTCAAAAAGTAATTCTATAGTATAATTACGAAAATTGCCGTCTGTACAGTACTACAAAACTTCATATGCAAATACACAATGCTATAACTTACTTTTCTCAAGCCTTAAATGAGCAAGAGTCTCTATAACATATTATGCATGTATGTACGTACAGGTGAATAAAAAATTAAGGTACTTTATATATACGCTAAAATGGCCATTGAACTATAAAAGAGCACGATTATGTTCAATAAAATATTTTAGTGCTTTTGACTCAAATATTCAAACATGTTATTTTAATATTTAAACATCTTAATCTTAAGATTATTCGATAATATTTAATAAAAATTTTACTTATTAATTTTGAAAAATAAATTTAACTTAGAAATTTCTATATTATTATATTAATATTTCCAGATCGTATATAAATTAATTTCTATACATATTATAGAAATCGTTAGTACATTTGTATATGTACATAAGTATATATTTTATTACTAAAATTTTATGTTTATGACGTATTTACAAAAAACTAAAAACAAATGCGATAAATAAATTTAAAAATTCAAATTTATGGCTATATGTTCTGTAGCCGGAATTTTCGACACTCAAACATACATGTACATTGAATATATATAAAATATATAAAATTTTGATAATTTAACAAAAATGGATTTTTGAAAATTTAAAAAAAATTACAGGAAATTTGAATTTTTACAGTAAAATTGATTGATTCTGTAGCTGAAAATAAATTGCAAAATTAAATGAAGCCTGTACAACAATTACACAATAATAATTTTATTGAGATTATTTTTCTGAATTATTTTTTCTAATGAAATTCATGCGTATAATTACGATCTAACGAAATTTTCAATAAGCTAAGAAAAGAATATGTGTATAACATTTTGATAAATGTACATGTCGCTCATTTGCAGGAACAATGACAAAAAAGTATGATTTCTAAGTTATTTATACAAGAACAAGTACCTAAAACATTCCTTTTTTGTAAAGAAACACTAATTCTCTAACTTAAAAATTACAATAAACTATAAAACTAATGCTGGAACCAAAAAAACATATTAACTCAAAAACTTTAAAAATTACATTTTCTCAAATGTGAAAATTTTGAATTATGTCAGTGTTGTAGGAAACGAGTGATTTGTACTAAATGTAAACATTAAATAAAATTTTTATAAACAATCTCTTCAAAAAATTTATTTGTAATTTAGTTATACAGAAAATTTATATGTACGTACTTATGCATATGTAAATTTAAATGCGCTTTATAATTCTGGTTGTTGTTATTTATTATGTATAACAATAAAAAATACTTTAATTACTTTTAAAAGAAATGTTTGGGATACTATTTAAGTACAATTTATATTAATGTGTAGGTCCTCTACCACATTCGAAAGAATATGTATGACTTTCCAACAGATCTTCTTACTTTATAAAAGTTACCATACCGAAAAATTACCATACATGACTTAAAAATTGAAATAGAAACCATATACACATAGACATACAAATTTCCATAATATGTATATTTAATTGTTATACGAGTATGACATTATAACAATATGAACATAAAATACAATAATGCTCCATTTTACTAATTGTAAATATTAATTATTATTAAATTGTATAAAAACAATATTAATTGTTATACTCTGTTTATTTAAATTTTAAAATAAAAAAAAATTTTACTAGTCAAATTTTTTATAAATAAGTATATACCTACGCATTTTAATATATGTATAACAGTTTAATTATATTTTCATTTCATTACAGTTATATTTTTATACTCAGTGTTTTTTTCTTTTTTTTTTTTTGCAAATAAAAAGTATATTTTTACATTTTATTTACAAAAAAAAAAATAAAATTAACAATGATTTTTATATAGGTACTTACCTCCTCCACTAGCGTAACATAAATACGGAAAACGCCAAATGTTTCCAAGTCCAATAGCATAACTTATACATGACAATATAAATTCAGTTTTATTGGCCCATTGACCTCGATTTCCATCATGAATGAATGTATCAGTTGATCGAAATTTGGCAATTGAATCAATTCTCTTATTATTCAATGTATTAGATGATGTTCTTGTTTTAAAAGTGGAAATTTCCATTGTATAATTTTTTATTCCTTATATTATATAGTATTTATATAAGTTGTATGTAATTTATATCACTTAACCATACGTATTTAATTTATAATTTATCAATTATTTTAGTTATTTCCTAAAATTCTGTTATACAATGATTTGGGGATTATTAATTATTTATTATTTACTTCTATAAATTTTTTATAGTTTATAAGGTAAAAATTGGCACTATATTACGCGAACTTACTTGTATATTTCAAGTTAAATTACTTTTTCCAAAATTTGTTTTATAAATTCAAATAATTTATTAAATTTTTTATTGTTTTTTCTTTTTAATTTATTCAAAACACAAATTGTTTGTACATAAAAAACGCATAAAATATTTTCTACAGTTTTTTTTTTTTTTGAAACCACACCGTTTATAAGACGATCATTGAATGAAATCAATTAAAATTTAAATATCAAATAAAAAAAAAACTTAAATATATAGAGAAAGCTTATACATACATTAATTTTTTATTTAAGTAAAATTCTAATAATAAAAAACAGCTGTTTAATAGGAAGTTTAGTGCTTGCAAATAAACAACCTGTGAGAAAAAATAAACTCAAAGAAAATTAGAGACAATATTAAAATTTAAAAATAGATTCTCGCACATAAAAAACGCACATAAATTTCGTATTTAAAAAAAAAAAGTTATAATTAAAAAATTACAATGCCGTTATTACAGGGCATTGATTGTCTTGTTATAAGAAGTTAAGAAAGCCATTTTTGATTATGTATAACAAATAGCTACCTTGATTAATTTAATTAGCTTTTAAAATTTTGTATATTTACATAAGTATATATACAAATATATCATAATGTGTGCTTAATTATTAATTTTTTATATTTATATAAAATTTAATTTTAACTGTAGTGCCCAATATAATTTCCAGTGTAAACATTAAAATGAAAGTAAATTCTGTACTACTGCCTATATTTAAACTTTCAATTATTATTGTCATATAAGTTAGAAATAGTTATTTTTCATTATATTGCGGTACTTCTTCAACGTTTTTATGCAATTATATATCTAAAATTAAATATTAATAATTCAATACCGAATCATTGTAATAAAATTCAATAGCACTAGATTTATGGTCGGGGCACAAAATCTTTAAAAATCAAATATATGTACATATAAACAAGCTATGCATGTAAGTATTTTAGTATATGCTTATGTTAATCTTGCTTTTTTGTATTGTTCCACGTATATTCTATTGCTTAGTATATAAGTATATTACTGTATAACTAAATTGAAAAAAGGGCCTTATTGATCAATACTACTGCACACAAATTGAATTTAAATTGAATTTAAAAAAATTTCTAATGAAAGAAAAAAATTCACAAAAACTATTTAAAAACCGAAATTTACCGGTGAATTGTAATTAAACCACTAAATTAAACTTAAATCATACTAAATAAATTTACTTATACTGTTGAGAAATCACAAAATTTCACTTCGACTGAATAAAATCTTCTGGTATTTTAAATAATTGTAATATTCTTAACAAAGCTTAAGTAATATTAGATTTACAAAAAATTTTGTACACATTTTTATTGAGAGCTTCTAACTTGATCAATAAATTTTCAATATTATTTTGAAAACAAATTCAAAGTTTGTTAGTTAATTTGTATTTTTTTTTATTTCAATTCGAATATATTAGAATTTAGTATGACAAATAAATTTATAAATATTTTTTATTATACCCGCGAATAGAACATAGTAATAAGACTAACTTTTTTTATTGAATGCAAATAACTGTTAAACTTTTATGCACTTTAAACTATTTTAGAACATTATTATAATTTAATTATATTTACGTACAATTATACAAACATATTTGGAAAATATTCACGTTCTTACTACTCAGAATTCAGAAGAATGTTTGTTAATTTTTTTTTTTTCAATTTAACACGTTCTAAAAATTTTAACTTTTGATATTAAGACGAGACAAGGTTTCAACATACATGCTTATATTTTTTTAAAACATTTATTATGAACTTAATAGAGATAAAAAAATTAATTAAAAATAAAAAAAAAACCCAGATTTGGAAAACTTTTTTTATTTTTATTTGAAATTCTTAAACCGGATTTGCTATACAAATTTTTTCACCTATATAACTAACAAGTATATGCAATGCTTTATACACTAGCTATTTATACAATGTGCATATGTATGTAGGTGTATATTAATAAGATATTATTTTAATATAACAATTAATCTTATAGCTATATTGAGAATTTGTTTCTTTATTGAATAGATTCTTTTGAAATTGACAAGCAATTAGAACTTTTTTGTTTTTTTTGAAATTTCAATTATTTTCTTTCTAATTCAAATATTGAGAAGAAGTAGCTACTTATTAAATTTTAATTTTAAAATAATTTACGGCTAAAAGTATATTCATTGTTTTAACATTTTAATTACATTTATAAATAATATTTTAGAATGCATTTTAATAATTTTAAAAATTTAAAACTATAAATTAAAAATAATAAATTATTCTAAATATATGGCAACATCAGAAAATTTATAATATCATATTACGATAGAACGACGAATTGAGAGAAGAAAAAAAATATAATTGTGCTCCAACATCCTCATTTTTCTTAAGGGTAAAGCCGATTTTTATTCTCTTTTTTTCGTCTTTCATCCAATTGAATTCTGTAAAATAATTTGATTAAAATAATAATTTCAAATGTCATCAAATTTCTGTTTAAAAAATTTTTACTGTGTAGCTTTTCGTTCTTGATCCTCTGCATCTTTTTCCTTTCGAAAATTCTCATACAGTCTTCTATTTTCTGGAGATGCGGGTGTCCAATCAAATGCTTTTGTATATTTTTTTAATATATCTTTTGTTTTACCCTTCGATTTACATAATAAATAAATTATATAAATTGGTATACATGCAATAGATGATGCACATGTACACCAACCAATTGCAATCGCCCATGATGGATATGGATTATTATTGTATGAGACATTACGATTAAATAAAATTGTTGTAGCAAATATAAACTATAAAATTTCAAAAAAAAAATAATCAGTCTATAACAAATAATAATTTTTATTTGAGTATACCATTAAAACGATTGGAGTTGTATATTGCCAACTAATTGTCCAAAATTTTTCGGGATATTTTCCTAGCATAAAATACACATCATTAGCAAAACGTTTAGCACCATATGAATAAGCAACTATTCCTACTTCAATAATACAAACTAATATAACTGAAATTGAAGCTGAATACCAATCTAGTAGTTGAAGAATATATATACCACCCTAGAGTATCATAAGATTTACTTACATAATGTAACCAAATAATATGTTTAATATAGCTACATATACTGTAAAAAATAAGCTTCAAGTTGTTATACAAACTAAAATAACTCAAAAATTATTGGAAATTTAAAATGTTTTAATCTTAAAAATCAACAAAGAATTATGATTGATCTAAAGCAATTGCATAGAAGTTTTTACATAAAAACTTCTTCTATTTAGTATTGCAAATTTATTCAGTTACTGTAATTGCAATGAAACTTCGTAAACATTTTTTACAGTGCGGCCGACATAATGTTAAATAACACTTACATTTGTAACCATAGAAATTGATAAGAAGAAAAGAATAACACATGAGATGAATGTGACTTTTTTCTTATGATTTCTTAATGAGTGACATTCATCCAAACAAGTTGATATTATCGCCTCAATTTGTATGAATTGACTTCCTAATCCTAAAAGAAATAACATAAAGAAAAATAATGCAGCCCATAATTGAGGGAATGGTAACATTGAAATTGCTTGTGGATAAGTAACAAATGCTAATCCAGCACCAGAAGTTGCAACTTCAGAAACAGAAATACCAGTTATTTCTAAAATAAAAAAAGGAAAAGCAATTTCAACTTATATTTTAAGAAATATAAAAATTATGATATTTTTTTTAATTAATTTACCTGAAAGATATCCTAAAACTGAAAAAACAACAAATCCAGCAAATATACTTGTTGAACTATTGATAATTGGTATAATAACTCCATCTAATTTTGCATTATTTTTAAAATCATTGTAACTGGCTGTATTAACGATTCCACCCCAACCAGGTCCCAATGAATAAAAAATTTGAATAGCAGCATCAGCCCATACTTTTAAATCCAAAAGTTTATTCCATTCTGGTTGTAAATAAAATTTAATTCCTTTTGATGCACCTGGCAATGTGATACCCCGTACAAATAAAATACTTAATATGACATATGGAAAAATAGCTGTAAAATACACAACTTTTCCCACCTAAATTTTTATTCAATTGTAAAACAAAAAATGTAAAAAAAAATTTTGATTATTATATTATAAAAAAATTATGGAAAAAAAAAAATTAAGAACCGTTTTAACTCCGGAATGTATGCAGATATACGTGATACACCAAACAATAAATAAGCAAATTAATAAAGGCCATACAATTGTTCCAACTTCTTGTATTCCACTAGAAATTTTTAATATTTCAATGCTAAAATTAAAAAACAAAATTAAAAATGTAAACATTTTTGTTCTTTTTCTTAGAAAATTTTTTTTTAATCTTACTGAAAAAATTCATCCGATGGTGTTTTGAAACCTTTTAAAGTTACATTTGATTGCAAAATTGGTGAGTCCTTCATAAAATAATCATATACAGAAATTTATTCAAAAGTGATTCATTTCAGTTTAAATGATAAAAATCAAATTACCTTATGAAATGCTATACAATTTGGAGTATTCCATGGATTATTACAATCTGTCCATGGTAATTTTTTAGTAAATATCCTAGTTAAATATATTACAGGATAAGTTATTATCACAGAATAATAACAAATGCAATAAAAATTTAATAAAATGATTGTGTAACCAGCACCTATTATAAAAAAATTGTATATTAGTGTACATATATCAGATTCATAATTATGTCCGGTTATAGAAAAAATAAGAATAAACCTTTAAATAATGGGCACATCCGAAACATTCCCAAAACTCCTGTACTTGAAAATTGTCCTATAATAATTTCCATTAAAAATAACGGTACACCACATATAAACAACATTAATAGGTATGGTATTAAAAATGCACCTGTGAACGTTATTGAATAAATAAATAAATTGGGCGTGAAAAAGAATTTAAATAACAATGAAGTGTAAATTAAAAAATATTTGTGTGGTTTGTTATCACTTAAAATAAAAATCTCATACAAGCTTTATATTCTGAAATTGACAGTGCAATGAAAAACTATAAAAAAAATTTACATTATTACACTTCAGCAATTACAAAACATAAGCTGACCAATGTATTACTTTTTACTGCAATTTCAAATAAAATAAAATAATCAAAAATATATTTTGCAATTCTGAAATAAATCATGAATTAAAAGAGCCTTGAACTTAAAAATTTATAAATCCAATTCAGCTTAATAGTGAATTACTGAAAAGTTAAAGCAAGTACATGAGTAAATCGGAAAATACTTCGAAACATAACTCCGAAAGAATTCAAAGCTAAAGTCAATTTATTGTCCGATTAAACAGTTAAAACTTAAAATTTTAATGCTGCTGAATAAATCAAATTGATATTAAATGATAATAGTAATCAGTTTTTTTTATAAAGTAATATAAATTCAGTTAGTGAACGAAATTTAATCTTAATACTAAATATAAAATAGTACGTACCACCACCACTTCTATAACATAAATATGGAAATCTCCAAACATTACCAATACCAATTGCATAACTTATACAAGATAATAAAAATTCTGTTTTATTTGCCCATTTTCCACGATTAACATCATGAACAAATAATTGATGACCCTCTGATTTCCGTTTTTGTTCTAAACGTGAAGAATTCACATTAACAACATCATTATTTGATATTGAATTTCTTGTTGTTTTCTGAACCTTATCATCATCACATTCCATTTTGGTCGAATTATATTAATTAATTTTATTTAAATAGAATAATTTTATTATTCTTTCCTTACTTGTACAATTTTAATTAATTTTAGATTAGAATTATTTTTTTATTATTAATTATATTTATTATTTAACAATTTCAATTATTAATTGTAACATTTTTTTTCGATATTATTTTATTAATTAAACTAAAAAAATATTTTATTATTTGAATATTATAAGAAAATACACAGTTGCCAACGTACTGCAAATTAATAAAACAAATTTATCGTATAATAAAATGTGTAAATACAAAGAAATTCAAATGAAGACTAAAATATTAAAAAATCTAGCAAATCTAATAAAGGTGATTTTAATAAATTGTGACTGACTATAAAATGAAAGAAAAAATAATAAGTGTAAAAAAAATCACTTAAAGAAAAGCTTTAAATCTAAACTGCAGTATAGAAAATTATTTTTTTTTATTTTAAATAAGTAAATTGGTTTTTGTAAAAATTATTATTAATTTTGCTTATTCGAATTCGTTTTTATACATAAAGCAAGTATAAACTATGGAGTAAGTAGAAATACTACAGCAGTATATACAAACTATGTATGTATATATATTTTCTTATGAGCATATAACAAGCATGAACATATGTTCATTTAAATCTAATAAAACAACTACCCTGATAATTTAAAAAAATTCATATAAGTAGGTACTGCGAGTGTTAAGCTCATCATCACACAACCATCATCACATCCATATAAATTATTAGAAAAGTCAAGAATGTTGTATATTCAGGGGAAATAAAATAATTTTTCTATTAAAAAAAAAATTCAGTTTTTATAAATAATATTTATCATACATATATTTTTCCTTCTTGTCACCTATTTAGCATATTAATACTAAAATTCGCATATAAATGATGATTAAGTGTGAGCAATGTATAATAGTCTATGTATAATTGCACAGCGCAGCAATACTCCAATACTAAAACGTTGGCAATTTGGAAAATTTTGAAAATAATGTATAAATATTATTAAGAGTTTTTGGAAAGAGGAAAAATTATTCTTCGTCTGAGAATTAAATATCACAAAACTATCCACATTCTTTTTATTGTAATTTAATTATTTTTAAATTTTAGTCTATTAAAATTCAATTTTTTATTTCTTTTACAAAATTTTTATTACATTTTTCTTTTAATTCTCAGTGTAATTTTTTTTAATTTAAATAATTATTCATCAATAAAATTTTTCACTTATTTACTTAAAATTGAACTAAATTCATTATTTTATAAAAAATCGTAAATATTAGAAATTGTCACCTGCTATCACTTTCGATATACACATGTATATGAAGTACATAAAAATTTTTAAATACACACAAACATGTGTGCATATGTATATAATTTTAATTTAATATCAGTTAATTTTGCAAAACATCATTCTATTTTCTAATTAGAATTTCTAATTTTTAATAAATAATTTAATATCGAACAGTTTTTAGAAATTGCAGTTGATTCGAAAACTTCTCATTATCATAATTTACTAATTACTGACCTTGTATTAATTTTGAATGTAACACTCCTGGAAATCTCACGGAAAACTCACGGAAATGGAATAAAATTCAATATATACAATAAAATCATGATTAAGGGTTAATATTTATTATTTAAATTAAATAGAAAAATGAATAAATTATTTTTAACCCTCGTAATGGATAATTAATACTTTATTAATTATAAATTAAATGAATTAATAAGTAGTTTTTAAAATTTAAATTTGTATAATGTACACAAAAAGTTGCTAATTATTAGTATTGTAATTTTGTGCTTGTTAAAAATCTTTTTTGATTTTTTAAACTTTCAATAATTTTTGTTTCATTACGGGTTTAGTTGCCTTAAATTTTAAACCGCAGTTCTCGTGTTGATTTTCAAAACAAAACTAAAATAGTTTTTCCTACATTTCGCATTCATTGGTTTGCTAAAAATTGTTAAATTTCTTTAATAGAATAATAAATTGGTATAAGTGGAAAATCACCTTCCGTTTATTTTTTAAATATAATATATACATATTTATAGCTTCTTTTGCATCTCTCAATTTCATTAAAAATTATTGTATGGGATAACTTTTTTTCCAAGATTTTAATATATATACATAATAATAAACATATAATGCAGCAGATATATATGCACATAAATATGCAGCATTAAATTAATAATAAAATCATAAATATGCATGTCTATTGAAAAAGTAAGAAGATTTTAAGATCCAAAATTTTTTTTGGTGGACATATGCTTGTATACAGTATGTATTATGACTTGTTGAATTTAGAAAATTTTTAAATCTAAATAATTTTATCGAATTTGATCTAATCGATCTAATTGATAGGGATAGTGTTTGTTATGAGGCGGTAAACTTCAAAACTAGCCTTTCTGTAATGTCTATCAAATAAGAAATTTTGTAGTCGATTTTATAACCTAACATGACACAGCTACATATGTCTATCATAATATTTAAAAGCTTTTTAAACATATACTATATTTATTTTAAATATACGTACCATATCATATTTATGTGTATACATTATATTGAATCTTATCAAATCCAAAGATAAATATGTTAAACTCTGTACATATTGGAATTTGCAAAAGTTCTGAAATTTATCATTCAATAATTTCTCTTTACTATCAGGAATCAAGATGAAACTAACCTTTAGTATGTACCTAGAAATAAAAAATAAATATAATTATGTTTATAGAATTGTACCATAAAATAGAAACAAAACATGTTTGCCACAAAAACCAGAACATCTAAACATAAAATATGATGACTTTTATATGTGTATTTAATCAAATTATATTATGCTTAATTCATTTTAAATGAAGAATTTATTTAAAAAATTAGATGAAAAGCTTTAAAAATAATATAATCTTGCTTAAATGCACTAATACGAAATGATGTATAAAGTTTAATCAATCAAATCAAATTATTGTGATAACAAAGAAAAAATATTTTAATTAAAAAACAATGAGTAAATTAAACAATTAAATTTTTGATTTAACGAATATTCTTATAAAATTTTATTAGAAACATACTTACTAAAAGAACTGTGACGTACTAAAAATATCAATGAAGAGATACGTAAATATGTACTCTTGAAAATTTTACGAAACTTTATTAAAAAGTAACAGCTAAATTTTATTAAACCATGTTTTTATTTTTATAAATTCCAAATATTTGAGCGATTATTATGTATTACGGAACCTTTAATCTAAATCTAAATTATTTAAAAATAGCGGAATAAAATAAATGTGCTAATTTTAAAAGTTAAAGTTTATTATACCATCTTATTACATACTTAATGTACTTAATATTTATTTAATTCACTTAATAATGATTAATTTTTTATTTGATTAGGATTCATAATAAATTATATTTCCCCGAGATAAATTTATTTTGCTATGATCTACTACGAATATAATGAATTATATTAGTTAATTTTTTTAGACAGTCTCTTTGCAATTTGAAATTTATTAATATTATGAAGGAAAGTTGCAATATAAATGCAAAATTAAATTAAAAGTAAAAAAAGCCTTTTATTTACTATAAAAGAATAAGTTTTCATTAAAATAAATATTAGATCGAATTTAAAATTAATTATAAACGTGTATATTAAAATTTCATAATTTATAATTATTTTAGTTTTTAAGTAATAACCTAAGCTTTTCTTTTGGGTTTTTTACTTTCCATTAAACTCATAACAGTTTTCCTCATATCTTCTACTTCATTAATTTCAGCTTCAAGTTGTTTAATATTTTCATTCTTTTCTTTGATTTGACTTTCTAAGCTTTTTATAATATTTTCTTGCATGATTTGTGATTTTTTCAAATCATCAATAGTTTTATTCAATTTTGTTATGTTTTTATCTTTTTCCATAATATTTGTTTCATTCTGCTCACATTTCGCCTCTAATAAACTAATACTTTTTTTTAAAGAATCAATTTTGCTAACCTAAAATGTAAGATTAAAAGTTTTAAAAAATTTACTTCACTTTTTCAGTTTTTCTTACGTATGTTTCTGATTCAGTTGTTAAAGTTTTAATTTTTTGCGCAAAACTGTCACGCTCATTTTCTAAATTGTTAAGCTCCTTTTGCATTTTATTTATTTCATTTACTTTCTCAGCATATCTCACATCATGTGCTTTCATGTGCCTTTTTAAAGATTCACTTTTTTCCTTAAATTTTTTTCCAAGATCATCAGCTGTGTCTTTAAATATGTCTCTTTGTTTTTTTAAATCTTTATTTTCACTAACCAATCTGCAATACATATTTAAGAAAATTTGCTAAGGAAAAGACATAATCATAATTATACCTTTCCTGTTTTAAATTCATTTGATAATTAATATTTGTATATTTCGAGAGTTGAGCTGTTTGTAAACTGATTTCATGATTTAAGTCGGTAATTATTTGATTAGCATCTCCTAAATTTTTTTCAAGATTAAAAACTTTACTTTCAATCATGTTATTTTTATAAGTGTACAATTCAATCAATTCCGAAGTTGCTGTGTTTTCGTACTAAAATTAATAAGTTTAGAAAGTAATTTATACGTATTTCATATGATTAATCATACTTCTAGTCTCCTATTAGAAAATTTTTCTAACGTTATATTTAATTTATGTTCACAGTCTTTGCTAAGTATTAATCTATTCCTTTCAAAAAATGCATCAAAGTTTGTCGAATTAAAAGAAGCTTTTAATATATTTTTATTGCTCGAGGACTTATTTAATTCAGATACCAGCTAAAAAATTAATTAAATAAATTAAGTAACAAATATATCAAATTTAGAAATATATTTATACCTTTGCTACTTCATCCACAGGAAAGCTGTCGGTTTTAGAAATTTCGAACAACAGTTTTGTTACATCGGGATTTTCACTTAAAATTCCTTTAGCCAAAATATATTTCATCTGATGAAGTTGAAAAAAGTCATTTACTTTCCTTTTCCAAGTAGATTCTGCGATTTTTGAAAATTCTATTAATATCAGAAAACAATATAAATACTTGGATAAGTCTGCAGCAGAGCACATTGAAAAGTTTTCGTTCCTTTTCCCAGATAAAATTGGAGAAAGTATTTTATTAAAATATGAGTCTGTTATCAGTGAAAAAAGAATACTTTCGACGTTTTTTCTTTTTAGTAAACTTATTAGCAATTTCTGCAGAGCTGTAGCATATTCACTTGAATTTTCATTGTTTTCAGTACTAGCAATAATTTTGGGCAAATTTTCAAACTTTTCCAACATAGTAGAAAGCACTTCATCATTTACTAAAATGAATTATTTCCAAATGTGAAAAAATACTATTTGGATGCATGAAATATCTACCTAGTTCTACCAAGCTTTTCATTAATAGCAATGCTTTAGTTCCTGGCATTGGAGTGTCACACCATTTTTGGCATAATTCAAAAATTTTGTGCAAAGTATCACTTGAAATAACAAATTGCTTTGCATGCATTAAATGAAGCGAGATTTCTAAAACTAATGTAAGAAATTCTAAAGTTAATGATAAAAATAGTTCTTCCTGATATTGAATCCCATTTTCATTGCAAACATCATTACTTGTTTTGAAACAGGTGTTTTCTATCACCTATTAAAAACCAAATAAAATATTTAATTACTTTAAATAACAGCAAAACAGAACCTGAATAATATTTTCGAAATCCTTTTCAAAACCAGGAAATTCAACTATAATGGCCCGATACTCTTCTAATTCATTTATTTCTTGAACAAAGTGAATAATGTGTTGTAACAAAGACACATCAGATTTTTTTATAGCCGTTTCGAAATCAATAAAACATTTCTTAATTAGACATTCCACATCGTCTTTTTGCACAGCTAAATCGTTAATTTGTAATATCAATATCAATTTGCTAGCTAAAACCCCATATTTCTTAGTTTTTTGACAGAGCTCAGATATGTTTACAACCCTCATTAATGTGCACACAACAGGAAAGTTTCTGTGGCATATGTTCACTAAAACCGATAGAGAATGTTGAGCTAAATCATCATCTTCTGAATAAATAAATGCTAATAGGGTTTTAACTAGTTCAGACAAATACGGTTCCTCCCACGTTATTATTATACCATAAGATAGAGTTTGCATAATCTTTAACAATTTTTCTGCCTTTTCTTTTCCATTTAATTTCGGCAGTATCTTCGATAATAGCGGAAAAAATCGAAATTTTGAAATAATGGCATTTTTACTTTCAACATTTTTTGATGCATGTTGCAATATAGAACAACATGTCCATATTGTGTCTTCGTCAAGGCCTGAAGTGCTTAAAAGTTTATGAAGATTGATATAAAATTGAACAATTGGAACTGTTACAGGATTGTAACAATCTGCATTTGGAACTGAAATCATGAGCTAAAAGAAATAATCCATGTTTGATTAAGTTTATAATAGCGAAATTCCATATTTACAGTCAAACTACGATGTAGTGAAATATCGATAGGTCCCTTATTTCGCCGGCTTCTTTCAAATTGCTCATTGAATTCTGTTATATATGAATTAGCAAGAGCAGATGACGATACTTCTGAGTTCTCCATTATTATGTTTTTATATTATTAAATTTTTGTCTAGATTTTATAATATTACTAAAAATTTAAATTTATTTTTAAAGAAAATCTTTGTCAACAAATATGATGTTTTCCAATCCAACCGCCAAATCGATTTGCACTTACTACAGCGCTATCTATAAGAAAATGGTGGAACTTTCAGAATATAGGGCAAAATATTTACAGTAAACTACTACATTTAGTTTCACATTTAGTTAAATTGTCAAATAAGGTAACATCTTCCCATGGTCATGTTACGTGATGAGAAGCTTTATGTTGCAAAGCAAACAACCTTCCCATAATAATAAGAATAAATTGGAAGAAGAGGAAAAGCGCATCTTTAGTGGTAATTTTATAAACATTTCAACAATATGGGCTTTTTCGATAATTCAGTTCTGTACTGAAAGATCTAACTTAGGTTTGTAAAAGCTTTTTACGCATACTTACAAACTCTTACAATCTGAATGACATATCTTTGCATGCCTGAAATGTCTATAATATTTTTTAACAAGCTTTTTTTTTGTTGTTTGCAAATTGTCAATTTTATAAAAATAAAAAAAGAAAGATGTCTGAAGAACAAAAAAAATTTTTAAGCAAATATGTTACTGATCAGATAATTGATCTACTTAATGAAAAAATTGAAAAAAGTAATATACGTTTTTATCTGGAAAATAAAAGAAGACGAAAGCATTTGTTACTAACATACATTAAAAAAAACGAAAAGAACCTTGTACCTAAGGTACCCAATTACTTAGAAACAATCAATTTGATGCCGGATACCATATTTTTTGAACATTTCAGGATGGAGCGCGATTGTTTTGTAGTAAGTTTGTTTCATCATCAAGTCTGGCTTGTATCAACATTTTTATTTTACATTTATCCCAAAATTTTTCCTTTTCTAGCTCTCTATGAAAGAAAAACATAAATTATTAAATGTACAAAACAAAAATTGCATAAATTTACCCCATTAATTCTTCAATACCCGACATTTTTCTATTTTACTAATTTTCACTTTTATTGCAATATTAAAAAAAAATCTTTAAAATTGCCTAAGAACTTAAAGCTCAATCGTATTTTCGAACGAGCTTTTTTTGCACGAGAACATTATCGAACATGCTACTTTTACAGATTTTGCAGATTCGATTTATCGAACGTGCTTTACATTCAGAACTAAGTTAGAACTGAATTATCGAAAAAGCCCTATATTCAACTTACTTGCATTTGATATAAAGTTAAATCAAATATAGATATGCTGTTAGAAAATTTTTAACAGTGAATGTTGAATTAAATTAAAATCAATCTTATATTTCCAACTTAACCGAGTTGACCAAAATGTTTGCTTGAATATGGATTGCAATTAATTATAAAATTTGCCACCAGAGGATATCTGTTCCCTAGAATACTTGAAATTTATGAAGATATTTTTGTTATTAAAAACTAATGTCAAAATTAGGTTTGTTTTGGTTTTAAAAACGTGCAGCAGTATTAAGTAGTGTCGCGAAATACGAATATATCTGATAAAAATTTTTATTTTTTCAAAATTTACAAAAGAAAAATGCCACCGATAACTACAGAAAATAATTTGTTGGTTTATCAAGGCTGCAATTTCTTAAAACAAAGATTAATATTATCGGTTCTTAGTGGAAAACCTATTAAAATAATAGACATAAGAGATAATTCTATAGACCCAGGTAATAAGAGATAAATAACTTTGTAAAATACTAAAATTTAATATATAATATTTCTAGGATTAAAAGAATATGAAATTAGCCTTATTCGAATGATAGATAAAATCACAAATGGTACAAAAATTGAACTGGACTCGACAGGTACATCTCTTTATTTCAGTCCTGGCCTTTTGCACGGTGGATTATTGACACATGACTGTTGTGTTGAAAGAAATATAGGATATTATCTAGAAGCTTTAATAGCCTTAGGTCCATTTTGTAAAGAACCAATCAACGCTAAACTAAGAGGCGTTACGAATAGTAGTGAAAGCCCTTCAGTTGACTACGTTAAGCAATCAGCAATTCCTCTTCTAAAAAAATTTTTAATTGTTGATGATGGTTTGGAAATGCACATAATTAAAAGGGGATTGAAACCAAGTGGTGGCGGTGAAATATCATTTAAATGTCCTGTACGAAAAAACATTCGAGCTATTCAATTTGTAAAGTCAGGAATGGTGAAAAGAATAAGGGGAATCGTATTTGGTTGCAAAGTTTCTCCAGCTTTAGGAAATAGGGCCGGTAAATTTTTAATATTTAAATTGGAACAAAAATACATGTACAAATTTATTATACTTACATAAAATTTATAGTTGAATCTGCAAAAGGTGTCATGCTTAACTTTTTGCCGGACGTATATATAAATACAGATCAAAACCGCGGAAAAACGAGTGGTAACAGTCCTGGTTATGGTATATCTTTAGTCGCAGAAACAACTGATGGGGTTTTTTATGGGGCTGAAGGCGTATATGATGTTACTGAGAAGGTATTAAATTTTTGATGTAGCTTTACAATTTTATTTATATTATACATAAAAAATATTATTCACAAAAAATTGTTCAAAGAAAACTAAAAAAGCCAAAAATTTATACATTTTTAAAAAGCATAATTTTTAATAGACATTTTATTTTAATTTTTGATTAAATATAAAAGAATAATCGGTGTATATATTAAACTTTCCATAATATCTCTAATTTAATATATATAAGCAATTTCTTTTTAAAAAACTCTAAATATAATTTTTTACGATTATCAAGGGGGAAAATCTGATTACACCGGAAGATTTAGGAAAAGATGTAGCATTTAAGTTAATAGATGAAATATATCGTGGTGGATGTGTCGATTCCAGTTTTCAATGGTTGGCTTCACTTTATATTGCACTTGGAGAGAAAAATATATCAAAATTTCTAACGGGTAAAAAGAATTCAAAGTATAAGTTTAAAATTTTGATTTACATTTTTGTTTTACAGGGCCGCTATCCCAATACACCATAAATTTCCTACAACACCTACGAGATTTTTTTGCAATAACATTCAAATTATCTAATATCGAAGAAGAGGAAGAAGAAGAGGAAGCAGAAGGTGGTAATAACAGCAAAGATCGTGATCGCGAGTGCCTTCAAGTCTTAATGACGTGTGTTGGAGTAGGTTACAAAAATATAAGTAAACGTATAATCTAATTCTCATTTTATAAATAAATATCCCCGGATTAAAACAAATTTGTTTTATTTTGGTATGTTTTATTTGAAAAAGTAAAACAATATATTGAACCTAAGTCAAATATTAATAAAAACTGTTTACATATTATAAAAAATTTTAATATGAAACTTAAAAGTTTATAAAAATTTCTCAAGGATTTTCTGGTTTCTTGCATCCATCTCCACAGTCATCGCCAAAACAGATATCACAAAGAGAAGATTTAATTTCATAATACGCAATTCCACGATTTCCTAAAATTAAAAAAATATAATGGATTTTTTTATAAAATATGACAAATTCTTTTTAATACCGCTGTTGTAATAATCATAAGCTTCAATAGCTGCTGGTTTCTGTTTGGCAACTTGACTTGTCTTGGTTGCTTCAACAGGAATGCAAATTTCTTCAGACCCTATGCTATCAAAGTAAACAACAATAACTGTGTTTTTATTCTTGGTTTCTACTCTTTGAACCGTTTTTGTTGACTTAATATTATCAAGAGAACCATCATTTTCTGGTGCTTCATAACCACTTGGTAAATTAATTTCTACTACAGCCATATTAGACTGAACATCATGTTCAATAGGAATATATTTAACACAAACATCCAACATTAAAATATCTTTAACAGCAGCATCTTTAACTTTTGGTGTTATAGCAAATCGTGGCTCAGAATTCTTGGCAACAACATTATATTTATAAGAAACTTGAGCCAATGATGATCCTTCCCCTTTAGCTGACATTGATACTTCACGAGCTTTATTTGAAAGCTGAAACGCAAATTATATTATTAAATCAAAGTATTCTCTATTTCATTTTATTTTTCGAATTTAACTTACAACATGTGTTTGCAAAAGTAATGCATTTTCTGGATTTACACTAATCTTTCCACTAGCACCAGTATCATCATTGAAATCTATATCTAGTTTTCCGCTTTTTCCACTGGAGAATTTCTCTGAGAATCCAATTAAAGCTGTTAAACCAACTACAGTGTCTTGTGTTGAAGCAAAACCTCCATTACTATTTCTTTTTGAGATTAACCATTTCAAAATAGGCAAGGTGTCTTCAGCTGGACCATTATCCGCAAGAATTGATAACAAAGCATAGGCTGTTTGTTCTACATCAGCACTTTTTGGTCTATACCACCAATTGTCTTCGTTATTTTTTTCTTTTTTCTCTTCAGGTTTAGCCCACCATTTTCTATCTCCTTCAACTTTAGCCATTGCTTTTAATTTTTCACTTACTTTTTCTGCAGTTGGAGCTTTAGCTAATTTTAAAGCATAAGCTGTAATTGCTGTAGCATAAATATCGGTATCCAATTTATCCAAATTATTAGTCAAATAAGTAATTGCTTTTTGAATATTTTCTTCATATTTTACTCTGCTTTCAGTATTTTCTAAGAACGCCAACAGAACGAATGATGTTAATGATATTCCAGTATCAGATTCACCAGAATGAGCTTTATCAAGTAATTTTCCATATTCAGGGAAACGACCATCTGGTGTTTGAACACTAGCCAAATAAGATAATCCTTTATCAATAACATTTTGATCAATATCAATATAGGGAATTGCTTGATGGAAAGATCTAACAACATAAGCAGTTAACCAAGTGCTACCATTATTTTTCTTGTTATCACCCCAACCAGAATTTTCACCAAAAGCACTGTAAGAACCATCGGAATGTTTATATGTTAATTCTTTTTGGTAACCAACTTCCATGTATTTCTTTGCTTTGCTTTCAATTGTTGGCGTTAACTGATTTATATTCTATAAATGTTAAAGGAAAAATTAAGATATAGTTCTTACTTTATAAAAAATAATATTACTTACAGTTAAATACTTCATAACTAAAATATTAGGTACAAAATTAACCATATTTTGTTCACCGCAACCATATGGCATACGAACTAATTTATCTAAATTTTTTATTGTTGGGCCAAGTAAATCACCGACAACTGAAACTTCAGCATATTGTGAATCTGGTACAGCATCATCTGGTATTTCAATTTTAACTTTTTCACTTTGTTCTTTTCCATCCTTGAGATTAATGAAAATAGCTTTATTAACATATTGTGTAACACCTTCTGGTTCTACTGGTAACATTTGTTGTATTGCATCACCAGCAATAGGTGTTGTTGCTTGAATTTTTATTGCCATATTTCCAACATTCTTAGGACGAATCATAAATGATGTTGATTTTCCTGAATTTGCTGGTACTGTTAAACGTTTACTACGTTTGATATCTTCAACTAAAATTCAAAACAAAATTCAAAAATAAATATTCCTTAAATAAATTTAAATTTTTAAATAAAAAAAAAGAAACATACAAGAATATAATAGAATTACGGAAATTTATATGAAGAAAGAAATTTTTACATACTCGATTTTTCTTCAATCTCATTTGTAGCTTCAGCAAATTCATATTCTTGATCTGTATTATCCATTGTAATTTCAGCATCTAAATCTTTTTCCAAATAATTAAATATAATTACTGGAACGCTCAATACTTCACCTATAATTTACATAAAATAATAAATATTAAGTTATTTCAAAAATAAAAGTAATTACAAATTCAAATCTAATTAAAAAATGCAGACATTAGAAATATTTAATCTAAATACAAGTGTATTTACTTTCGTACTTCTAATATCTCTGCTTTAATTTTAGTAATTTAATTTTAGATTCAAATTTTTTGAAAAATTTAATTATTTTAGGAGCCTTACCCCGTTTTACTGAATATGGTAAATTTGTTGATACAAAGAATGGTTGAAATACACGTAATTTTGTTGCATCTTTTGTAATACCCAATCCTGTTTTAGAATTAACTGAGAATGCTGTTAATACCCAGGATGTAATTGTATCAGGAACTTTTTCTTTTAACACAATTTCACCATTATTATCGCTGTTTATTTTAATATTTTGATGAAGTTTTTTATATAAAAAAAATAATTATTAATTAAAAATTGAAAAATATTTTAAAAAAATTGTAACTTCTTTTTAATGTATTGTTAATGGAAATTTATAAATTATTTTAATGAAGAATTAGTCGCAAATAATTAAAAATTCATGCACATATTATAACAACTAAATAAAACACCAATTATTGAAATTAGCACAAAAATACATACATGTTGTTGAAAACAAAGCAATTAAAACAAAAATATGCAAATACAAAAGAAAACATTGTTAATAAGAAATTAAAACTAAATGCTATAGTTATTACGCATGTAAATATGTATATACTTATGTACATAAAATAGAAATAAATGCAATAAAAAATACTTATATATTATTATATTATTGAAATGCTATACTAATAAATATACAAAATATTATATAAATATATACATATACGTATATTGTATGTAAATGTATAACATGAAGGTATGTATATAAAATAGTAAATAAATTTAAATACAAAATGAATTTTTGAGAGCAAACAATATTAGAAATTTTATATATATACATAAATATATATTTAAATAAATAATATATGCAACATACATATGTACACAATTAATTATAAATAATGAAATGACGTATATATAACATATTGTCTTTTTAATTTTGTGTAACAATATAAACGATTTTTACTTCACAATATATAGTAAGCCACTTAGCTTTCTATAGAGGGCATCTTTGTATCAAATTGAAACAAATCAAATTTGTGAACAAAGTCATAAGTGTAAAGTGTATAATTAAACAACTTTCCTAATATTACAACATAACTATTTAATTGTAAAAGTTTTTGTAAAAATTAATAAATATTTGCCCTACATATGTAGTTTTTAATGATAATTTTAATTTTTACATGATCAAATCCAATCTCATATCATTTAATTAACCTTCTTTGAGGCAAAATTAGTACAGATACTTTAACATTTTATTTAAAAAATTATTTATAATGGAAAATCAAATAATTGTCACGATATCAGAATTGTCATAATATTCTATTTAAATGCACTTCCGCTTATAAATACTATTAAATTACTGAAACAGTAGTATGACAATATTACCGCAATTCTGATGCCAAAATACCAGATATTACCAATCATGAAGGCTTTTATGACATAGTCTACATATATATGTACGTTACAATCAAAATTTTTATTAACGATACAAAAAAACTTATTAGTTACTTAAAGAACTTAAAAGGCTTTAAGTAGCTAATTTTTATTTTAACAAAAACAAAAATTTAGTAACTATGATTATTAAGAAAACATAAAAGTACTCGTGACTTTAAAATTGAAGTTAAACTGTATTACTACACAATTCAGCAATATTAGCTCATAAGCTGAATCGGTTACTAATACCATATTGTTGCAATTTGAAGGTAGGTGTACTTTTATAGGCTAACAACAAAAAAAACAACAAAACGCTTACACTTGATGTAGCAATTTTCGCTCTTATTAATTTTATTAATATTACCGTGATTTCAAAATTGAAATAATAATGTATTGCTAAACAATTCCGTAACTGTATGGCGATTAATAAGCTGAATTTTATATTAAAACTATTATTGGAATATTTAGCAGATTTTGCAAAATTCGTTAGATTTCATAAGGCAATTCTATTAAATTTCGAGGCTTTTATAACGAAAATTATTGAAAAAAAAACCCTTTTTTATAAATTCACCAATTTTATAGTTTTATAATCACTCATAATTAATTCTTGATATTAATAATTTTAATAGCATATATAAAATAAACCAAAACAAAAACATCCCCTTTATCAATCATTCTCAATATTAATCGTCTTATGCACACACACATACATATACATATATTACATTTTTATAAATGTATGAGAAAATTCTTGAATTTTGTTTCACAATAATTAAGTATTTATTACATTTTATCTTTAAAATCAATCCATTTCCATGTTTCTAAAAATTCTTTTCTAATACGAATAATTTTCGTATCTTCATCAAAACTTTTTTCAACGGCTCCACCATATGCCATTATTCCATTCTCTTGTGGTGAAGCGAGCGCTGCATATTCAAAACGTTCCAAATAATATGGCACTAAAAATTCAAATTATTGTGATGTGAGAATGAAAAAATTTAAAAAAAATTTTCTTAGACTTTATCAAATAAATTTCGAAAGTACGAGTAAATGAACACTAAATATCGAAGAATCAATAATACAGAACTAAAAATTGTGTAGCAATATAGTATTACGACAATTTTAAAGTTATGGCGAATTTACAAATACAAATTAAGTTATTCGTTGTTACTTCTAGTCTAATTTGAATTCTGAATCAAAGGGCTGCAGTGCAAAAATCGATGAACTTTTTAAAAGCGCGCGAAACATATAAAATTTGTAAAAAAAAGCAATTTGTAAAGATTCTTATATCAATCAAATTGTTAAAATTAAATTAAATATAATTAATATTTAAAAGTCATCAAATTTTTGAAGAAAAAAAGCAAGTTATTTGAAAAAGAACACATTTTTTAAATCACACAAACACACACACACATTAATATTGAAAATTATTTAGAAGAAAAAATAAATAAATTATTTTCGATAATTATTCTACGTTTAGTAGCTTTTCATTATTGATAAGCAACTTTTAAAAAACACAACCTAATGCAATTACTTTTGAGAGTTTATGTTGGACCAAATCCATAATTCGGGAAAATCTTTTCTAACAACATTAGAAATCTCTTCACCGACTTCACATTCGGAAAGTTCAACTACCTCACAGTCTGCAGCACGCCGACAACATTTCTTTTTTATTTTCCTTTTAGGCATACATGCATCTTATATAATAATAAATAAAAAGGATAAGGAAAATAAAGAACATAAACATATTTTATTAAATTTATTAATAAAGAAATTTTTTGTTTCATTTTAATATTATAAAAATATAAATTTAATTATTTTTATAGAAATTTTTTGTATTTACATAATTTTAATACATAATTATGGCATAACTATAGGGTATTTAAATATCGCGTCTACCGAAATACAGATCAAATGTCAACTCAGCTTATTCAGTAATACGTACTTTCTATTGCTGAATAAGTTAAATCCCTGCCAGATCTGCATTTCTGCAGAAAAATTAGGATAGGGGTTAAAATACACTTCATTTCATTACTAAGATTCTAACATTACTGAGATTATGCAAGATAAATGTGAAAAATTGCTAAATTGTGCAATATTGCAGCATAAGTAAATGCAATCTCAAAATTTTTCTTCATTCTCTTTAAAAAATTTTACAATACTTTACGTTTTTGAATCAAATTCAAACCAAATCCATGTTTCAGGAAAATTTTTTCGAATTTCTTCAAAATTCCAATTAGATGTTATGAATCTAGATTTACTTCTAGCTCTTCCTCTTCCTTTTCCACTTCGTGTTTTAGTACCACCTTGACATATTGAAGAGAAATTTAAGTAAAACTTATGAAATGTCAATTTAAACTACACATATTGTTGTTCGTGAGTCAAGTACGAAAATGTTATTTTCTTTAATGAATTTAGTTTCGTTTATGTTTAAAATTTTCCCAAGAGCATGGAAGATTCTATGATGACGTGGTTATGTAAAAAAAAATTAGTTTAAACTTTAAAGACAAGAATGAAATATTAAAAACGCATTTAGCATGAAAATCACTTGCTATGTAAATTTACTTAATTAAGCATTATAACGATCGGCGAATCGAACAGAATGAACTTGGCGAATTCAGCAATAATTCGAATAATGATAAGCGAACGATAACCTCAAAACGATTTTTTCAATCAAAATATTTTATTTTCATTCGCCAAGCTTGTCATACAGAGTTTTCACTCGATTTCATGTGCTTCGTCGATCATAATAAGGCCGTAAATTTCTAATATTTTATTAAAATACTCGTAACAATTTGAACTAATTGAAATTTTGAAAGTATGATCCAACACCATGATTTCCTATAAAATTCAATGAACTTTTTACTTAATCATCGTATTGGACCAAATCCAAGCTTCTAAAAAATTTCTTCTCAACTTTAATGTAACTGTTTCGGTTTCTGATGATGAACCCTCTAATAACGCAAGAACTGCAGGATTTAGTTTACGTATCTTCTCAAATCTTACAGCATCTTAGAAAAAATTTTTTTATTTAAATAAAAAGGAAAATGTTATTATTATGTGACAACAAATTAATTAATCAATTAATTAGAACTAAAAAATAAATGACTATTTTTTTACTCCAAGGGAAGTAAAAGAATTCAATTCCACATTAAGTATTGAGGTTTTCGTAAAATTTATATTTTTCATAATTGACCTCTTAACTTAATTCGCCTCCTTAAAAAATATTTAATATATTGTTACGGCACATGCTTGCTTTCAGGTTATTGCCCAGGGATTTAAAACACGAAGGAATCACATGAAGATAATTTTCATTATACATGCATTTTAAAGTAATTTTATATACACAATAGTAGCGGGTTAATCAATGATTGTATGCAAAGGAATATCACATTTAAGTATCATTTGTGTTCAAATTTGCCAATAGTGCGTAACGAGAAGATTTCGTATCCAAACAAAATATCCCCCAGTTTGAAATTTTAAATATGAAATTCATACTGGCATTTTTAAAAAAACTTTTAAATAATTAATAACAACCAAATGAAACTGAGTAAATTAAAATAGCAATTACTTGGTCTATTTGTTTACGGAAAATCTACAAAAAATTAAGTAGGGGACCGTCTACCAAATTTTTTTTCTTAAATTTCAAATTTCTTCCTTTTTCAAATTAAAAAGGATAAATCCATAAAAATTTTAAAAATCAAACTATTTTTCTATAAATTTTTATGGATTCTTGATTTCCAACACTACAAGTAGAGCAGCTTTTATTGTTTTCTAATATTTCAACGTTTCGGTTTAAGTTTACAAATGAACTAGAAAAAATTAGCAAGAAATTTGA